TCCATCCCCTTTATCCCCCTCATCCCCTTCTCGCCATTCCACCAACGGCTGTTTTATAATCTTGTTACGGCATGCTGTGATAGGCTTGAACGCGTTCATCAGGCTTTACACCGCACTGTATACGACACATGTGTTAATGTGTATGCCCGCCCATCTCTCCGTACAGGGTTTGCTAGCAACGAATGGAAATACTAGATGGGATAGCTGATAAGCATTCACTTAGGTCTTGTACTTGACCCTATCTACACAGACGTGTTATTCACGGTTGAATGAACATTGGTAATCTATGGCTCATCGGTTCTTCACGCACTATCCAGCGGTGGGGTGGGGTGAAGGGGCGTGTCTAACCTCAAGCGTTGTACCTAGCGTTGTGTAGTAGGCTATTATCATAAGGCAATAAACTTGTGTAAGCTACAATAGACATTCTATTGACGTGAGAAGACCGGCTAACAAACAAAACTTAATCTGGTTTGATGATAGCTGTTCTGAGAATAACAATCAAATGATAGGATGTTTAAGACTTAACAGTCATTAATTTATTATCTGTTGTATGCATATTTTCTGCTTACGCAGAAAAATCTATCTAAAACTTACAACATGAATCAACGCGTATTTTATTAGCCAAATGGTTCTTCCACACATAACAAGAAGTCATTTTATGTTTGCTAAAAGAGGAAACGCACAGTGCCTTTTTCTGCCTTTCTTTTCACGTTTTCTCAACTTTGCATTTTTACTCAAAATGCAACATTCAAATCGCTAAGGCTTTGGAACCCTTAGTCTTACAGCACTGAAACATTCCACATGCATTTAGCATTATACCATCTACAAAACTACGTTTGTACATTAAGTTTACTACAATACTTTAGAAAATATCAATACTTATGTTATACCACCCCCTAATTTTTGTACTTAAATTTACGTAAAAATTTGTAATAAAAATTGAGTACAAGCTATCGCAATGAACAAACGTAGAAATGTATAGTTTGGTTTCGTAAATCTAAATCTTTCATCCGCTTTACAAAATTGCTTATGGGAACAAAGCCTTAGCGATTTGTAAAGGTGTTAGTTTTCACACCTTTTCGCGGTTCCCATGGCAACCAGTACTGCTATTGACGGCCACATATTAATTTTGTCAATAGTTTAACAACTACTAACATATGTACTTATTAAATACCCAGAAATGTGTTAAATTAAAAAAAAAATTCTATCCGTGGTGTCTACCCTTAATCCCCAGCACACTCGTGAGTTGTCTCGTTAAGTCGGAGGTAAATTGTGTGCCCCGATCTGACAGTATGGTGTCCGGGAACCCGGTTCTTGAGAAGAACGTGAGTAGAGCGCCTGCTATATCCTCAGATGTTATCGTCTTTAGTGGGAAGGCTTCTGGCCAACGTGTTGCAAAGTCGACTATTGTGAGGATGTATCGGTGACCACGTTTTGATGGGGTAGGCAGTGGTCCTATGATATCTATCGCTATTTTTTCGAATGGTCTGTTAGCTAAATCGGTGGTTTGTAATGGGGCTTGGGGTGGTCTAGTGGTATCTCTATTCCTGCATGTCTGACATGACTTCACGTACTGTGAGATGTCTTTGTCCATGCCCGGCCAGTAGAAGGTAGTTTCAATTCTTTGTTTTGTTTTCTTTCTTCCCATGTGTCCTGCAAGTGTAAGGTCGTGTGCATGGTGTAGAATTTGTCCTCTGTATTTCTGTGGGATTACTAATTGGTTTATTTCTTGTCCTTTGCTTTTATATTTTCTTTGAAGCGTGTTATTCTTAATAAAGAAAGAGTGTTCTGATGACCTCGATGTAGTAATTGAGTGTTTACGGGCGAGTCTAAATATCTTTTCTAGTGACGGGTCTTCTTGTTGTGCTAGCTGAAATTTTTCTGGTTCCCAAATGTTTTTGGTCTCAGTATTATCCATGGCATTGTTCTGTTGGCCTTCTGCTTGATGACTACTTAGGTCGACGGGTGGTTCATGACTTTTGTTGCTTTCTCTTGCTTTTCTTGCTTGTTCTCTTGTTTCGACCATCTGAATTATTTCCCTTTGTACCCAATCGTCGATTTCCACTCGGGAAATAGTTTCGTTGTTCACTATGTTTCCGATGATCAGATCATATGATCCATTGTCAGTGACCACAGCAATTACACGACCAGTTAGATATGGGGTTTGAATATTGATCAATGCCGTTTTGTATTCTGCGATTATACCGCCAAATAATTCCACATTTACATATCGGCCTGTATATTGGCATGTTTTAACGAATTTGGCTTTTACTGCCATTGTCGAACAACCCGTGTCTCGAATTGCGTTTACTATCTGTCCGTTTACTTTAGACTTAAATGTTGGTAACGAGCTTGATGTGTTTAGTAGGTGGATTCTTTCAACTGGTTGGTTATGGTTTTGTGAAGGGTTGTTTCTCTGTGGTCTCTGGTAAGGTTCGTTCCTTGAAGATGAGCGTTGTTGGCTTAGTTGTTCTAAGTAGTTCACTCGAGTTTCAACTCTAAATTGTTTCACACCTCTAATATTTCCTAATATCACATCGTATGGCCCGTTTTTAAAAACAGCTGCTTCAACTGTTTTACACGCTGAGGGTGTGGCTATGGTGACTATAGCTGTTGGCCAAACATATGTGCTGCCTCTTGAGCTGTGAACACGTTGTGTTCTGCCTGTGTATTGGTGGTGTTGTACGAATGTGTTACGTACTGCCACTGTTGAGCAGTGTGTGTCCCTAATTGCTGTGGCGTATCTGCTATTAATTTTTGACGTAAATGTGTCTGTTCTTTTACTGGCTTCTGTAAACGATGATATGAATGCCATTCTATTAATCTGTCTATATTTTGGTCTGTTGCGTTGTGCATCTTGTTGGCGTATATCATAATATCGTATTCTGCAATTTATTTGTTTGTGGCCTGTTCTATTACAATAGTAGCATCTGACACTGTAATTGTGTTTTTGTTGACTGTAGTTAATCTGAATGTTGTGATTTGCGCTATTATGTTTTTGGAGTGTATGTGGTGTTTCACTTTTTGTAGTAGGTATTTCGCTTGCTTCACTGAACGTGTCATCTGAATCTGAATCGTAGGAATAGTAAAATGTTGTTTCAGCTGTCTGGTTGTTATTATTAGTATCTAAACTTTGCACCGTTTCTTGTTTGGCTTGGCAAAGTTCTCTCAATTTTTCTCTTTCTTTACGAATTCTTTCTGTTTCTTCTTTAAGTCCGGCAATATATGTTTCTGCTTCTCTTTGTTTCTCTGCTAACTCGGCATCTATCTTTGCATCATATTCTTCTTCAGTCAACAAGGAATCTGGATCTCCGAATACCTTGTAATCTACGATTCTATTGATCAAATCTTCCATAGCATCTGGATCATCTAGAGTTTTTACGTCAAATTCTTTAACAGTTAATAACCAGTCTCGATTTTCTGTTGTCGTGTATTGTCCAAGCCTAATAATCAATTCATCCAGAATATCTGGATCCTCAATAGTTCTTGAATTGCTTTTCACTTTGACTGTATTCTGAACATTTATATCTAGTAACGAGTTATCAATTCTACCTGACTCTTCTAGGCCTGACTTAAGCTCAGTTTTAGTGCCCACTTCGTACAATGGAGGCATTTTTAAGGGTAGTGTGGTTGAAGAAACAGATAAGAAAGAGGCAGAAAAACCGCTGGCACCAAATATCCAGCACAAGTCTAAACCCAAACGTTTAAAAAATTTTTGGAAGGTACTTATCTTTTTGGACATGTTGACTGTTTCCTTGTGTTGTTAATCCAAACTCGTTCCGGTTGAAGAAACCCGCTGTTGTGTTGAGTTGAAGAAAGCTGTACACCAGTCATACTCCGTCATGAATAGCTGATATACGTTCTTTCCCTTACTCGACCCGCGCTCCACCAGATGTGAGGGTGGGGATTTTTTTTAAGAAGGCGTAACGAATGAATCCAACAACACGCAGTTCAAGTTCAACTATAATTGTTCTTTATTAAAATGATATATATGTTCAAGTTTCTACCTAACTGATCTACACTGTACTATTTACTTCTACTACTGACTGTTCACTATACTACTAACTCCCACGACCAATCCTAACACTATCTACATTCTACAACCTAACACCTTCTCTACTCTTCGCTATCTAATCATGATCTCCTAACTATCTACATTCTCGGCCGTCTCTGACCGCTACCTAACACCGTCCTCGCCTATCGCTCTCCTGCCCCACGCCTCAGTGGTCAGCTGACCGTCCCACGTGACCGGTCAGCCCTGTGCGCCCATTGGCCTCTCTACCCAACCAACTAGGCCTATCGTCTGTTTCTGCTAACCTATATCTGCTAAACATGTCTGACGTAATCTTGCGTCATCACAGGCAGATAAGGCTCAATAGCTGGGTACATCTACTCTTCTAGGAGAGGCAACTCAAAATTCAAACAACTGCTGACTTGTAGTTTGTTCTTGGTTGGACAAAGGCTATGGAAGCAAATCCAAAGGAAAAGCAGCGGAAATCGAAGTCAACAGCACAGTGGCGTAGCCAGGAACGTCTCATGGAAGGGGGGGGGTTCAAATTTTTCCCCGCATTATAAATGTATATCAGAGGCGAAGCGTCCCTCCCCGGCCCCCAAGGACAAACTTTTGATTTGCACCCCCCCCCCTCAAACATTCGATTTTGCACCCCCGCTCAACCTTTATGTATCTACCGAGGGGTCTATGGGGGGGGGGGGTTCTAGCCCCCTCCCCCAGCCTACGCCACTGCAACTGCATATACTGCGCATAACAAGTTGAAACATAATACTGTATTGTGTTAAAGGGAATCGCTACCAACAGTAAGAACGAAGAAGTGGAAAAGGAAAGAGTCAATGTGGACACATAACGAATAGGAAGAATTTGAACCCAAGGTGAAAATTACAACGGAGCACGTCAGAACAAAACTACGATGATAGGGACATGTTTATTAGAGATTGCAACCGATTCATCTTACATTATAAGATCACGTTTTTATTTTTTTAAATTAAATGATGTCACGTTCAAGAACATGTCACATTCCAGATCATGTCACGATGCAAGACAGGCTTCATGGCAAGCAAGCAAGGTCGTGTCACGTTTCAATTTTAGGAGAAGACGGATCACGGTTTTCACAGTTAAGCTGGAAATAGAAAAATTACATGTTATAGTGTTGGAAAGTATATAAATCGAAGCACAATGTATATACGCTATCATTTATTAAAAAGTCGAAAGCAGAGGCGTAGCGACCTTTCCCGGCGCCCGGGGACAAACTTTCAATTTGGTGCCCCCTCCCCCCCCCCCCCAAGTATTTTTTTATATTTATAATGCATAACTGCAGCTAAAATAAGCTTTTAATTTGTTTTCCAACCTATTTTAGCGCCCACTAGGGTCGGCGCCCGGGGACATAGGTACCCCCCCCCCCTCGCCTCTAGTCGAAAGTAGTCGATACAGTTGTGAAGAGGTAGTGTGAGTGTGAAAACATTCAAGGGAGACGATTTGTATCTTGCGGGGAGAGAATCTAAAAGAAGTGAGAAAATTAATATGGCTGATTTTGATGTTAATATTGCCGAGCCTGTTATAAAAAGGTGGGTTTGCGTGGTCAAATGGTAGAGCTTATGACTTCTAACCCAAAAGTTTCGAGGTCGGAGCCTGCGTTCACAGGGAAACAAAAGCGAGGTCATTGAAACAGTTGAGCCTGTGTTCACTTAGCTCTAATGGGTACCTGAGTTCACCCAGCTCTAATGGGTACCTGACACAAGGCTAGGAAAATATAGACGCGTGAGCATTATGTTGATCATACTATATTTTCATAGTCTGAGGTTAGAGAAACAGAGTCTGCAAATCATTACAGCCCTCCCTCCCTCACTCCCCCCCCCCCCCCCCATACACCTCACGTCCCCCTAATCTTCGAACTTACCCGACAAACAGGGACAGTTCATACCGAGCAGACAAAAACAGTCTCCAATGATTGGACTCGCTGAGAGGTGAAAAAATAGAAAACATCATGCTATTAAACAAGGAAACAAAGATCAGACCTTACACAGTAGAAAAAACTATTCGTATTGTTAAGTGTCAATATTAGGATAAAACTGTACGCTCAGAAAGTAGTGATATCCATAATCAGTGGTTGGCGTATTATGCATCTTTGTTGTGATTTACTAAACAGTTGTGGTGAAATGTGTTTTTGTAAAGATACACTATGGCTTCGGATGGACTTTTGTAAGCATCTAATTTAATGTGAATCCAATATTGTATATTGTCGCTTGACCTACTTTTTAAAGCTGTTGCTTTGGTAATGATGGCTTCCGTAAAAGACTAATCCACCTTTTCGTTTTTTTTTTACAACATTCAGCGGTCATGTCACTCTTAGGCGACACCCTAAATATTCTGTCACTATAGCAGAGTTTCTTTCAGGCATCTATTCTAAGCGCGTCTATCAACCTCCCCCCCCTCCCCCAACCCCGAACGAAATAGAATTTGTATACAATCCGGGTTCAAATCAGTGGAACGTCCCTGAGTCCAACCAGCTCTGATGGGTAACTAACTCACGTTAGGGAAAACAAAGGCGGCTGGGCATAGTGTTGACCACACTATCTCTTCATATGCCGAGGTCTCTGAAACAGCTGAACTCTACTTCATCTGCCCCATGTGTGTATTGGGCACGAACGAAACAATTATGAGGATACAAAATAAATACTTTAATCCCCCCCAGGTAATTTAAGCCCCCCCCCCCCCCCCCCCCATGGAAAATGTTCAAGTTCCATCCAAGGTATGTATGAAAGAAGCACTATAATAAGGTAACAGATAAAAATTGCCGTATTCAGAAACCATAAATTGAAAAGTCTGAAAGGCGAATAGGGCTGGAAAGTAGGTCAACAACCAGTTCTATGGCTCATGCAGGTTTTACTGAGCCGTAGAACTGGTTGGTGACCTACTTACCAGCCCTATTGATGTCGTATAACATTTGTGAACAAATTTTTTCTAAAGATGAAAAATATCTTACCGCTGGCTGCAGCCATAAAGTAGCAGACGGTAGCGACGACAACAATGGCGCTGATGATGGCTTTCATCTTGTCGGTGTTGTTGTGGGGGGTGGTGATGCTGTGATTACCTGTGACGACGTACTGGAGTTGTCAGACAACTTTATAAGTGACCTCAGTGGCGTAGGCAGGGGGGGGTTAGGGGGGGTCATAACCCCCCCCCCCCCCCATAGACCCCTCGGTATATATAAAAAGTATGAGGGGGGGTGCAAATCGAAAGTTTGAGGGGGGGTGCAAATCGAAAGTTTGAGGGGGGGGGTGCAAATCGAAAGTTTGAGGGGGGGGGGGGTGCAAATCGAAAGTTTGAGGGGGGGGGGGGTGCAAATCGAAAGTTTGAGGGGGGGGGGGTGCAAATCGAAAGTTTGAGGGGGGGGGGTGCAAATCGAAAGTTTGTCCCCGGGTAAAAATTGGAACCCCCCCCTTGAGACGATCCTGGCTACGCCACTGAGTGACCTACACAAGACGTCAGGACAGAAATGTGACATCTGGTGTTTGACCTCTTCACTTAAGTAATCAGAGACTTTTATCTTTGCAAGCCTTGAACATTTTTCAGAAGAAATGCTATTATACACTGTCGACCTCGTACAAACAGTTAATGTATCTAAATATACTTTGGTATATTGAGAAAAAAACTTTTTTTTTAAATATTGATAGAGATTCATTCTTTTATTTTTATTATAAGACGTTGTGTCTGATTGTTTGTGGGATGTAGCAAATCTTGTAATATAGTTTGATCCACTTCTTATGCAGTGATTTAGTTTTTAACTTTCCAGATACATTCGTCTTCGGTGACAATACAAACATATCTTTTTTTTAAAAATCATATTAGTCATTGAGTTACTCATTAAAGTTTAATTTAAAAATTACTAAAATTCATTCTTCTTATTCTTCTGCTTTAGCTTTAGAAGAGATTCCCTCCAACATAATTAAATATACGTGTCAACATGTTATGCACCTTTGACTCCGATTTCAGCCTGCTTTTCTTTTTTGTTTTGCTTCCATAGCCTTTGTCCAACTAAGAACAAATTACAAGGAAACAGTTGTTTGATTTTGGAGTTGTCTCTCCTAGAAGAGTGGCTGTCCCTAGCTAACGAGCTTCATCTGCCCGAGTGTTCGAACTCGAAACTTTACCATGAGCTTTACCAACTCGACCATGCCGACCCCTTAAAATTCATTATTAAAAGGGAGATAAAAAATATTTCCTTTTTCGAACCTGAAGGTCTATGTGGCAGGTGAAGTAGTGTTCACCTGTTTCTGTGACCTCGGCAATTGAAAGAATAGAACGGTAAGCGCTAAGCCAAGAACAGGGGAGATAACAGGATTAAAATCTAGAGATCGCTCTATCTCCACGCCATCGACGGTGAACTGTTTTTTTTCACGGCTGAGTGATTTTTTTTTTTTGCCTGAACATAGAGTATCATCCACTGACTAAGAGGTGTTGGCCTACATAATTGTCTCTTAGTGATTGTAAAATGAACGTAAACGTTTTTATGGTGTTAATTACTCAACAGGAGGAAAATACAGTCGATATACAAACTTTTGTAATAATAAGCTTTTGAATTAACCGACGATAAGAAATTAATCAAACTCGCATTCTTTAATAAAAGTACCAGATGCTCAGAACATCTTTGTTTTAGGGACCAATGAATTTTTTGGAAAAAAAAAAGGTTTTTTTTTTTGTTTTTTGTTGTTGTTATTTTCAGTTCGTTTAAAAGCTTAAAAGGTTCTTTATGGTAATTTTATTTATTTGTCAAGTACAAGTATGATGACAGTTAAATGAGTACAAGTATGATGACAGTTCAATGAGTACAAGTATGATGACCATCTATGAGTACAAGTATGATGACAGTTAAATGAGTACAAGTATGATGAAAGTTAAATGAGTACAAGTATGATGAAAGTTAAATGAGTACAAGTATGATGACAGTTCAATGAGTACAAGTATGATGACAGTTCAATGAGTACCAGTATGATGACAGTTCAATGAGTACAAGTATGATGACCATCTATGAGTACAAGTATGATGACAGTTCAATGAGTACAAGTATGATGAAAGTTAAATGAGTACAAGTATGATGACCATCTATGAGTACAAGTATGATGACAGTTCAATAAGTACAAGTATGATGAAAGTTAATTGAGTACAAGTATGATGACCATCTATGAGTACAAGTATGATGACAGTTTAATGAGTACAAGTATGATGACAGTTCAATGAGTACAAGTATGATGACAGTTCAATGAGTACAAGTATGATGAAAGTTAAATGAGTACAAGTATGATGAAAGTTAAATGAGTACAAGTATGATGACAGTTAAATGAGTACAAGTATGATGACAGTTCAATGAGTACAAGTATGATGACAGTTCTATGAGTACAAGTATGATGACCATCAATGAGTACAAGTATGATGACAGTTCAATGAGTACAAGTATGATGACCATCAATGAGTACAAGCATGATGACCATCAATGAGTACAAGTATGATGACCATCAATGAGTACAAGTATGATGACATCAATGAGTACAAGTATGATGACAGTTCAATGAGTACAAGTATGATGACATCAATGAGTACAAGTATGATGACAGTTCAATGAGTACAAGTATGATGACATCAATGAGTACAAGTATGATGACCATCAATGAGTACAAGTATGATGACCATCAATGAGTACAAGTATGATGACAGTTCAATGAGTACAAGTATGATGACAGTTCAATGAGTACAAGTATGATGACAGTTCAATGAGTACAAGTATGGTGATCATCAATGAGTGCAAGTATGATGACAGTTCAATGAGTACAAGTATGATGACCATCAATGAGTACAAGTATGATGACAGTTCAATGAGTACAAGTATGATGACATCAATGAGTACAAGTATGATGACAGTTCAATGAGTACAAGTATGATGACCATCAATGAGTACAAGTATGATGAACATCAATGAGTACAAGTATGATGACAGTTCAATGAGTACAAGTATGAATATTGCACTAATAGTTTGTTTCAACATGCGACTAAAACTAACACAACCAGCCTTGTGGACGTTAACATAAAACCGCCTTATTCAGAACCGCGGGTCGATCTTTGTGGGCTCGTGTCGGCATATGGTGGCCATGATATGGTGGCCAGGGTCATAGTTTTCAGAACTTACAATTTTTTTTAAACTGAAAATGCAAATGTGTTACTAAATAACGATTCAAGGGATTTTTTCTCCATCGATAATTCTTAAAAATTCAAATAACAGTACGCTTCCAGGTCACTAATCAAAAAGTAATTGAAGAAGGAACCATGTGCTTTATTAAAAAATAAATATGTAGTAAGGTTAACGTTTTTCCATTTTAAACTAGAATTAATTTTTTATTTAAAAATATATCCAACTCAATATTTATAACAACATTATAACTTTAACTTATTTCTTAAAATTGTTTTTGTATTAATAAACAGATATTTGAAATTCATTCTTATAAATATTTTTATATATCAGATTTTGCAAACTGCTTAACTGTTGCCTCCCTTGTAACAAGAAGAGCGTCATCAACACAATTTAAATAAAGAAAACTGGTGGTAGTTTCTTAATTTTAGTTCATTTAAAAGCTTAGTATTAATACGTTTACTGTTATATTTGCTTTATTTTTAGTATCAAATGTTGGGTAGTTGCCTCCAGTGCCTTTTTTTTTTGTAAAAAAAAAATTTAAAAAAATAAAATAAAAGTAGGTGCCGGTACTCAGTGATGGATTGCCTAACTTTTAACTACCAGTTCGCACCTCGATGCAAGGTAAATGACAACGGCAAAGATACTAAATTAACAATTATAATAAACGAGCCGACCCGCGGCATATCATACGCCGCTATTTAGTTGTTGTTTTTTCTATTTTTCAGTAATTCATAATTTGTGAATTCGACACTACCAACGTTGCCACTGAAAATATTTCTTTAAAACACTATAAGTAGCTCGTTAAGGATGATAACCCTCCCCTCCTCCCCCCCCTCCGTTAAAGTAAACTCCACTTAGTCCCGTCCCCCCCCCCCCCTACGTTTAAAATCGTTTCAAACTAAATTATCCGCCCCTAATAGTCGTCACTAAACCCTGCTCTGCTTGTAAACATTTAGCGTGAACCATAGCTCACCAGACCATGTAGGGGTGGGGGTGGTAGGGAGCGAGCTTACAGCTTGTTTTCTAGCGTCTCCCAGAAGAGAATTATATATATAGATTATAATAAAATATTATAATAAATTAATAATAAATGTTAAAATACATAAAAATTAATAATCCTGTTTGTACCTGCTACCCTATTCCGTTCGTCCCTGTTCAGTTCTCGTGCTGTGAGTTGTTATAGTCCAGTTGGTACCAGTTTATGAAAGTGTATATAACGTGTATGAAAACGTGTGTGATTGTCGCCTCAGTTTCTTCCAGATCTCCAAGGTTAGTATAGGTTAGGTCTATACTAGTATTTAGCCGCTGTAGTACTAGCTTGTGTATTTTTGTGTTTAGAATAGACTGTGTTAGTTGTAGATAGTGTAGATATGATTAAATTCTTTTAGTTTTAACGAGCCTTCGTTTTCATTCAGTCTTGTTTTGTAACCCGGTTGTGGTTGTTTGTCGCTATGCATCAGATCACCCGTAAGGCGTGTCCGTGTGTTCACAACAATAGCCGACACACGGTCGAAATTAGGCTTGATAAGGCCCTAGGCTATTTTCAATATGGGTTGGGGGCTGGGGGGAGGGGATTTATAAGTCCAGACAGTGGCGTAGCGAGGGGGGGGGGCGTGGGGTGCGGACCGCACCGGGTGACACCATTTTGTGGGGTGACACCAAGGCAAAAAATAGCATAATACATAGAGAAAAATGATAATTACACTTAATTAAGTGATTAATTTGAGTGCAGATCGAAAGTTTGAAGGGGGGGGGGGGGGGGGTGCAAATCGAAAGTTTGAGGGGGGTGGGTGCAAATCGAAAATTGAAAGTTTGTCCCCGGGAAGGGTTGCTACGCCTCTGGGGGGGGGGGGGGGGGCGGGGTGACATCAGTAAGTGCCGCACCGGGTGACACCCGACCTCGCTACGCCACTGAGTCCAGATATTTGTCAGGGCCAAATATTTACTGTTTTTTAAAAAAAAGTTTGGTGACAAGAAGTTTTTTTTTTACAGGAGTCGTCCATAAATGATGTCACACTTTTACTTTTAGGGGAGGGGGCGTAGTTTTGTGACGATGTGTGAAAACAGCCCCAACCCCGTTACCGCTATTTGTGTTCATGTATTGGTTAAAATATAAACAGTAGTGTGTGCGTATGCGTTGCAGAGATTAGCAACAATAAAACTATTATGGCTGAAATATTGGAAAATATCAGCATAATATAAAAAAGTGCATAACAAATTATATAACCAACTGATGCCTTTATTTCTTCTGTGTACATTAATGTACAAAATATAATATCGACATATAATCAACATTTTTCACATATATATATGTCGACATATTTGACACGCCATAGGTCTTTGAATGATGGATGTTTACTACAGTGCTGAGTACTGTGAAGGAAGAAATATTAATTATAATTAATATTTTTTGTTGATGCTCTAATATCTACATGCTACTCAACATCTTGTGTGCCTGTAAACTAAATATATTACAACCACATACCCTTGATCATTTTTGTTGATTCTCTAATATCTACCTGCTACTCAACATCTTGTGTGCCTGTAAACTAAATATATTTCAACCACATACCCTGGATCATTTTTGTTGATGCTCTAATATCTACCTGCTACTTAACATCTTGTGTGCCTGTAAACTAAATATATTACAACCACATACCCTTGATCATTTTGGTTGATGCTCTAATATCTACCTGCTACTTAACATCTTGTGTGCCTCTAACTAAACTAAATATATTACAACCACATACCCTTGATCGTTTTTGTTGATGCTCTAATATCTACCTGCTACTTAACATCTTGTGTGCCTGTAAACTAAATATATTACAACCACATACCCTTGATCATTTTTGTTGATTCTCTAATATCTACCTGCTACTCAACATCTTGTGTGCCTGTAAACTAAATATATTTCAACCACATACCCTGGATCATTTTTGTTGATGCTCTAATATCTACCTGCTACTTAACATCTTGTGTGCCTGTAAACTAAATATATTACAACCACATACCCTTGATCATTTTGGTTGATGCTCTAATATCTACCTGCTACTTAACATCTTGTGTGCCTCTAACTAAACTAAATATATTACAACCACATACCCTTGATCATTTTTGTTGATGCTCTAATATCTACCTGCTACTTAACATCTTGTGTGCCTGTAAACTAAATATATTACAACCACATACCCTTGATCATTTTGGATGATGCTCTAGTATCTACCTGCTACTTAACATCTTGTGTGCCTCTAACTAAACTAAATATATTACAACCACATACCCTTGATCGTTTTTGTTGATGCTCTAATATCTACCTGCTACTTAACATCTTGTGTGCCTGTAAACTAAATATATTACAACCACATACCCTGGATCATTTTTGTTGATGCTCTAATATCTACCTGCTACTTAACATCTTGTGTGCCTGTAAACTAAATATATTACAACCACATACCCTTGATCATTTTGGTTGATGCTCTAATATCTACCTGCTACTTAACATCTTGTGTGCCTCTAACTAAACTAAATATATTACAACCACATACCCTTGATCGTTTTTGTTGATGCTCTAATATCTACCTGCTACTTAACATCTTGTGTGCCTGTAAACTAAATATATTACAACCACATACCCTTGATCATTTTGGATGATGCTCTAGTATCTACCTGCTACTTAACATCTTGTGTGCCTCTAACTAAACTAATATTACAACCACATACCTTCGATCCATCGCAGGGGCAAGGGGAAGTAACACACACACAACCAACGAAGCGACGATCGAACTCGGATGTGATTGCTGGGATCAGAAAACCTATATAAAAATATTACATTGTTTTTTAGCGATAAAACATAATCAAAGCCATTAAACAATAACATATTCCTTTAATGATTCTTATATAAAATAAAGTAAAGATTCCTCTTTAGACCTAGAAATCTATTGGGCAGATAAAGACAAGTACATTATGCTTATTGACCTCGGCTTATCATGAAGAGATAATGTGGTCAGTGCTTTGCCAAACCGCCTTTACTTTCCCTAACATCAGTTAGACGTTCTACTAGCTTGGCACCTTTTCGAACTCGAGACTTTCGGATTAGTAGCCTAGCGCTCTACCTTTTGGCCCACGCCGTCCCAAAATAAATAATATACCGTCCTTTTAATTGTTATTTCAACTAAACTCCAAAAATCTAAAAAAAAAATTGAATTTCCCTGTTTTGAAAATCTTACCCGTGGCCACTGCGATGAAATAGCAAACAACGACGACAAAAACGATGGCGGTGATCATGTAATTCATCTTCTCAATGATTATAACAAACGAACCTCTCAGTTGGAAGAGACTGAAGCAATGCGGAATTTCGACGTAATCATGCAGCTAAAAGTAAAATTATTTTGTTCGTCCCCAGCGAAGGGACGTGCGTGTGTCGCAACCAGCTGTCACATTGGACATCGGACCAAGGTGTTTCATTATACAACAAAAGATAAAAAAATATCCTAGGTGTTTTTCGTGCAGGCTTTCTATGGTAGGTCTCTCAGTCATTCAAAATAAAGTGATTCGCTAGATAAAAGCAGTTAAGTTGTTTAAAAAAAAAGTAAAGCTGCAAGCTATGTTGTTAAAAGATCAAATATTTTATAAGACGTAATTTATTTTTGAAAATCATTTTTTTTCCTAGGCATGTCATCTCTCGACCCCCCCCCATACATACACTATCTTCTCACCTATTGATAGAGATCCCCCATACATACACCATCTTCTCACCTATTGTGTGAGGCCCCCCCCCATACATACACCATCTTCTCACCTATTGTGTGAAGTCCCCCCCCCATACATACACCATCTTCTCACCTATTGATAGAGGCCCCCCATACTTACACCATCTTCTCACCTATTGATAGAGGCCCCCCCTCCCATACATACACCATCTTCTCATCTATTGTGTGAGGTCCCCCCCCCCCCCATACATACACCATCTTCTCACCTATTGTGTGAGGTCCCCCCCCATACATACACCATCTTCTCACCTATTGATAGAGATTCCCCCCCCCCCCATACATACACTATCTTCTCACCTATTGATAGAGATCCCCCATACATACACCATCTTCTCACCTATTGTGTGAGCCCCCCCCATACATACACCATCTTATCACCTATTGTGTGAGCCCCCCCCCCCCCATACATACACCATCTTCTCACCTATTGATAGAGGCCCCTCCCCCATACATACACTATCTTCTCACCTATTGTGTGAGCCCCCCCCCCCCCATACATACACCATCTTCTCACCTATTGATAGAGGCCCCTCCCCCATACATACACCATCTTCTCACCTATTGTGTGAGCCCCCCCCCCCATACATACACTATCTTCTCACCTATTGATAGAGATCCCCCATACATACACCATCTTCTCACCTATTGATAGAGGCCCCCCCCATACATACACCATCTTCTCACCTATTGTGTGAGGTCCCCCCCCATACATACACCATCTTCTCACCTATTGTTGAGCCCCCCCCCCCCCCCATACATACACCATCTTCTCACCTATTGTGTGAGGCCCCCCCCCCATACATACACCATCTTCTCGCCTATTGTGTGAGGTCCCCCCCCCATACATACACCATCTTCTCACCTATTGATAGAGGCCCCCCATACTTACACCATCTTCTCACCTATTGATAGAGGCCCCCCCCTCCCATACATACACCATCTTCTCATCTATTGTGTGAGGTCCCCCCCCCATACATACACCATCTTCTCACCTATTGTGTGAGGTCCCCCCTCCATACATACACCATCTTCTCACCTATTGATAGAGATTCCCCCCCCCATACATACACTATCTTCTCACCTATTGATAGAGATCCCCCATACATACACCATCTTCTCACCTATTGTGTGAGCCCCCCCCCATACATACACCATCTTCTCACCTATTGTGTGAGCCCCCCCCCCCATACATACACCATCTTCTCACCTATTGATAGAGGCCCCTCCCCCATACATACACTATCTTCTCACCTATTGTGTGAGCCCCCCCCCCCATACATACACCATCTTCTCACCTATTGATAGAGGCCCCTCCCCCATACATACACCATCTTCTCACCTATTGTGTGAGCCCCCCCCCCCATACATACACTATCTTCTCACCTATTGATAGAGATCCCCCATACATACACCATCTTCTCACCTATTGATAGAGGCCCCCCCCCATACATACACCATCTTCTCACCTATTGTGTGAGGTCCCCCCCCCATACATACACCATCTTCTCACCTATTGTTGAGCCCCCCCCCATACATACACCATCTTCTCACCTATTGTGTGAGGCCCCCCCCCATACATACACCATCTTCTCGCCTATTGTGTGAGGTCCCCCCCCCATACATACACCATCTTCTCACCTATTGTTGAGCCCCCCCCCCCCATACATACACCATCTTCTCACCTATTGATAGAGGCCCCTCCCCCATACATACACCATCTTCTCGCCTATTGTGTGAGCCCCCCCCCCATACATACACCATCTTCTCATCTATTGTGTGAGGACCCCCCCCCCCATACATACACCATCTTCTCACCTATTGATAGAGGCCCCTCCCCCATACATACACCATCTTCTCGCCTATTGTGTGAGCCCCCCCCCCCCCCATACATACACCATCTTCTCATCTATTGTGTGAGGACCCCCCCCCATACATACACCATCTTCTCACCTATTGTGTGAGGTGTCCCCCCCCCATACATACACTATCTTCTCATCTATTGTGTGATGGCCCATGAAGAACATAATGGACATTTTGTAACATATGTTGCCCGTGTTAAAGATCGTCAGATAGCTAACTACTCGTGATGGCGATCTGGTTCTTATTGTCTCTCTTTTCTTATTAAAACTTTTTTTTTATGTTTTGATCTGTGGATTTTTTTTTTCAATTTCCTCTTTAAGCTAAGTTTTATTAAAAGCTGTAGCTCAACTCTGTCATGACATTCATGGGCGGAGAAGGAGGGGTGGATGTATACTTACAAATCAAAAAGTGCTTTTTTTAAAAATGAAAATTAACGGTTATTTTGTTCTTTTAAAGAATTATTTTAATATGAGTAGAGTTAGTGTTTGAACTTTTAATTTGTTCATTTGTTTTTGTTTTCACTTTAGTATGGACATGGCTAAAACAAACAAAAAATTGAAAATATAAAAGATTATGATATCCTGATTCTAACTTAGTTATAAATATCAGCTGTCGTACGCATACAGACAACTTTCATTTTTTTTTAATTTCTAAATATGGAAAAACAAATGTAAGACAAGTTCACGATCACAGGTAAATAACGGATCACTAATACAGGTAAATAACAGATTACATGCTAATTATGGTAAACTATCAATTAAATTTATTTTTACACTGCTTTCGTAATGTTGTTTACTAATTTTGCTGACTTTTAATTGGTATTTAAATAAAGTAAAATTGTTACGCTCTATTCTACCCCACAAAAATTTTCCCAAAGTATTTATAAACTACGTTTGTATTACAGTATCCTCAAATATAAAATATGTTCACTAATATTGATTAATGAGTGGCTATGTAAAGGGGATTCATAAAAGTTATAAACAGTCCAAAGTTAATATAAACAAACGTGTACAAAGTTAAATTAGTTTCCTTTATTTCGCAACGACACAATCATATACTAGCAAACGAGTGACACACTACCATGCGCATTGTATTTGTACAGATACATAACACAATTGTTGTCACACTTTGAGGACCTTTGATACAGTTTTCCTACATTATCTTTCACGTGACTCTGTGGATTAAGAAAAAAATAATGTATGATTTCAACTTATTACATATTTCAAATAGTTTAAACAGTACTCGACGCCATTTTAAACTATCTTAATAACGTGCTACTTAATATCTATAATAAAGTTGTGAAAAAGCTACTTAATTTATATAAATGTATACACTATCTTGAATACACTGTTGTACATTAAAAGCAACACATTCATAGACCATGCAGCCCAACAAAATGCTATTTCTATCACTTTGAAAATTTATTTCGCTTTTCGTTGTTTAAAAACATACACTGTAGTGTAGCTTAGTAAACTATTTTACGAAAATATTTTAGTCATGAGCTCTTTAATGAGTGAGGCAGGCGCTAAACATACCCAACCGTCTACAGTACTCTACAGCATACAGATGTGTAAAGGCGTTCTATTTTCATCATATAGGCCTACATAAATATATGCTCGAAACATGTTATTTATCTTTTGAATTGCTTTTAATATACAGTTTCACATTATCAATAGTTACTGTTGTATTTTATAGGATATATTCTGTTTTGTAAATAAGATGAACATTCATTCAACGTGAGTTTTAATGTTTCTTTAAAACTCAACCCAAATACCTTGAAACACAGGAACAAGAAAAAGTAACAACACAAACGCTACAAAAGTAAAGTTTGGACAACAAACCTGGTGAATATATTATGCGCATGGGCAAGGCGCCGTGATACACATACATCCGATTGGGTTGGCTGTGGGATAAGGATTAAAAATGTTTGGTTAGAGGGTATTGTCGTCTGTTGGTAAATGTACACGTGAAATGTATACGACGGACAAATAATACTAAATGTTCTCTGAGAAAGCAGTTTCAGTCATTGTTAAGCTTTTAATAATATAATCCAGGGACGGGGGTACGGAACGCACCGTAACACCCTACCTAGTGACGCCATTTGTCGTTGTTCTTCTTTAAAATGTATGCAACCAAGAGATATGTTAAAATCATATTTATGCAGCGAAACAAAAGAATATAAAGAGGTAAGCATATTATAACTGCAAGTTCTTTATATAAATGAGCATGGTAAGCTGAATTTATTAACCCGCTGTTACGGACATTTACATTTGTACACATATCTATTGATCGTGTCGCAATATCGTGTATAGTTATACTTTCTATTGAAATATCAAAATGTAACTATAACAATACTTAGTCTATGGCTACTACAAAGCCACAACTTCTTAATGTTAGAGTATTTAATCTTGGACCAGTAAAGCTGGTAGTCTCCAAACATACAAGAGTTACCCGTAGGGCTGGTCCGAGAATTTTTTAAAAACTCCCTCACGTATACATATAAAATGACAGGTCAAAATGAATTAAGTTAAAATATTACAGCGTCTGGTATAGAAGCAATATGATTAGATAAACTGAGCCCAAAACTTTAACTAGATCAAATAACATTTCCCTTTCGTGCCCAAGACACGTGTGGCAGATGAAGTAGAATTCAACTGCTTCAGAGATCTGAGCATAAGAAGGGATAGCGTGGTCAGCACTATGGATCCCAGTAAATATAGATCTAATCCTTAATAGAACTTTGAAGTAACTCATAATTGATTTTAAAAATTGCAAGTACTCTGGCATATAATAATTATTTTAATTTAATAGGAGGCTGTTGTTGTTGTTTTACTTATATTATCTTTTATTGTAAAAAACCAACTTACCACTAGCTGTAACAATAAAATAGCAAACGGTAACGACAACAACGACAGCGGCGATAATGGCTTTCATCTTCAGTGTGTAGATCGTAATGTTCTAGCAACGATTTTCTCAATGATTGAAAAACCTTATACGTGCAGCGTCTATTTTATATCGGAGTCTGAAACCACGCAGCTGTTTAAGACTGCTCTCTAGGCTGAAGGTTAAGTTTGTTCTTATCTGAAGATGTCAGTGGATTATCGTGATACAAAAATTGCTTTGTAGAACATATTACAATTTTCTTGAACACTGACTTTATACGTCAAGAAAATCTAATTTTTCAAGATGCAAATAGCCTATAGTGAGAATATGATGCTGACTTGTCCACGGCATTATACCATTGGTAGACTGTAGGTTCTTTGTTGTTAAATTGACGCCATGTGCTTAGATAGATAAAAATGCTGGCAGTACTACATATGTATGTGCGTGTATTTTCGCTTTAATCATTATTGGCGTTATGCACTTTTGCCGAGATTTTGAAATTAGTTAAATAAATAAATAATTAAACAATAATTCCCCTATCACTCATTTTATGAGTAATAATATTAAAATCTATTAATATTGCATTTATCAGAAAAAGAGAATTTAACGAAATAGACGCACTGAACTTGATATATAAAATAAAAATTTAACGTATGCGAACGAACTGTTTTTACATTAACTACATCGAAAAATCATAAATATTACAATTAAAAGAAAAACTTTTACACGTTCTATAATACATTTACATAAACTAGTCCAAAAACTAGTCCAAATTCTCATTATACAAAAGGTAACAGATGCAACAGACCCTTTTAAGAACCTCCTCTAAGTGTTGTTGTGGGTCTTGATTTTTTTTTTAAACATGCCGTTCTGTTATAGTCTGATTCAAGTGGTAGTGCCATACCAAAGCTTACTGGTATAGACGAATGTTTTAGGAAGCTTACTTTATTATCTTTTAGGCTTTTAATTGTAAGGGCAATAATTGCCATTATCGTTGTATTTTCTTAAACATGAATAGCTTCCCTTTCAGAACTGAACAACCTTCTTTACAAATTCCATATACAAAATAGATCACTAAATGCCATAATGTATTAAATATAGCGGCTAACGTGTAAAGTTATATTTGTTCTCAACATCAGATTATTGAATTTTTCTATATAAAAAAAAAAGCTGGAGAAAAATATTTATTCTGCTCATTCAAGGGACATAATGTACTTTTAAAAAAAAAACATTTTACCACGTGGAGTTGTCCCTAAATGACGCCACACTTTCAGATGACGAGTTACTGGCGATGACGTGGGGGGGGGGGGGGTCTGACTTCTGTGACAATTTGTGTCGCATTGGATTAAGGGGTTTCAGGAAGGGTGACCTCATATTTTTTACATACATTTTTAGAAAAGCATTTTTTTTTTTTTAAACTGAATTGAAGAAGTTTTTTTTAAAAATATACATCCAATCTGGGGTGCATTGCAACTGAGCAAAATAAAATTGTTTTATAATAAAATCAGCAAGTGTTCAGCATAATAAAAACGTATCAAATTGTAAATGACCATACAATTCTTGCCTTTATTTGATTAGTGTACAACTGCGGGAACAACATAATAGCGAATAATCAGCATTTCTCGACAGATTTCACACTCCTTAAAGGTTCTTGGTAGTCGGAGGCACATTACATTATTTTACGATGGTCTCTGTGAATGAGGAAACATCAACTATAATTACATATGTTTTAATATTTAAAAAAAAATTATAATTACACTTGTTAAATATTTGAAATAATAAGTCATATTAAGAATAAAGATTCCTCTTTAGACCTATCGATCCATTGGGCAGATGAAGTGGAGTTTATATGTTTCTTGACCTCTGCATACTATGGATGGTGTGGGCAACTCTTTGCCCAACATAAGTCAGGTACCCATCAAGCTGGGTGGGCAAATCCTAACAGAGATCCGAACTCGAGACCTTGCAGCTAATCGCTCTACCATTCGATTACGTGTTTTAAATGCATCTAGGGAAACATTTCTTTGAGTAAATCCAATACAACTAGAACATGACGGTGGCTGTCGCAAATTTCATACCACAAAGCTGATATTCGCTAACTGTAGTGGCGATACCCCATCTGAGACGTAGCCATCCATTCCGGCGTCCGGGGCGAATTATTAACTTTTCACACCCCGTGTATAAAGTTATTTACATTGACAAAACAGCACCCCCCACCCCTCTTTACCAGTCAATGTCCCTTAACGGTTTTTATGTTGGTATAAAACAATTGAGGTTGAAAACAGTTAAATAAGCCTGTGAAGTTAAGTAACAAAATACTTTCTTAACTTCCATTGTGTTTAGGTAATGCAGCTCTAAAGGTCCTACCCCGTTCGGCATCCTAGACTCGTCGCCCGGAGTGGTCGCCCAACCTGACCTCCCCTAGCTACGCCTCTGCACCCCATCTATAAATATTTTATTTAGCTTAAAGATGGGTACCTGACTCACGTTAGGCAAACAACAGCTGCCGAGGTCACTGAAACAGGTGAACTCTACTTCACCTGCCCGATATGTCTTGTGCACGAACGGGAAAAGAGGATGAGCTGATGGGGCCTTTAACAAATATTTAGTAACGGGAAATGTAAAACGATTCTCAGATAGCATAAGGCCGTGGTTTAAATGACGTTAGTGCATGGGCTAGGGATAAGGTCAGGATCAGGTTTATGAAAAAAAGTTAGAGTTACAATTGCAGTAACGAAACTAGCAACAGTATCCTGCCGAAGTTATCTTAAGTTTCCTCAAAAGTAAAATGAGCACCTACCCATGACCATCCGCAGGGGCAGGGGGCCCGTACACACTTACAGTTGGGGGGAATATTGTCGAAGAAGTCGACGCCTGTAATAAGGAAAAAATCTGTTACAAATTGTCTGACATGGGATGGCGTGATCAGATAGTAGAGCATACGACTGCTAACCCGAAGGTTCGAGTTCGTATCTCGTAGAACATCACTGAGTCCACCCAGCTCTGATGGGTACCTGGCTCACGTTAGCGGTTGGGCATAGTACTGCAGAGGCGTAGCGAGGGGGGGGGGGGGGGGGCGGGGGGAACATATGTCCCCGGGCGCTGACCTTAGGGGGGGGCGCCAAAATCGGTTGGAAAAACAAATTGAAGGTTTGAGGGGGGTGTGTAAATCAAAAGTTCGAGGGGGGTGGGAGTGCAAATCGAAACTTTGAGGGGGGTGCAAGTCGAAATTTAGGGAGGGGGGTGCAAATCGAAAGTTTGTCCCCGGGCGCCGGGAAGGGTCGCTACGCCTCTGTAGTACTGACCACACTATTAAACTGGTCCCGCATAAAGTATTCACTTCAGTATTTATTTTTTTTACGTTAATCTGTTTATTGTTGTAATGAAAAATATTGAAATATGTATTAAACTTGACGTCTTAAAATGTTGTTATCAATAATAAATTACGTATATTTATTTATCAATTAATTAACATTTTAATTATGATTTAATTAAGCTGAAAATAAAAATAAAAATTTCAAATTTTGTAAAATATCGTACCTTGTGTGGCTACTATGAAATAGCAAACAATGAGTGCAACCACGATCGCGGTTATTATGACTTTCATCTTCGATCCGTGTTTGGTAAATGAACATGTGAGCTGTTTTCTTGATGAGGCCACTAATTAACATGTGTGTGTCGCAACTCGCTGTTACTTTGTTGAATAAAGCAGGGAGGTAACCATGGACGTCTTAAGCACTTAATGGGAAATAACTCTATCATTAAAGATCACATTTTTGTAATGTTAAGATGTTAGTTATTTAATTATATAATTCTTTAAATTACCTAATGGACACAAACGAGTTGTTAAGAATCCTTTCATCATATTGTTGGTTTGGATACAAAACGTGTTTTATTTTTAGATTTTGCAATCAAAGCGGCCAGAAAAACAACAAAAAATGAAAACGTAAGCCAAAAATAATTAAGAAATTAATTAAAATTAGGCTCATTGAGTTAAAGTTGATATTCGACAAAACTTGGAAATAATACTAACCAAAGCACTCGTAGCCAAATTAGAACCACACCTACCAAAACTAATACATACAGACCAACAATGCAGCGTCACAGGCAGAAACATACAGAACCACAACCATCTAATTAGGGACATTATACAATACACACACGAGAAAAACACGCAAGCCTGCATTTTAACATTAGACCAAGAAAAAGCATTTGACAGAGTCTCACATAAATACCTACACAAAGCACTCAAGACATATAATTTAGGCAGTTATTTCAACACTTGGATCAAAATAATTTACACAAATGCAAAAAGCCACCTCCTTATAAACAGTAACATAACCAGACCGTTCAGTATAGACAAATCAGTTAGACAAGGATGCCCCCTATCACCCATATTATATATTTTAACCCTAGAACCTTTATTAGAAAACATCAGACGAGACGCAGACATTAAAGGAATAGACATACCGAACTTGACGAATAAAAAGATATTAGCATATGCCGACGACACCGCCTTTACTTTGCAGACGGAAAACTCAATAAAATTAGTGGTAGGAAAATTCATTGACTATGGACAGGCTAGTGGAACAAAAATTAACTTAGACAAGACAGAAATTATGGGACTAGGACGTTGGAAAAACAGACAAACATATCCACTAAACATGACAGCTAAAAACGAATTACACATATACGGCATAACACACCAGAACAATCCCTCGCTGGAAAATAACAAAAGATGGAAAGAAATTATAAACAAAATTAAGAAAACTATAGACTTCTACAAGTACAGCACAACAACAATTTTTACAAGAGCCGCAATCACAAACAGATACATTATACCCCAAATAACATACACCGCCACAGCCCAAACAGTCCCAAAACCAACAATCAAGGAAATAAACAAGCTCATTAGGAGATATATCTTCCAACACACTATAGGCAACATCAGTCACAACACACTAGTCCAAAGCAAAATACACGGGGGAATAAATCTACACGACATACAAACTAAAATAAATACATTTAGGCTAACACATGTAAACAGAATAATTAGCGAACCACACCACCACCCATTAGCACATTATTACATAGGGATTAATCTAAATAAACATATAAAAATTAACAACAACTCCCCACATTTCATAGGACAAAAATTAAACAACTTCTATACAGAATGTATACAAATCTTTAAAACTAACGAAAACCTTTTAAAAAAGAAATCTCAACAGATTTATAGGAAATTAGTACAGAAGCTTGCCACCCCTCTTTACAATAGAATATCCTGGTGCAGGACATTCGCTTTAACAGACACGACGGACACTTTTAAAAACCTTCATTTCAAAACAATAACACCTAAGGAAAGGGAAATAACATACAGACTGATTTACAACACAACACCACTGAGACACGGACACCAACACAAGACCAACACACCACTAGCGACACGCAAACAAAAATCCCTATGCTATCTATGCAAACAAGACACCCCAGAAACAGAAACACACATCTACCTAGACTGCCCAACCATCCAGACCATGAAGAAAACGTTAGAAACCAAAATAAGAAATAAGAACGAGACCTTCAATGTTGATATAGGAATAACGCTTAACAAAGTACCAAAACAACAAGACCGGACTATACTGGAAAAAAAAATAAGAACAGTAGCAATATACAGACAAATAATTTGGAACTGCAGAAATAGGGCAAAATACAACGAGACAGAGTTTAACAGACAGACTTTGGACTTGATTTTTAACAGACGACTTGACAGGGAAAACACACACACTATAAATATGATACCACAGCCGTTAGGTCACGCAACACCGCTCCCAGTACATGGCCCGCCACACCCAACCAACTTCCCCCCTCCCCTCACTCAAACCTACCCTTGAATAAATTATTGTTTACTTTACTTATAAATAATCTTTGCAACCCCTCTTTACCCCAACCACTTAGCAAGAGTAAAAATCTGTTACTTGAAATCTTTGAAACTATACTACCCTTTTACTTTGCCATACATGGAAATCCCCCCACTGGTAATGTTTCACTGTGAATGTTTAAGTAAAAAGTTACTAGTTTTACACTCTTATCGTGAGACTGGGAGATTTTATCTCCCCCTTGTACCCTTACCACGCAACATGACGCTATAAATGTAACACCACAGCGTTCATTTCACGCAACAACGCTCCCAGCGCCTGGCCTGCCACAGCCAACCAACCCCCTCCCCCCCCCCCCCCCCACCCCCAACCAAACTTCCCAGTGAACGATTTTTGTTTACTAAGCGTAGCAAAAACGATCACGCTATCTAGGTCGCCTTACCCAACCAACCCCCACCCACCACCCACCCCCCTCACTGACCCACCACCGCTCCCCTCTTATAAATTTGTCCTTTTATGTAATTCAAATACGTTCAAGATATTTGATTTAACGATCATCTCTGTACATTACCTACTCAAATTAATTAATAAGTTTGTTTTGAAGTTTAATTATTTTAAAATTTTGATTAAAAAAAAAAAATAAAATAAAATAAAATAAAAAAATTTAAAAAAAAAAAAAAAAATGAAGACTGTTTGCAGATAATAGGCACAAATGGAAAGTGTGAATGCAAATGACTACCTATTGTACATAATATATCATGTTTTTTTTTTTATACTTCAGACATAACTATGTGTACTTCTCCCCTCTTTTAGGAAGCCTAGACAAACCTTTGAAGCCAATGTTGTTAATATAAAGTTTACTACAACTCACCACTTTTATTTATCATAGACAAATATTGTCCCCTTTTCAACTTTATTATTTAGAAATAGCAACTACCTATTGTACATAACATATCATGTTTTCCTGTATACTTCATATATAACTATTTGTACCCCCCCCCCCTTTAGGAAGCCTAGACCAACCTTCGAAGCCAAATTTTGTTAATATAAAGTTTACCATAACTCAGCACTTTTATTTATTATAGCCAAATATTGCCCCAATTATAACTTTAATTTTCAGAAACAGCAAATTGCTTTTGGCCCATGAAATAACCCCCCCCCCCCCCTCCCTATAAAATACATATTTTATTCTGTAAATAACATGTAAAAAATTTTGAGAATGAAAGTTTCAGGAATAGTTTATATTGTAAATCTGCATCAGTCTTCTTATGTCGCATGATGAACGTAGTAAAAAATCAGCTACTGCCACCACTCATTGGCTGGGCTCGCTGAAAGTAAAATCTACAACACTGAGACGTAAAAAAGAAAAAAAAAAAAAAAAAAAAAAAAAAAAAAAAAAAAAAAAAAAAAAAATGTTTTTTAGTGCTGTCATTGTCGTCAACGTTAGTCTACGTTAAATCAAGTCTAGTACGTGAGTACGTGTCCTGTGAACTGTACCTTGTCGTGTTTTGCTTATATTCTACTGTTCCAAATAGTCCGTCTATAGATAGATGCCTTCCTTACCTTTGCTCTAGGACACTCTAGGTCCGTCCTGTTTCTTTGTTTAGGGATTGTGTTTAGAGTTATGACTATATCGAACACGTATACCATAATTAGCAACACCACAACGTAGAGAACAAATTACACTGCATTGGTACCTGGCCCGCCTAATCTAACCGACACACCCCTCATCACACCCTCCCCGCCCCCGCCCTAAACCTCATGATGCCAACATCATGTTGCCCCCATAACTGCATCCCCGTCGTCACCACGACCCTACCCCTGTGTTGAAATACTATGTTAAATACTAAAGATGATGTATTATCCAAATACATTTCTAACAACATTAATTTGACTCCCACCCCCACAACCCCCATGCCCCCACCTTGTTTCGCATCATTTATCATTTGTCATTTAGTTTCCTATTGTTGCTTATTTGTGTATTGTTTTATTTATACAGCTTTCAAACAAACATTGTAAAACCATCATTTGACACTATTTTACTATTATCATATATGTACAGTACTTTGGTCCACAACGTACACAATGACCCCAATGACCCCTCCTCCCTTTGTATTCATGTTATTATCCCTAAATTAATACTTACAGTTGTTTTGTTAACTTAATAACATGAACGGCCTTATTTGAACTCTTTTATGAGAACACTGTTAACCAATGTTTTACCTTTAAAACTCCACTGTATCCCCACACCCCGTGATAGCTACACGCCTACTCACCCCTAACCTGTCTGTACTAAACATCCAATAAACATAAACACCGACTTGAACATACCAACCTTTCACCCTCCCGCTAAATCGCTCACACAGCAACCTGTTCCTCAAACCCTCCCCCCACCCACACACACACTATAAATAGTAACACCTCAGTAGTTAGATCACACAGCACAGAATTTGACGCTTGGCTTGCCTTAAACACACACAGACACCCTCTCCACGCCTCGTCAGACACATCTACCCCACCACCCACCCCAACATCAAATTCGAATATCTATTCATTTACTTATTTGAAGTTCGAAATTTTGCTTCTTTCCCCTCATCTTTCACACAGCAACCTTTTGAAAACTCAACGCGACCAGTATATAAATATTTTTTCAACTGGTCAACTTAATTTGTTTCTCTACATAGAAAATGCTTCACTGTCCCATTGACTCTCCGCAACCACCCCCCCCCCCCCACCCCCAGTCTTCGAACCATTTCCTTTCCACTCCCCACCCGGACTCCTGAAACTTTCATTTGACCTTCACCCCTTTTACTGTTATCCCTTTCAATTTTGTATAATCACATACATGACATCATGTAAAATATTCATTATGTACATTTGCAAAACCTTTCGTTTTCATTTGGTGTTCGAAATTATGTAAAGAATTTGATGTTGATGTATTTGTTTTAAATTGCAAATAAAAGTAAAATAAATAAATAAATAAATCTATCAAACGAAAGAAAATATTGTGGAAAATTGTATACAGATATAGCCTACATAGACTAGATCTAGTCGCGTTATCCTAACAAAGGTTTTAGTTACTTTCTGCGCAGTGTCCGAGTTGATAGTTTTGCTTTTTCGATTTTCTATTGTTTTTCCTTTTCTGCTTGTATTTACTAATGTACAAACAATGCACATCAATTATGTATTGAATATTCTACTATGTAAATATGTCACTACATATATGTTTGATGTTAATTGTTTTAATTGCAAATAAAAGTATTTTAAAAATTTTTTAAAAATTTAGTTTCAATAAACCTTTGGATGATAAAGTTTATGCTAGCGGCTAGCCCAGGAGTCGGCAACCTTTCAAGACGGAAGAGCAAAAAGTTTCAATTTACAAAATTTCCCAGATTTTAAAGAGCCACTACAATTTATATTTCAATACTTTGTTATTTGATTAGAATTAGTTTAATAAATTTAATTTTTTATTTAAAAAAAAAATTGCCTTAAATATTATGCAATAATGTTTATTCATATGAATAAATACATAAAAACGTTTATAATTACAAGCTTTTATAAATGCACTAAAAAGAAGAAAATAATACCATTTTTATTAAATATAAAATAATTATTTAAAATATAATAAATCTGCGGTTATTTTATACTATATAAAAAATTACTTTCTTTAAATATATTAATGCACTACCATTTATATCACTATAATTAAAAGCGTGGGCCGCTTGTTTAAATACTTATTATTATAGCGGCCCACGCTTTTAAGCCTATTGACAAGCAAAATGTCTTCGTTTATGTCGCCATTACCTCGTGAAAACCAAATTGCTTTTGACATTTTAAAAAAAATTGTTTAATCACCGAAAATACTAAAACGTCAAATACATACACTATTTTTAAAAGTCAGAAAAGATCAAATAGTCAGGATTCTGTAAGCATATTAATTTTAATTACACCGTGCATTATTTCTTAAAATATTTAATGGGCTTCTCGAATAATTTCGAGGCTATTTTTGGTAGGGTCCAGTTATGGTGTTATTTAAATTCAAATTAAATTAACAGTCCAATAATGAAACGTGTTTGCAAAAAAAAAAAAACACCCCCCCCCCCACCCCTATCCTGCTAACCTTTCTGCCCTACTGTGTGAGTCACCATTTAAAAAAGTAATTGCTCAAGATAACATCTGGTGCACGTGATGGCAATAATCAGATAGTCAATAACGAGTCTCTAACTCAGGGGTTCCCAACCTTTTTATACTCTAGAGCACATTCTAAAATATCGGTAGGGTGGCGGGCACCACATATTTTAAATCGACAAACTCCTTCCATAACTTGTCATTTTCCCATAATTTATTTTCTTATTTTCTTATAGTCATAATGTATTAATAAGTAATAAAAAAAATGTTTCAAAATAATAAAAGTATTTGGCATTTTTTCAAATTGCATACACACAGAGAAATGTAGTTACAAAAAGTAAAGAAAGGTTTTCTGCGTGTACAAGGTGTGATGTGCAAATGGCACTAGCCGTTCCAGGCTAGCGTAAATAGTGCAGTCTGGCTCGCCGCTAGACCAGTTGGGACAATTATCGAACAAATTTAATAAACCTAGGCAGTCAAAAAACAAATTAAAACTGTAACAAATAATTGAAAATAAATCATATTTTAAAATAATATTTATGAAAAAAAATCTGTCTGTCGAATAGTGAGAAGCGAGCACATACGAATCGTTCAGCGGGCGCCATGGCGCCGCGGGCACAGGGTTGGGAACCCCTGCTCTAACTTAATGTACTGTACCAGTCCTCTCAAGTCGATGGTGAAAACTAGTGTACTACTAATGCGAACATGGAATATCAGAGACAACTAAAATAAAAACTGTACTACTAAAGCGAACATGGCGTATCAGAGACAACTAAAATAATCTGTATTACTAATTCGAACATGGCATATCATCAGTTTTCTTTTTCCTATTTCGTATTACATTTCAACATTTCGATTAATTATTGTATGTTCATTGGGTAGTTGTCACTGATAATAAAATGGGTAGAAAAAAAACATCTCGGTAAAAACGAAAAGAATTGCATACAAATTTAAATTAATAAGCTTTGTATTTTTATTTCAACTGGATACAACTATATCATGACATTAAAGTATCACTAGCATTATCATGCCATATGTCACAGATACAAGCCTCTTTTTGAAGATCTTTGAAAAAATTCATAATTGTATCCTCCACCGGGCTCTGTGGAATGAATTAATTAAATCAGCTTTAAATTATGGGTAAGTTTTGGAAAAACACATTAACAAACGGCCCAACTCTTATAAATAGGTTCAAGTTTTGTCAAAAGTTTTACGTTCCAAATGTCTTTAATAAGTTCCAGTCCATATTAGTCAGTAAAGTAAAAATCCCTTTCAAACCTGACGGTCTATAGGGCAAGTGAAGTAGAGTTCACTTGTTTCTGTTACCTCGGCATATGAAGAGATAGTGTGGTCATCACTATGCCCAGCCGCCTTTACTTTCCCTAACGTGAGTTAGGTACCCATCAGAGTTGGGTGGACTCAGGTCGGTCTACTGACTCGAACCCGGATTCGAACTCGGGACTTACGGGTTAGCAGTCCAACTCCCAGTCCATATTGGAACTTGCAAAATGTAACGATTCGTCACACATCATGAGTCCGCCCGAACTCCCAGTCCATATTGGAGCTCGCAAAATGTAACGATTCGTCACACATCATGAGTCCGCTCGAACGTAACAAATCGTCACAAACTTGTGAACATCCACGCTCCACTAGGCGTGTGATGTTAGTCGGGGATCTCTAAAATTTAGTCAAAGGATAACGAATCAATATGTTTACCTCTATGCGCATGGGCAAGGTGTCCGGTCACACATGCATCCATATACACCCCCGAGCGGGTTAGCTGTGGGTGGAGGAAAACTTTAGGTTAGAGGAGTCAAACTTGTATCAGAAAATTAACACTTGGAGCAAACTTTAGGTTAGAGGAGTCAAACTTGTATCAGAAAATTAACACTGGAGCAAATTTTAGGTTAGAGGAATCAGAAAATTAACATTTGTCTCTTTGAAGAAATAAACATTTCAATATGTACGCATTATGCTTCCTTTTGGGTCTCCAAAGATTTTAATCTTTGACCAAACTTACAAGAGATACTCGTGGATTGGTCTACCTTACATTTCAACTACTTCAACAATGAACTTTACGTCCATTCATATTTGTAATTATTGCCTTTATAATCTGTTTTACACAAAAATAAAAGTGCATTTCAATAGGTTTTTTTTCCTGTTACTCAAAGCTTCAAATAAGTAGAGGAAAACGCACTCTATTAAGAAAACTTTTAACAAAACTCTTCTTTCGTATTCAACGACGGATTAATATTTCAAAACTGAATGAAATTGTCATTTAAAATAGAATAAAAGTTTGTGTCATCTTACCGCTGGCCGCGGCGATGAAATAGCAAACAGTGACGACAGCAACGATAACGGAGATGATGACTTTCATCTTGTCGGTGTAAGATGTCTCGTATAATCAACACTCAAATGGTTGCTCTAGGAGGAAATCTTCACTTATGCGAGGCACGGTTTGAGATTTTTTTTTAAATAATTAGCAAACTACGCAGCTGTTGTTCGAAAGGTAGGTTAAATCACTTCTTATCCTAAGCCTTTCAGCGTATCGTGACAAGAAATTAAACTTTAGGACGAATTATAATTGTCTGCATAGAATACCTTACAAGAAAAAAGTTCCAGGTACTAACATCAGTCATGACGTAATACTGATTCTGTCTACAGTAATAGTAATTTAAAATGCCAAAGGTACGCAAATATAAAATTTCAATTAGTTAATTATTTATTGGTAATTTAATTTGTTCAAGAATCTTTAAGCATCTTATCACTGTAGCTGGCCACAAAGGTTTAAAGGTTTCGTAGTGAGGTTTTAGGGTTCTGATAGTGTGGTTTTATGGATGGTGTAGTGATGTTTTAGTGTTCTGATAGTGTGGTTTTATGGATGGTGTAGTGATGTTTTAGGGTTCTGATAGTGTGGTTTTATGGATGGTGTAGTGATGTTTTAGTGTTCTGATAGTGTGGTTTTATGGATGGTGTAGTGATGTTTTAGTGTTCTGATAGTATGATTTTATGGATGGTGTAGTGATGTTTTAGTGTTCTGATAGTGTGGTTTTATGGATGGTGTAGTGATGTTTTAGTGTTCTGATAGTGTGGTTTTATGGATGGTGTAGTGATGTTTTAGTGTTCTGATAGTGTGGTTTTATGGATGGTGTAGTGAGGTTTCAGGGATCCTGTGGTGAGGTTTTAGGGCTCGTGTTGTAAAGTTTCAGGAGCTGTGATGTAAGCTAAGGGTCCAGGGTTCGTATATGGATAGATGTGTCCCCACACACCACTGATGTATAGAGATGGATGTGTCCCCACACACCACTGATGTATAGGGATGGATGTGTCCCCACACACCACTGATGTATAGGGATGGATGTGTCCCCACACACCACTGATGTATAGGGATGGATGTGTCCCCACACACCACTGATGTATAGGGATGGATGTGTCCCCACACACCACTGATGTATAGGGATGGATGTGTCCCCACACACCACTGATGTATAGGGATGGATGTGTCCCCCACACACCACTGATGTATAGAGATGGATGTGTCCCCATACACCACTGATGTATAGGGATGGATGTGTCCCCCACACACCACTGATGTATAGAGATGGATGTGTCCCCACACACCACTGATGTATAGGGATGGATGTGTCCCCCACACACCACTGATGTATAGGGATGGATGTGTCCCCCACACACCACTGATGTATAGGGATGGATGTGTCCCAACACACCACTGATGTATAGGGATGGATGTGTCCCCACACACAACTGATGTATAGGGATGGATGTGTCCCCCACACACCACTGATGTATAGGGATGGATGTGTCCCCCACACACCACTGATGTATAGGGATGGATGTGTCCCCACACACAACTGATGTATAGGGATGGATGTGTCCCCACACACCACTGATGTATAGGGATGGATGTGTCCCCACACACCACTGATGTATAGGGATGGATGTGTCCCCCACACACCATTGATGTATAGGGATGGATGTGTCCCAACACACCACTGATGTATAGGGATGGATGTGTCCCAACACACCACTGATGTATAGGGATGGATGTGTCCCCACACACCACTGATGTATAGGGATGGATGTGTCCCCCACACACCACTGATGTATAGGGATGGATGTGTCCCAACACACCACTGATGTATAGGGATGGATGTGTCCCCCACACACCACTGATGTATAGGGATGGATGTGTCCCCACACACCACTGATGATCCCACACGTTACAGGTGGGAAATGTCAGAACGTGACTGGGAGCAAACGTTGCATGTACCTCCATACACGTCAACTCCCCCTATGCACGTCTTCTCCCAATGCACGTCTACCCCCTCAATACACGTTTACCCCCCCCCCCCCCCCATACATGTCTAGCCCCCCCCCCCCCCACACCCAAATCAGAATATACTTATAGAATATATAAGATATATTTAAAAAATGCTAGAGTCTAGTGCACCCCCGCCCCGGAGAAAAAAGTCTGACAGGTACTGTACCGATGTTTTGAAAGATTAGACGAACAACCTGTTCCATGAGGGCCATTAATCGAACCAACGGCTGGACGTAAGGTGTCATTGGCTATCTACGTTTGCATCATCAAAATACACACACACGCAAAACAAAGATACATATGAAACTGGTGAAAATCATAAAATGAGGGTAATTCATTTATAAATAATAAACATCTTACAGTTACCAGGCATATATTTTTAATAACTGAATTTATAAAACAATTTTTTTTTAAAATTAAAAATAATTTAATCAAAGATTGAATTATGTTTATGACATTATGAATTATAAATGTAAATAATCGGATTTTTTTTTAACAAAAAACAACAAAATTTGTAAGTTAAAAAAAAGTTGCGGTGGTTCTCATAGCTGATGATTGACGCCAAAATTTTAACCCGTACACCTGGGATGTCCGTCTGTATGTCTGGCACCTACATCCGAAGTCTCGGCGGTTGAGGTGCTGGCACGGGGGGCGGCACCTGTACTGGACCTGGCCTTCGTGTCACTTCCTCAAGAACTGGAATAAACAGGTATGATGTAGGTGGATGCATGTTTTAAGGTCTAGTTAAGTAGGTATAATAGTCGTCTCAGTTTTTAGTGGGGTAAGTAGTGGGGTAAGTAGTGGGGTAAGTAGTAAGGTAAGTAGTGGGGTATGTAGTGGGTAGTGGGGTAAGTGATGGGGTAAGTAGTGAGGTAAGTAGTGGGGTAAGTAGTGAGGTAAGTAGTGGGGTAAGTAATGGAGTAAGTAGTGGGGTAAGTAGTGAGGTTAGGGGTGAATTAAGTGAGGTAAGTGGTGAGGTAAGTAGTGGGGTAAGTAATGGAGTAACTAGTGGGGTTAGTAGTGAGGTAAGTAGTGGGGTAAGTATTGAGGTGAGTAGTAAGGTTAGTGGTGAGGTAAGTGGTGAGGTAAGTAATTGGGTAAGCAGCGGGGTAAATAGTGGGGTAAGTAGTGGAGTAAGTAGTGGGGTAAGTGGTGAGTTAAGTGAGGTATGTAGTGGGGTGAGGTAAGTATCGAGGTAAGTAGTAAGGTAAGTAGTGAGGTTAGTGGTGAGGTAAGTAGTTTGGTAAGTAGTGGGGTAAGTACTGAGGTAAGTACTGAGGTTAGTGGTGAGATACGAAGTGGGGTTAGTAGTGGGGTAAGTAGTAAGGTAAGTCGTGAGGTTTGTTGTAGGCTAAGTAGCGAGGTAAATGAGGTAAGTAGTGGGGTAAATAATGAGTCTAACAGCTATAGCGGCCCAGTCTATGGTCCATGTGATGTTGGTCAGCTATAGCGGCCCAGTCAATGACTCACGTGAAGTCACCATGTTTGAGCAAGATTTTGTGTGCATCCACCGCCAGCTACATGGTATCAGCGAGTCAAAGTCTTCCTACCCAAACATGCCGAGTTAGCAGTAACTCAGCCAACATAACTTTCAACGATTTAACTTCCGCGAATTATAACAAAATTCAACAAACCACAGTTGCACAAGAGTTAGCAACAATAATGAACATCCTATTTAAATGACGGGCATTTTCGAGTTTTGAACGTAAACAATGAAACAAATGACTGTGATTGGCTGTATACATGAACTAAGCTGACTCACCAATTCCCATCAGTAGAGGCAGGATGACCAAAAAGAAGAGTTCGTAGCATAATGTATTGTCGTTACTTACACCGTGGGTAGCACTGAAACTGTGAGGAGTATATAGCTTTTAATGTGTGGATGGATGGATAAGTAGGTGGATGGATGGGTGGGTGAATGGATTAAGGGGTGAACGGGTGAATGAATGGATGGATGGTGGATGAAGACGGTGGATGAAATTAAGGGAGGTTGGATGGATGCGTGGATGGGTGGATGGATAGATGGAAGGATGGGTTGATTGGAGGATAGAAGGATTGGTGGGTGGATATAAAGATAGATGGGTGGATGAATGGAAGGTAGGGTGGGTGGACGGACGTATAGGTACTGTGGAAGTTCTATGCGATAAGATAATACATTTCCATAATTTTAAAAAAACCTACATTGTGTCATTAGTTTTTTCCTGGCATTCATCTCCTAGCTGGAACCTTAACATGAGATGAAAGAAAGGAATGTCCACACGGCTACAGCTGGGTGTGGCACACACACCTGAAAACATCGATTGGTGGTTCCCTTAGGGCCATCCGTCTGTGACAATGTCCATGTCTAATGTCCATGTTCATCGTCCATGTTCAATGTCCATGTTCAATGTCCATGTTCATTGTCCATGTTCAATGTCCATGTTCAATGTCCATGTTCAATGTCCATGTCCAATGTCCATGCTCAATGTCCATATTCATTTTCCATGTTCAATGTCCATGTTCAATGTCCATGCTCAATGTCCATATTCATTGTCCATGTTCAATGTCCATATTCAATGTCTATGTCTAATGTCCATGCTCAATGTCCATTTCTAATGTCCATGCTCAATGTCTATGTCTAATGTCCATGCTCAATGTCCATGTTCAAGTGAATGTCCAATATTCAATACCTTATGCCTTATACATGTGAATATTGTGTAACCAAGGTCTACTCCGATTTTTATTTTAAATATCTTTATTTATCCAAGGTTATACATTCCTTACCACCATTCCCCATCTTTCCATCAGCGTTTTGTCCCTCCCCTATGCTGTGAGGCTTACAACTAAGTGACCTTTACTTACTGGTGAAGCCCATGTACAAAAAGAGCAGGAAAAGCCATTTCCGCAGTCCGCGTCTTGTCTGGCCATAGTTCGAACTCGGGTTCTCGGCGTGGGATTCATCACCAGGCGATGCTGTCTTCGTCATGGTCACGTGATTACCTTCACAGTTGACCTCCCTCTCCACGTCCCCTGCCCCCAGGGGAACCTCATCTGTGGCCTGTGCGAGACGCGCCTTTTCCTGCGGGGTCAGTGTCCATGCCTTGACCTCTGGCGTATTCCAAAACTCTACCTCACCACAGGGTGACGACTTCTTGCCATTTCGGACCAGCTCTCCCGGTAACAGTGACGTCATTTCTTCAGATAGATGACAAGACTTGGTCTCTGATCTGACCATTTCAACCTGAATATACATATATATATATATATATATATATATATATATATATATATATATATATATATATATATATATATATATATATATATATATACCAGTATGGGGGATTGTGTTTAATACATTACTACACGTTTCATCCATCACCTCTAGTCATTAGACACAGTAGATGGAGACGGTTGGGTGAGGTGCTAAGAATAAGAGCAGATGCATTGGCCAGGATTTCACTCAGATGGACACCACAGGGCCAGAGAAAATCAGGGGGGGGGGGGGCCAATAGATACATGGAGAAGATGAATGGAGAAAGTGTTGAAGGAGAGAGACCCAGCATTCCAACAGGCAGAGTTCATAGCTAGAGACAGGACTAGTCGCTAGATGGCGCTCACATGTTGATGCCTAGTACGTTGATGGCATTGAGAGATGATTTTTTAAATTTCTACAGGTACTATAAAGTACTTTGTGAAAAATATTGAATTATTTAAACTGAGAGAACAGCGAAAAATTATTCTATTATTAAAACTGTTATCTTAATAAAACTTGTTGTAGGCCTATCTCTTTGCACTTACGCAAATTACTGGTAGAAAATCCCCAGACTGTAGATTATCTGCTTTAATTAAAATGTCACTAATTTACATAAACCCCAAGCGATCGTAGAATACTAAATATTTCAACGTACTAAAAACATTTCTCAGACGAAATTATTGATTTCAATTTTTATAAATTAAATATTTTTGTTTCAATCTATCAAACCCTAAAACACTGATATCTTTGTTTACGTTTTAGCTTGACTTATGTGACGAAGTTGCACTGATTTAGACAGAGCGCGGTGCTGTTCAGTGACCGGGAAATCCCGTTAGTCCACGATCGTGCAGAAGAAAAGGTATTCGATTATCTTTGATCTTCTTAAATTTACGATTATCTTTCCTCGTGTCAAGTATTTGTCCCACTGTAATTGTGTTTCAAGTAATCGCGTTTCTTGGCTTAAAAGACTAAATCGATTTCCTATTAACCTTCGCCAGCTGATAATAGATATTTGTATACAGCTTTATAATTTTTCAATAACAAAACCATTTTTGAAGATGCTGCAATAGAGCATGTCGGAACTTAAGGAACTCAATGCATTTTTAATTGTATTATTGGAGGATATTTCCTCCAATTCAATTGAGTATAAAGTTTTTCTTCCATAGCCTTTTCAGTAGTAATCGGTATAGGAATGTTATCGTCTAGTTGGGTTTCTGTTCCCTGCTAACACACTCTGGGGTTCGAACTCGGGACTTTTGGGGTCAGAAACCATGAGCTACCCCACCCCACCACGCCGTTTCTTCACCGTAATCAACTTATATTGATTAAGTTGAAAACAATTTTGTTGAGATAATTTTCGTGTGTTTAATACTTTGGATGAATCATTCTAGCCAATGTGCTTGAAAATTACTTTTTATATAATTTAACAATTTTCGATATGCCGAAACGGAATCAATGGGGATTAATTAACACATAATGGTCATTGTCAAGATTAAACTGTCACACACATACTCTTAAAAATACACACACACACACTAACGTACCACTATTACACACACGCACAAAAGCAATCACAAATAGTCATTTCAGACTCACGCATGTAACACACAGGCTCTCTCTCACACATTTACACACATTCACACATACCACACACAATCCCCACCATAGACACACAGATTCACATACACATATGTGCACACAATCACACACACCGCACACAACCTCCCCGTAGACACACATACACAGATTCACACACAGACACGTGTACACACATTCACATACACCACATACCCTCCCATTTACACACATACACAGATTCACACACATACACACACAGAGACGTCGATGTATCATGTCAGGTTTGTCAGGAATTGCCTTAAGCACCAGCAGTCCCTTCAGCAAAAAAAAAAAAAAAAAAAAAAAAAAACTACAATAAAAGGTAAGACAACTTTCAAGACGTGTTGACCTTTGAACTTTATTTGGTCTCAGTACAACCTCTATAAATGTAAACAATGACACGATATGTATGACATAGCCATGTCGCTTGTTATAGAAAACATACAAAAAGTATGACAGGAACAACCACTGGTCAGTCGCCTTGACGACATGTCAACAAAACTCTTCTGTAGAGGAAAGAAATAAAACAAAAACTGTACAAGTGTGTTAGAATTAATTATAATTTATTTTTCTTCAGCTTTTAAATTAATAGTAGATCTAAAGTGCATGATTTTTTTTTATTTTACGAAAAATTATTTTTTAACTAAAGAAATTATATATTAAAAATAACGGAATGTTTACATTCAGAAAGTGGGGGGGGGGGGGGGGGGGGCGGCGGGAGAGTTACTTTTAAAAAAATAGTGGGTTATTTTATAACAGTCACTCAAATGAATTCGAATACTCCACTTACCACGATTAGCAAATGCATGGTGCCATAATACACTGACATATGACGTTACCCAACAGGCCTACTGGGTTGGCTGTATAACAGATAGAAAATGGTATAATTAAACGATATGTTGACAAGGTATACTAATCTAAATACTGTCGCTAACTAACCATATATCAGTTTTATATAAATGTATCATTTTTCTAGAGGACGGGACGAAAACAAACATAAAATCTTTGCGTGTTTGCAATATTGTCAAATATATCGATACAATCTTTACGTATGTTCCATGTTGTCAGTTAAAAATATGAATCAGGATCTTACCGTTGGCAGCAACGAAGAAATAGCAAGCAGCAGCGACAACAACGACAGTTCTGACGATTGCTTTCATTTTTTTTTCTTTGTGTGTAGTATCAGAAAATTGAATTTCTTCAATAAATAATAACGTTAAGAAGACTTCACGGACTTTTATACTAGGTTTTTCAAAGCAAAAATAGATACACCTGAGAAAATATGCACATGTTGATTAAAATCTCCTTAATTAATTTTTTTATGTGGGTCAATTATAATCTACACCGTTAATCGTGACATCACAGAATAATAAATGATAAGTATTTTTTCTAGTGACGACAGTGAATGTAATCAGCACTGGAAAGGTTCTTCATGAAAACAGTCTGTCCAAAATATAGTAGCCGGACTAAACAAAAGTTTTAAGACTACGGCTTTAGCTTATTCATCTTTTATATGTTAATCAATTCGACTATAGTTTAATATATGATAAAATGTAAAACAAAAAAAGTTGCTTTCTTTAAATAAACGAATACTTTTTTTTTAAATTAGTTTTTGACTATTTCAAATCATTTGCATTTGTCGAAACTTGACAAATTCATTGACAGTTGGGTAGGTGGTAGAATTGCAATTATACTGCGAGTTTCGCTGATCAGTTATAAGTGAATGAACCAGTGGCGTAGCTACCGTAAAGCTAGCGTAAGCAAGGCATAGGGGCCCAAGGCAAATAGGGGCCCTTTTTCGAAAGTTTGAGGGGGGGGAGGTGCAAATCGAAAGTTTGTCCCCGGTCGCCGGGAAGGGTCGCTACGCCTCTGAGGGGCCCACTAACACTTTTTGCATAGGGGCCCAAAAATCCTAGCTACGCCACTGGAATGAACTAAATAAATCGTGTATTTACTATCCAAAAGCATTAAATGAACTAAATAAATCGTGTATTTACTATCCAACAAAGGCAGTAACAAAAACACTTTTACAGCCGGTCGGTGGTCAGATGAAGTAGAGTTGATCTAATTTTGTATAAAAGCAGGTGCACCGCTGGGTAGGGTGGACCATCCAGGTAAACTAATCAAGGGACGTTGATTCAGGTAAGTTAACCAAGGGAGGTGTATCCAGGTAAGTTAACTAAAGAACTTCTATCCAGGTAAATTCTATTTTTATAAATAGACTAGACAACGTCAAACAAACATCAGGACTCACTTGACCAAGTGACATCCAACCAACTCAAACCTGGCGAATTAACACTCAATAGTGTTCTTATAAAAGTCAATGACAAGAACAAACTATTTATTGATACAAAACAAAACAAAATAGTTTTCAAAATGACCACATAGTCCGAACTTTATTTGATTTGAGTGCAATAACAACAATGTCAAAAAGTGACATTAATTGATTGAAGATTGTGTCCTACATTGTCACAATATAACTGACAGCGTCATGTAATGGGGACATCAACTCTTAGAAAATAAAGAACAGCTAATCGGGGCTCTTGATAATATCTTGTTTAATGTGTTCTGTAGAGAAAAGATATAAACATTATAGGAAAATTGCGTTACAGTTGATTAAAAAAATTATCTATCCTCTTGATTAGTAAAACAAAAATCCACAGATACGACTATGATAAGTTTGTTACCTATGGGTAGAAAGACAAGTTTAGGATAAGTTTGTTAACTTGTTGTGGAACTAAGATAAGTCTAGGATAAGTTTGTTAACGTGTTGTGGAACTAAGATAAGTCTAGGATAAGTTTGCTAACGTGTTGTGGAAATAAAATAAGTCTAGGATAAGTTTGTTAGCTATGGGTAAAAACTAAGATAAGTGTAGGATAAGTTTGTTAACTTCTGGTGGAACTTAGATATGCCTAAAGTTAAGTTATTTAACGTGTTGTGGAACTAAGATAAGTCTATGATAAGTTTGTTAACGTGTTGTGGAACTGAGATAAGTCTATGATAAGTTTGTTAACGTGTTGTGGAACTGAGATAAGTCTAGGATAAGTTTGTTAACTTCTGGTGGAACTAATATAACTCTAGGATAAGTTTGTTAACGTGTTGTGGAACTGAGATAAGTCTAGGAAAAGTTTGTTAACTTCTGGAGGAACTAATATAACTCTAGGATAAGTTTGTTAACGTGTTGTGGAACTAAGATAAGTCTAGTAAAAGTTTGTTAGCTATGGGTAAAAACTAAGATAAGTGTAGGATAAGTTTTATTAACGTGTTGTGGAACTAAGATAAGTCTATGATAAGTTCCCACCGTCACTTACCAGCCAGAGCTACACGGACAAGGGGCGACAAAACACTCACAGATGATGTTGTCAAGGAAGAGAGGGTTGGCTGTGGGTAGATCAAAAACATACATCACAACTGGTGGTGTGTAAACAATGTATACTCTACTGACTCTACTGTATACTCTACTGTATACTCTACTGTAAACTCTACTGTATACTCTACTGTAAACTCTACTGTATACTCTACTGTATACTCTACTGTATACTCTACTGTAAACTCTACTGTATACTCTACTGTAAACTCTACTGTATACTCTACTGTAAACTCTACTGTATACTCTACTGTAAACTCTACTGTATACTCTACTGTATACTCTACTGTAAACTCTACTGTATACTCTACTGTAAACTCTACTGTATACTCTACTGTATACTCTACTGTATACTCTACTGTAAACTCTACTGTATACTCTACTGTAAACTCTACTGTATACTCTACTGTAAACTCTACTGTATACTCTACTGTATACTCTACTGTATACTCTACTGTAAACTCTACTGTATACTCTACTGTAAACTCTACTGTAAACTCTACTGTATACTCTACTGTATACTCTACTGTATACTCTACTGTATACTCTACTGTATACTCTACTGTATACTCTACTGTAAACTCTACTGTATACTCTACTGTAAACTCTACTGTATACTCTACTGTAAACTCTACTGTATACTCTACTGTAAACTCTACTGTATACTCTACTGTAAACTCTATTGTATACTCTACTGTAGGCCTATACTCTACTGTATACTCTACTGTATACTCTACTGTATACTCTACTGTAGGCCTATACTCTACTGTATACTCTACTGTATACTCTTACTGTACTTACTGTCAACTTTTCACAAAGAGCAACATACAAAACATGAACAATAAAACACCTTGTGTTACAGATAGGGCAGGCGAAGTAGAGCTCACCTATCGTAGGCTGTAAGTATCATCATTTCAACTCTTGAGTTCCGATTATCTACGTATACATTCATTAGGAAAGTTCCCTTTTCGAACTTGACTGTCCATGGGGCAGGTGAAGTAGAGCTTACCTGTTTTTGTGACCTTGGCATACGAAGGGATGGTGGGGTCAGCTCTATGCCCAGCCTCCTTTACTTTCACCAAAGTGAGTTATGTACTCATTAGAGCTGGGTGGACTCAGGGGCGTTCTACTGAATTGAACCCGGATTCGAACTCGAGCTTTCGAGTTAGCATTCTAACGACATTTATTAGTCGTTTCCTAAAGTACACTAAAATTGTTGTCGTATTTAACCTGTACAGGAGTCACGTTATGTTCTTAGCTAAGCCCCACGTCCTGAACTAGATAACGAACTCAATGACCGATTTTATGAACTAATTTAACTTTAATTAAACTTTGAAATCTTGCACAAGAAACGCTAACAATATTAATATTATACAAGCAGTATAGATGTAGCCCACCTCTAGTTATGAAACTGACTTTTATTATTGAAAACAAAATATTGGTTTACTTTTTATTAAAATACTTTAAGTCTCGAATCGTTGTTTACTGCCCTGTAAAATAACAAAACAAAAAAAAATCTTACCATTTGCCGCTACAAAGAAATAACAAACAGTAGCAACTACCACGATGGCGCTTATAATAGCTCTCATCTTGGTTGATTGTTTTGTAGAAGAGACTAGATTAAAGTTATTTTAGCAGTGTCAATTTTATGTTGGTGAATTCCCCTTTTTATTGTGGTGTTTCTAATTAGTAATCAGAGTACCAGAAGGAACTTTCGCATCTGTTGAAAGAGATCTTATCAGATAAAGAACTGTTTCAGTCACTGTTTTTTATCCGCAGTTTCTATACGATAGGTTTATCTAATAGTGTACCTAGTTGTAGTGATCTTATCAAAAAAATTAAATCCTAACAAGTTCAAACACGCTAAAATACAAACAAGCTAAAACACAAATTGACACATTTTTTCATTAAGATTTTAAATTAAAAATTTACATTTTACATAGAGTGTTTCTATGAATCATCCACAATCCACAAATGATTGAAAATAAGCTCCTAATTTTACTCATGTCTATAACATCCATCAGATTAAAAACTACTGTTTATTAAAAAAAACAGTAGAAGATGTTAAATGGGAAGAAATAAATTATCTACACATATATGGCATTACGGTTAAGCATGTAGCTCTAAAACGAAAGAATATAAGCTTACAGCAACAAATGAAATTTAATTAGCCTAAAAAAGGGGTCTCCAAACTACGGCCCGCGGGCCCTCTCATCCGGCCGGTGGAGATCTTTTTGTCTACGAAAAAACAAATCGGAAATTTCCGTGTATCCTGCAAGATCAGCCGCCGCTTACTTAAACGTTATGTTTTTACATAAGAGGGGCGCAGTAGTGTGTTATGTTTTTCAACCGGTCACTACAGTTTCAGCAGCGGTTTTTCGACTCGGATTCAAAGGCAGAGGAAGTGAGACTGTTTCAAAACCCATTTGAAGCAGATGTGGCCAGTTGCCCAGATGAACTGGAGGTCATTGAATTGCAAGCAAATGACCTCCTTAGGGACAAGTTCCAAGAAAGAATCGTGGGGTTTTTTTTTACAAGTTTTTGCCTAAGGAAGACTTAGGCTTCTCGGCCCTCGAGCTGCTATTTGATAGTTAATGCGGCCCTCGGGCTGATTCGGGCTGAAAAGTTTGGAGACACTTTGCCTAAAGCTGTTTAAATTTTTTTAGTTTTCAATGTAAGGGCAGCTACTCATTTACTATTTTGTACGAAATAAACATTGGAATGATTATGTCCCCATTAAAGAAGAGAAACAGTTCAATTAAAATTTTATTAAAATAAACGGGCTAAGTTGGAGAAGTAGAGGCAGAGCTTCTTTCAGGCATCTCTTCAGCAGTGTTTCTTTCAGACTTCCCCCCCCCCTGGGGCACTTGATTTTTACGGGGCGGGACGGGGACGATGACCGCCGACTAAACTTTCCGGGGGGGGGGGGGGGGGGGGAAGAGAGGAGGATACTGGTCAAACTATAAATTTTCTAAATAAATTCCATTTCCTTCCCGGGGAGAGGAGGGGTGCGGTAGACCCCAAATGAGAATGAATATATATAGAATATATATATATATATAGGCCTATATATATATATATATATATATATATATATATATATATATATATACGCGGAAAATTCCGCCCCTCCACTCGAGAATATCAAGCGCTTCCCGGAGAAAAAAGTATGAAAGAAACACTGGGTAAAGGGGCGATGAATTTTAACCTCAGTTTAAAGAGTTTGCCTTTTGACTTTATTTGACGATGTGGGAAGGGAAATTGGAAAAAAATATGTATAATTTATTTAATCTTTATGGATGACTCCTTTTAAAATATAGCTTATGGTTAAGAACGAATAGTTTTAAAAAGCAAAAAAATTTTTGCTTTCTTTAGTAGGAATAAGTAGATCTATATTCTTTCACATTGAATTGAACTTTTTCAAATAAATAAAGAATTGGGTTTCCTTTGTACCATAATTTTTAGGTTCTAACCTTATTGATACTCTATTGCCAAGGGTCGTTACTTTATAACTTCCGTTGCATTCTCTCCCACTGAAGGTGCCCTCGCATACATTTTTTAGAAACAACATTCTAAAAATCTTTAAAAATGACCGCCTTCTGGAGACAAGTTGGACTAAAGTATGTTAAAACGGTATCAATATACCGTGGTTTATGATTTGTTTTCGTTGATAAACATACAAGATCTAGGTCTATTTCTTAGCATACACGTATTCGGCGGGTGTTGGGAGATTGCGAGACGCGAAAAGCGAAATGGCGATGCGGGAAAATGCGAGAAGATAATGCGAGACATACCTGCGGAATTAAGGGTAAATAGCGAGACACTTTTTGCGAAAAAAAAAGTTTTTTTCATGCTTTTTTCATCTTTATTTATTTAAATTATTTTTTTTTTGTTTTAAAATAAACAAGCATTTAGCCATACCCTTTAACACGAGTGTTGTATGTTGTTATTTTTTTTATCTAGATTTTATTATATAGATAGATAGATACTAAGAAGATAGATCTATATCTAGATCTATCTATTTAAAATCCTAACATCGTTGCTGTGCTACTGTCATCGCCCGCTCTCGTTAGCGAGAGGAAAATCCCGTCTCAGTCGGCATTAATTTTAAAAATCTAGCTCGCTCATGTTTATACAAACGTGAGCTGTGTCATTGTGAATTGGTTTAATCTTGTCAGCAGGAGAGATATTCTGCAACATGTATTTATGGATTTTTGTACTTGTAAAAAGTGTAAAAGTATAAACAATTCTAAAAAGTGCAATTTATATTTATATGATAAAAAAAGCTAGAAAAAAATCGTAGGCGGCGGCTATAATACAAAATTTCTATGTAACAATAGAAAATATGTTTGCGACGGCAGCGGATCCGGGCACGGTGATCTTCAAAGACGGTAAATCAGGCGGCCTCGGCGTTCCACACAAAAGAAAGAAGTTGATCTATCGTCGGCGGTATTTCCGTCTGTTTCGAACAAGGTGGTATTCTAAGTCAACACAAAAGATGGGGGGAGTTGACAAATCATCAATATGTCTAGCGACGGAAAAATCGGAAGTTTTAACAATGTAAAAGAAACGTCTTTGAAGTCTGGAGCAAATACCAAAGAAAATCGGGTGCGGTAAATTTTTCGCAGAAATCTTCGCATTTCAACACCAACCAGCATAAGTATCGGGTTGTGGTAAAATGCGAGACAAAAAGTCACGTGATCGAGCGTTTTCGCGCCCTTCTCGCATTTTCCCGCCTCGCCATTTCGCTTTTCGCGTCTCGCAGTTTCCCCACACCCGTATTCGGCTGATTCAAGCCTATCCTGCAACAGTTACGTTACGTTACACTACCTACACTACAGTCTACAGTCAGTACAGTAGTACAGTACAGACGACTCAAAGAAAACAACAGAAAATATATTTCATATTCTACATCTAAAAAGTATTATTGTGTAGCCTAACTAAATGTTAACAAATTTAATGCCGGGTCTAAATAGATGCAGCCTTTTTAAATTTTGGTGACCAACAGTCTAGGCCGTTCGGTTCAACGCTTCCGGGTTTGTCCTTTTCGTGGCATCTCACGGCTCATGCGCTTACTAAAAATGGCGACCAGTTTCGCTTTCACTAAACGGTAGAGGGATAAAACTAATAATTACGAGGCCATCGTTAATTTTAGACATCGGAACTATCCGTTTCTATTTCAGTCTGTTATTTAAGAATTCCCAGATCTACTTTTGACCTAATTTTTTTGTTTGTCTCGCAGGCGACGCGTTAGTGAAAATAGCTCTATGAATTCTTGTCTTTTATATCAAATAACTCTTACATATCGCTTCACGACGCAAACCAGCTTATGTCAAATGTAAACTTTAAAGTATTAATTTTACACATATTACAATTAACTGGTAATAATTTATTGTGTTAATGATATATGTGCGTGGGAAAACGATCACCCCCCCCCCCCCCCCCCAATAATGCCATTTTATTATAATCTTGTTTAGTGAAAACGAGGCGCGGGAAAATGTGTGCTGCGCAAGAATCCAATCATTTGGCTAGATTTATGACTGTTTTTTTATGTCACACCTAAAAATAGAATGTTTACCCTTTCTTCATTGATGATCGTTTTTATTATTTTTTAAATTGAAAGTATGTTAGATTGCAGGTTTTGTAACTTGGTATACTTACCATTTATCAATTTTAAAAGCATAGCATCCTGATTGTGAACAAATATAGTCATAAAACACAGAAACATTAAGTTATAATTGCGATGTGCCACACCCCCTCAAGAAAACACGTGTTTATTAAGCTGTTTATCTCACTTTACAACAGTAATTAAGATTCAATTTTCAAATTTTTATCACTTATTGGGTAAGATTAAGCACATGTTTACTAAAAATAAAAAAAAAGACAAGCAAATTTTGTTTTAATGAAGGTCACGGGTAAAGTTTTTTTTCCTTCTGTCAAGTTCAGTGGAGGGTGCCACAGACTGACCTGACTTTGGAATTTTTTTTCAGTAATAATGACTTTACACAGAAAGTTAAAATATGCTAAATTAGCTTAGTTTACTAGTGTTCTAGCTATTATTGATACATTTTAAATAAAAAAATCATTCTGTAATTCTAATCAAAAAGCCTACCAACAGTCTAGCCAAGAATTTACCATGACAACTCGTTGACAGGCTGTAGAACACAAGCAGGAGAATTTCTGATATCTAAATTTAGATACAGTTTCAACATCCCCCTCTCCATAGACTTGTCTTTTAATCTTAATGTTACTATAATGTACCAAGCTTTTCTAAATTCTTAATTTCACTCGTCAAGTAACCTGTGTTGTGCAGTGTTCTACAGCCTGTCAACGAGTTCACCTGCCTGAAAACATTGAGTAAGCCTATGTTATAGTTGTCAGTACTTTCTGCTGATACAAATAGGGTTATGGATAGGAAAAGTTGGTGTTAAATTAATAGTTACAAAGTGACAACTCTGAAGAAGCTTCCCCCTTAGTCTGGTTGGCTGGCAGAAGTCGCAAAACTCAATGACCTCAATAGATGCCCAATGAGATCAATTTTCCATTTTAATCTTATTCTTCTGACAAAACTATCTGTACCTTGTGTTCGAGCAGTTGCGCTTCTGGCAGGGTGCAGGGGATGAGGATTCATAGTATAGTGATAGTATATCATCTCGGAGTTCTAGTTAATAAGTTAGGTAAAAAATATGTTTTAAAAAATCTATTTTAATAGCCTGTTTAAATCTGCTTTTTAAGTATTTATCGAGTTGATCACTCTCTCGTCAAGACAATACTACACACTTAGGCCTAAACAATAAACATTTAGATGATGAGAAACCCAGATCATTGTAGTACATGCGCATCTTCTTCGGACTAGAATCGGCCTAATAGTTATGTAGTAATGCCTGCAAAAAAAAAATGGGGGAAAAAACATGTATTTTCATGTTATTACTGTCAACCCTAAATTTTATTTATTAGCCTAATTTATTGCTTGCAGTTGCAGCAATTTAAATTCAAAGCTAATACTAATATTGAGCATGACAAATGTCAGAAGCTAACTAGGAAAATGTTTGTTTTTTATGTAAATATAATGATACAAGTTTTGTAAAATGTGCTTGTCTTTGTTTTTCAGTTACATAAATTACTCTCAGATATGTGCAAAAGTTGTAAGGAGGGTCCTTAAAGAGCCTCACAAGACAAATGTGTTTGGAAGAGATGACAGTGTCATTAAAACAGCCAAATGGGAAAATGGAAAAATAGTTAAAACAGGTATTTTCTCCTTTCATGTTTACTTCTAAAGCTATTTAATGTCCTGAAAATACTGTATAGCTTTTAAAAAATGTATTCGGCAAAACAATGAATTAAAAACAGTGTGGTAAAACTAATTAGATTATCAGTGGATAGCAAGTTATTTATAATATAAATTGCATCATTGATGCTAGCATGACGAAAGATGGCTCCTAACCTAAAGAGCCAACTGTTTTAAATGACTACTGTCATTCAAGCAACCCTGATGCAAGAACACTGTCAATTTGATTAATTTAACCTTTTTATGTGTAAAATAATTCTTTTTCAGATGGCAAGCTAGTGTCTTAATAAGGGTATGCAATATATCATGCATGGTGTGATATATAAAATTCCCTGATAAATTTAAGTTATTATTGCTTGAAATATCCTGGTAGAATGCTATTTGCTATCAAAAAATAATTACCCATATTACTAACACTGTATGCTTTTCATATTGGTAGAGTTGATTTTTTTTTCTATAAAATTTAACATTTAAAATTTTAAGCATTTTGTAAAAATTTAAATGTGAATCTTGTGTTGTTGGAAGAAAGGCGTGTATCCAGTTTCTACTTCTTATGTGTAGCTTTAGAGTTTTTTAACTTTGTTTTGCCAGCATTTCCCATGGCTATTGTTGCTTGTCTCCAGCTTTATATGATGTATAACCTGGGTGGATGTTTTAAGTTTCTCTTGGTTGAATTAGGAAGGTCATACTGTTTTGGGGAAAATACAGATGAGTTGAATGGACATAAAAACTACCACTAAAGTATTTGCAACTAAGTTAATTAAACAACTTTGAAAGCTATTGTGTGTAATGTTCCATGCCCTTGTGAATTTGTTTAGCTAGCTACATACATCTGGTATAGGGTTCTTTTAGTTGATCATTTCTTGCTGTACTTCTGGCACATTACCCTGCTCAATTGTCTAAAAAAAATTTTTACAAACCTTTGCATTTATCTACATTTTACTTTTTTGTTTGCTACAATAGCAAAGAAAAGATATTGCATGCTGCACTGTGATTTTTTATTTTTTTTTGTTAATTAATCACTAGTTTTGTTTTATACAAAAATGTGAATTAAATAACCAACTGATTTTGCAAATTTTAGGATATTGTTATGTTGCTTAAATCCTAGAGATGTTGCCATGGTTCCCATTAAAATTCTAGATTATAAACATGATGCACTAACCCTTAAAAGTTAAATGTCACTTGTTTTTGTAACCATGGTTGTGTGTCATATCAATTTATAGGCTTTAATATAGTTTTTTTTAAGTCATTCTCATAGCAAATAGCTTTTGATAAAAGTATTAAAAGGCTATCATGCAATGTGAGTTTACTTGTTTAAATGTTTCAAAATTATCTTTTTTTTATTTTACAATTTCAGCACAAGGAAAAGAATAGACTTTTTAGGACAAATTTATATATGGATGTTGAATGGTCGCCACCTTGGATTGCTTGTCGTCATGAATGGGACTTTTTCTTATAGCTAGCTCTGTAAACAATTTTACTGCAAACTTCCTGTTTTCTATTATGTTATTCAATGGAAATTTGTCAGTGTTCTTATGAATGAATGTTTTATTCATATGAATAACAAAATAAAATTATTTAAACAAACCTTTAGGTGTTATTTCAGTCTTGTAATTTTAAGTACAAATTTAAAGAAAAACAAGTAAACATTACTTTTATGTACCATAGGTTTTAATATCTAAAATATAAATAGGACAACTTTAAATTAAATATTAATAAATAACAAGGTTATAATTATTCATATTAGTTGTAATTAGTATAAACATTTTAAAGTTGACAATAAAAAAGCTATTCGATCTCAGATTTTTACAAACATTTAATATATACAAAGATATTTGAAACAAATCTGTTAAAACTATTGTTTATGAGTCCGGGAAGCTTTTTACCATGAGAAGTCATCTTTGTCGCTGAAAGTCAAAATAAAAAGCATTTAGTACAGGCACAACTTCACACATAAAAGAGGTGTATTAGTTAGTCTAAATATAAATGAACAACACCTTTTATCAGGTACTGCCACTGAGAGCTCCTCAGAGTCTGAATGAGAAGGGGTTTCGTCCTGAAATGTATGATACAAATATGAATAAGGCCCAACTTTTCTTTTAATAGATTAAAGAACAAAATTATGATGGCTTAGATTCATTGGCTATACTTGCATTGCAAACAAGTAGCCTACAAATACTTTCCTAATTAGCTATATCTACTTGTCATTTTAAAAAACATACCTTTTTCTTCTCGTAAGACCAGAGGTCATCTTTAGCTTGCTGTGGTGAGAGAAAAGTATTGTAAGTGTTAAAAAAATGTGAGAATATTTTCAAGATTTCACAAAATTCACACAGAGAAAATTAACATTGTTACTTGTTAGAATTTTTGATTAATCAAACTGTACCTCTTTTTCTTCCTCTTTTTTCTGTTTAACCTTGGCCATAAACGCCTTCATGACTGGGTCAATGTTTTCATCCTCTTCTTCCTGTCCACTTGCCTGTTATAACAAAACAAATAAGTACAAGACATTATCTATAACAATCTTATATATTCTATGGAAAATTTTGTATTTTAAAGATTATTTGTGTTGGAAATTTGAGAGGGGAAATCAGACTTGAAAAATAGCTGTCATAGTGAAGTAAATATTCTTACATTTTTAGCTGCGTCTTCTCTTGATCTTTCCTCACTTTGGCTCTCTTCCCTCTCTAGTTCTTCTTGCCTCCTCTCTTCTTCCAATCTTTCTTCCTCTAGCCTTTCTTCTATTTCTCTTTGCCTTTTTTCAGTTTCTCTTTCAATTTCTACGACAGAAAACATGAAACCAGCTAAAGGATAATTAAATGTCCGAAATTATGTAAAATGCATGCAGCACAACTTGAATACTCTATTCTTCAGTAAAGGACGGCATCTGTAAAGCCATTCTTTCTTTATTACCCCGATTTTGATTGTTAATTTATATTATTGAATTTAATTATACATAATTTATTTTATATTTATATTTAATGTTTGCTTTAATATTTAATATTTCTTTATCTGGGTGTGTTCAGAGGACAAAAACCTACCTGTTCAGACATGTTTTAACTGGGAAAAACAATTTCTTCTGATGACTTACCAGCATCTTCATCTTGGAACTGTGACCTCCAGGCCGAGTCTAGAGAGACTGGATGAAATGGTAATGAAGCTGCAACATCATGATAGGCTGGAGCCTCCATCTGGTGTGGGGGGGATGTTGCCTGGGTAAAAAAATCTCCACCTCTTGTGTCTGGCTCAGTGTTTGATCTCTTTTCTGAAAAAAAAAATATGATTAATTAAGGTCAAAGCCCAAGAAAAATAAATAATAGTTGTAACTTAACAAAACTGGCCATTGCATTTGGAAAATAAAATAGGTAGTAGATTTATTATTTGAAATGTTAGGGCATTATTCCATTTGCTAGATATACTTACCTTCTTCACTGGAGAGTGAACCACCAATGACCATAATTGCTGGAGATCCTGGTCTCAGTTCAAGGTCTTCCACTGTAATAATCTTTGCATGAGCAGTTTTCTTCTGGCTTACTCTGGTGATATTTTACTTCATTTATAATACTGACTTCAACTTAAAGTTCATTTAGGATTTTATTTTAAAGTTTCAATAATATACAAATTATGCCATTGTTTTGTGTATGTTTTATATTTTAGTTTTTAAAATTAAAGTAAAAAATGTATTGCAGAAAATTCATAACAATCTACTCAAGCCAATCAGGTTTATTCAAAAAAAAAAAAAATCCAACAGTGTCACCTTCTGACACTATGACTCTAAATTATAGATACTATGAAGCCTGCAAGTTAAAAAATGCATCAACACTCAACTGCAATGTCTAACATAAGATTTTATGTCTGTCTTCTAGCCTATATGTCAAGCTTTAATAACAATATAAACATTTCACTAAATCACTCCTGAATGATGCCACACAACTGAGTTCACAAGCTTGCTAAACCAACCACAAACTGAATCTACACTAAAATCTTGAACAAGTATACTGTCATGGTTAAACATTGACAAATAAACTCACGACTGCAGTTCCTCTGTATCTCTGCCAGATATTTTCTCAGTCAATGGTAGATCCACATGTCTGGATGCTGTGCCATTTTTTGTCCTCTGTGACTGGGTACCCAGCTGGTTGAAGCTGTCTGTTTACATTGAAACATGGCCAATTTAAAACATGAGTTGTTTTATTATTATAGTGAATTAAATATTCATAAGCCTGGTCTTGCACTGCTCTTTTCAAATATTAAAAAAATTCAGATTTTAACATATTTTATGCAACTAAACAAAATTAGTTTCAGCACAGATTTTTTAAAAATAATAAAGCCGTCAATATAACTAACAATTATCTGCTAGTTCAATCAACAATAGTGATAAGTAATCTCACATGGCTATCAAAACCATTTTTAAAAATATGGAAAGAACAGAGCAAATAAACTTTAAACTTGTGGCAAAAGCACAAAATAAAATTAAGTCAACTGACATCAGATTTTATATGTAAAGTGCTTTATTTACCAAAAACAGGGCTTTTTTTAAATAACTAAATCAATGTTTTTTTAATGACTTTATATTCAAGGTTGTGGGTTTTTCAATAAACAAAATGTATATTTTTTTCAAAACTGGTAACTATTATTAAACCAACCGGTGAATTCCTGAGGTTTTCTTGGTTGTTTGTATGGGGTTGATGACATGGGGTTGTCAAATGGTATAGGACTTGGTCTAGGTGATGCCACATCCTGTAGCTGACCTATATGTTACAACACCAACCAAAAGACCAGATAGAAACAGTGAATTATCTACATCAGTTAAAACACTAATTTCTTCTAATCCAACTATGTCAACAGAACACTGATATTTGCTACAGATCTGCTTTCAAATTTCATTCAAGCAAGTGAAAATTTTATTTCAATTTATGATGTACTAAATTCTTCTTATAAAACACTTAATTGTGATTTTGCAGACGTGATTAACTCACAGCAATTGTGTAAAAAGTAGACTTTTAATACAAACAAGCTGCGTGAAAGAAATTAATAAAATAATATTTTCTGAAAATAATTATAAAAAGTAAGAAGTAAAACAAAGTTACCAAAATATTGTCTTACACAGAAAGTTAAGTGTAGGAATATTTTAATTCACTAGAGAATAAAATGACAAAACTAACCAGACTTTCTTGCTTTCGGTGAACCAATTGGTCCACTTAACGGCAGAGCATTGATGTTAGTTAATCGACAGTGAAAGTCATGATAAGCTCTCTCCAAATTCTGGTTTTGAATCAATTAAAAAATGCTTTTAATCTTTCAGTTTATTATAATATCTGTACTTAAAATGTAATTTTAATTGAGGTTAAAAACAATTTTAGCATTATAAAAAGAACAAAAAAAGAAAATGTTATTTAATCATATATATATATGATACACTAAATAAATAATTCTTACATGGGCCTCCTTGTCCAAATTTTTAAGCCTGTATTTAGCTTGCGCAATGATGTCAGCGGAATCAGTAGATGAGACGTCATCATCCTCATCATAGTAAACCCCATCTCTGGCTTGTGGGCGTGGCCTCACGTCAAAGTCAACATCGTGGTAGACATCCTTGGCGTCGGCTTCAAACCTCAGGGACATCCTGGGGCCTGGGTCATCTAGGTCAAACTGCACTGAATTTTTACTGGTGTCATTCTGTAACCTTCTTGAATCACTTTGAGCACCACTTCAAACAGAAAACATTGACAAACATTCAGATATATAATTATTCACCCTAAAAATGTAGGATTATTTTAGATTTTACTAAAAATGCATTAAAGTTATAAGGTGGAAAATAAGCTGAAAAGGAAAAGTACTAAAGAAGAACTAAATTGTCATTTATATAATGCAATGAAAATATAATAGACCTGTATGGCAAGTGATATACTATGTTGCTAAAAAGATCAAACTAATAACCCCCCCTCCCCATTATCCACCCTAAGTGTCTATCTAAGTAGTACTTACTTTTCTTGCTTCTCATTTGGCTTTCTATACACTTCATTGCTCAGAGCTTTAGGGATTAGAAGAAAATTGTGTTACAACAGTCACACATGTCAGTATCTAGAGATATGAAATAACGTTGCCATGGGCAAAGTTAAATGGGGATAATCTGATTGTCAAATACAATAAATAACAGTGACTGGGGTTTTTATTCTATCAAAATAGAAACATAATAGTTAAATTGATCATTTTAATTTATCATATACTAAAAAAAAGAAAAATGTACTAGTTTATCTTGGTAAAAAAAAATGTATAAGCAAGTGTATCAAACCTTTGGTGGTCATGTGTAAGTGCTGCCTCAAATCAACAATTTCCCTGTTCATTTCTTTCATCTGGAGAGTTTGTTCCTCAAACCTTTGTATCAGATCCTTGTTGCGATCAAGCTATCAACCAAAACATGTAACATATTTTTACAAATTCTGACATGATTAGTCAAGTTTATGTCAAAACTAAACCTTTGTATCAGATCCTGGTTGTGATAAAGATACCAAACAAAACATGACTTTGTAATACAGTTAACTCAACTATTACATTTTATTAATGGAAAATATTTGAAATAAATTTATAAAGATTAAAAAAATGTGAATGCAAGGGAGAGAAATATATATTTTAAAAAATAGACTTTTGACAAGGTTACCTCCTCCTTGAGTCGAGCCTCCAGCAACTGTTTCTGTTGGTTGAAAACTACTTGCTCTTGTCTCAGATTCTCTTTTGCCCTTTCAAGATCTCGCTGAAGCATTAATGACTCAGGTGAAGGCCTTCGTAACTCTCGCAGAAGTTCCTCTTGCCCTTAGAAAATTCACAAACATAAAATTAGAGGCTTTGAGTAAGCGAAGAATAAATTCATACTGAAAAATCAATGTACACTGTCAGAATTTTTAGTAAATACTAAAAAAACGATTTAACTTACGGCCTCTCTCCCTTTCATTCATTGATAAAACTTCAGCCAAGCGCCTGCAATGAAAAGAACATAATAATTTATTGATTTAAGAAGCTTCAAAGTAAGGTTATATTAATGTAGGTAAATTTTTTAAATAACTGATTTAATACATGACATTACTAACCAAGTATGTCAATAAAATCTTCACTTTTGTGAGTAAATTATTTTAATGTTGATTTTAATATGTATTCAGTAAAATGTGCATTAAAATTTCAGATCATGAAAAAATAAAATTAGCTGATGTTTAATGTTGAAGATTTGCATATGTGGACAAGTGTCATACAGGTTATCAAGGATTAAAAAAGTAGATCTAATGTCATTTTAATATCTTATAATTAAAGTTTTATTCTAATACACTAACTGACATTTTTCCATCAACAAAAAAAGTTTACTAACGTTCTTAGAGTCTCCAGCTCACTCCTATACAGCACAACTTGTTCTTTCAATGTGGGGTAATCACTCATCTGTTGTTTTTAAACATCACAAAATAATTAAGTAATTTATAACAATGAAGGTGAGCGTGTGATACTCTAAGAGTTTGAACCCTTGGTAGATGGTGCTCATCTAGCAGAGGAAACCCCAAAATGAAACAATTGCTACAGAAAGATGAGCAGGGTAATGTAAGGTCAATGAGCTTATGGCATATAGCATGTTGATAAATAATACTTAATTCTGTTGGATGAAATCTCATCTATCAATTTAATTAAGAATGAAGATGAAGAAGAAGAACAATAAAAACGTTTTATTTTCATACTTAACACTAGTCATTACATTAAAAAATATAAAACTCACATCTCTCAGCTTAGCATTCAAGTATTCATTGTTCTTGTTGGCATTTACTTCACTGTACTTGGCCTCAGATAATTTGGTCTGTCAATTTTAGGTTTTAGTTATGGTATTATATACAATATACACTTGAAACATAAATCATAAAACTGTGTTTACTAAAAACGTATTTATATGATTAAAAAAAAGGTGCATAATTAATTATTTGATTAAAGAAGTGTTTGATGACCTCTGTGTATCATAAGTTTTGAGATGCCAACTGCGCACTTACTTCCAGTTCGTTCACTCTATGGGTTTTGTCCCTGAGTTCATCTTTTACTTGCTGTAGCCTTGCCTTCTCTTCTGAAATTATTCTCTCTTGCTCTGTAACATTCAAATGATAAACTAGAGGCACAAGTTTATTAGTATACAGCAGGTATATGAATGTACGTACAAAAAATACTGTAGCTTGTTAATAGTATTAGTGAATCTCTATTTTGGAATAACATTTTGAATAATAAAATGGAAAAATAATAAATAAATAAAAATAATTCATAAAATATCTATACACCTCAATCGTCTTTAAAATTGCATGTCTTAAGGAAAACATAAATTTGAATAATAGTCATTTAATTGAGACTAAGAAATCAAACAGGCAAACTGTCTTACCATAGTTAGTGTAATCAATTCACTTACCTTTTAGAGTTGCCTCCCTTACTTCAACATTTTGCATTCTATCTATAAACCTTGCTTGCTGGTCAAGTTTAAACCTACATTAGGGTGTTAATTACTTCATTAGGTTTAAGCCTATTTTAAACATTATGTCAAGTGGAAGCTAATAACTAGGTTTCTTCTATTGTTTTAAATGCAGATTTTTAAACATAGAGCTTAACTAGACTTTGTTTAATTTTGTTAATAATTTATTTAAATATAGATAAGAAATTAATTTTAAAATACAAAAAAGAATTTTTACATGTGTATTCACAACAAAATTTATTTTGAATTTTTTTGGTGATTAATATTTTTAATGAATGAAAACTAAATATATGATGATATTTTTTTTTCTATAAATCTGAATAATTTCTTACTGTGCCATTTCATTCTGCAGTCGCTGTTCAAATGAAGATTCCTTCTGCTTAATCTCCAGCTCCCTGCGCCTGAGTTCTGTCTCTTTATCTTTCATTCTATCTTCAACAAGTTTCCTCTCTCTGTGTAAAACAAAATACCACAAATTTATTTAACATTAAAATATACACATAATTTTTTCAAAATATATTTTTAAAAATGTAGTTTGGCTACTTATTAATGTCATGGGATGGTGTGGTAGAGAATATGACTGTTAACCAGAAAGTCTTTAGTTCAAAACGTGTTCAAGTTCATAGAATATCCCTGAGTCAACCTAGATCAGAAGGGTATCTAACTCACATTAGGGAGAATAAAGGCATCTGTGCATAATATTAACCACTTAATCCCTTCATATGCCGAGGAGGTGACAGAAACATGGACCGTCAAGTTCAATAAGAGCTTAAATTAATGTCTGTCAGACATATTTGAGGCTGCTTTTTGCTATTATTCTTACTCTAATCTTAACTCTAACTTTACCTACCCTTACCTTGACTTTAACCCTATCCTGATCCAAACAACGATATAAACAGAAAAATATTCTATTTTAAATACATGTTATTTTATTCCAACAAATAGTTACAGCAATGATAGAAGCAATCAGCAATGTTGGTAAGGAAACCACATCTCTTGTAACCAATTGACCATGCCAATAGTCTGCCAAGTTAGTACAGCAAGGTGACTAACATAAATGTTGATAAGAAGTGTGGAGCCCAATAACTTTAAGCCATTACATAATGAAGTCTACACCCACCTCTTGTTAACCTCGGCTTCCCTCTTCACTTCAGCTTCTTTCTGTCTCACTGTTTCGATCTCTTCCAAAATTGTTTGACGCTGAGCGTACGTCTCCCTCTCTTGGATCTGTCAGTGAACGTATAACATTTGAATTATTTCATTCAATAGCAAATGTCATTAAAAATCCACACCTCATATCTTCTAATCTGAAAATATATACAGGTGCAATAAACTATGTGATTTGAAAAATTGATGATTATTTAAATGAATATTCAATGAAGTTGCTGTGGGATCTAAAGACCTCAGTTTGCTGTTGTAGCCGTTCCAAGGCATTTCTCTCCCTGATCACCAGAGCATCATACTTGTCCTTGTACACTCTCTCAAGCTGTGAAATTAATAAATGCATTGAAAACACCGTGTAAAATACACACCCACATTCAAAATGTAAATATTTTACTGAAGTCTATAATTCTTCACCTACTTATTAAATTATCTTATGATACAACAGATACTATAAGTAATTTTTTTTAAAGTAATGATTCGACTTAAGAGAAAATAACTTACGCTATAGATTGGTAACTTCAGTCAAATGAAATTTTGTAATAATTTTATTACCTCTCTTCTAGATTGTTCTAAAATTCGTCTACTATTTTCTTTCTCTTCCACTTTAATAGTAGCTATCTCAGCATCTCTCATTCGGGCAAGCTGCCATTTTAAGTTGAAAATTTCAATTCATATAAAATATAAATTTCTTATAATTAACCCAAATTTAACTACAAAAGCTTCATGAGGTTTAAATTGTGATTAGTGCGAAACATATTTTTATTTGAAAACTATTCATATCTAAATCAATTTCTAAACAATACAAATCACTAAAATAATGCCAATTAAAAAGCTAGAGGCTGACCTCCATTTTTAACTGTGTGTTATATCTATCCTCTAATTGTCGCTGAAAGCTCAAAATCCTTTCCTCTGCGCCAGCCCTTCCAGTGCGAATAAAATCTTCTCGCCTCGATTCATACAGTTCATCAACTCCTGACATTTTTTCATCTAATGAAGAACATTTCATTCAATATCACATTAGACAGATCATTCAATATAGTATTAGAATAACAATAACATACACCAATAAAGTAGAGATTATTATTATTCAATCACAATAAATGTTTTAATCAGCTGGAGTAAAGAGTTACTTTAAATAGGCTACCTAGTGGTGTTATAGGTCCAACTTTGATTAAATCAGTCTGGCATCCAACAGTGCTGATTGAGTTTGCATGGAGAGCAGAGACCTCTGATAAAAGCTGCCACAAAAACCCTTTCAAAGAAAAAAAAAATTATTTTTTTGATATTCTTGTGGATAGAAATTCTAAACAATTTCCTACTACTTTCCATTAGCATAACAAACGCTCTGTTTTAACACTACCTTTTTTAAGATCCTGCTGTGACTGAGAACTCTGAAAGTAAAGAGAGTTGGTCTGAACATACAAATGTGTAATAAACACAAAGAATTGAAAAATAAGTTAACGCATTTCACAACAAATATAAAAACTGTATTCTTTAGACAGCTAATTAGGATTGTTTGTCTTGAAAATATAAACAAAACGTATGGGAGAAAAATAAAACACAAAAAACAATTTATGCTTTTAACCCTTTTGAATATTTTTATACACAAGTAATTTCCATGTAATGTAATTTTAGAATTATAGCATTCTAAGTCACAAGCAACAAAGAGTAAATTGCTATTAAGTTCAAAATTAAAATAAATATTATTTTCACACTTACGAGTCTTTGATAAAGTCTTGAATGTGGGCTAATATTCAAAAGTTTCACTAAATCTGCTGTTTCAAATGTCTATTTGGAAAAAAAAATTAGTTAAATAAAACAAAAAGCTAGATATTTTTTAAAACTAACTAAAATTTTATGACTTGGTTTAATACACAAAGTAATGAAATAAGTTATCATAATGTTTAACAAAACATTAACAAAAGATATTTATAGTTTTGGTTTGCTATAAAGTCGTAAAATAATGTGACTGCTGATATTTGATTTGTTAGGTAATACAATCTCTTATAAGTGGGACTGAGTGGTCAAATGGTAGAGCGTTAGGCTGCTAACCTAAAGGTCTCGCATTCAGATCTTGTTTCGGACTTATGACTGTAGAACGTCCCTGAGTCCACCCAGTAAAGGCAGCTGAGCATGGTGCTGACCACAACATCCCTTCATATGTCGAGGTCAAGAAAAATATTAACTGTACTTCATCTGCCCAAAGAATCGATAGGTCTAAAGAGGAACTTTACTATCTCTTATTTGCAAGTGTGGTCCTTGTATTGATGTATAGAGAAATGGTTGTATCAAAAGTGGGATTTAAATTAAATTTTAAAGGGTGTTGATGTGGGAGAGTGGGAGACATGGGGGACGGCGTGAGGGGGAGCTCATGGTCGCCAACTCCAAAAGTCTAGAGTTTGTATCCCTGGGCAGATGAGGCTCATTAGGGGGGGGGGGGGGGGGGGGCTGCAAGCCATCTATGAGAGAAAACTCTAAAAGCAAACAACTGCTGCCTTGTAGTTAGTTATTGGGTAGACAAATGTAAAGGAGGAAATCCAGAAATGTAAGTAGGCAAGAATCAGAGTCAAAGGCACATAACATGTTGTAATATAATCCTTAATTGTGTTAGAGAAAATTCCCTTCAATCTTACATTAAACAAAGAAGAAGGGGTGGGAGACAAAATGTATTTTTAAAATGTACTAGATGACCCAGTTTCCAGTTTCAAATAGAGTTTATGCAGAGTATGTACTTTTATCAGTATATAAGCACCCCCCTCTTCAAGTTTCAAGTGCGCACCCCCTGGAGAAAAAAGTCTGAAAGAAACACTGCACTTCAACATGGCCACAACTATTTCACCATCTCAGTCCTCTAAAGTAATACCAAAAACATAAAGTAATTTAATGGTAACATTAGTAACAAATTATTTCATACCTTATCTTGACTAAGTCCAGATTCAGGTAGAAAAACACTGAGGGTGTAATCATACTGACAAGACCGTAGATGATTGGCTACAAGACTGTTGGATGCACGGTGTAACAGAGTCCCACCCTCTGGAACTTTCAAGTCTTTCAACGTCAGCGGTCCCTGAACTGTCTGCTGTAGCTCTGTTACTAAACTATTCCTTAACTGAGACTGAAGTAAATAAAATATAAGCTTGGTAATGTCTTGCAGCATAAACTGGTTATAATAACTGTTAACTGATTAACAAAAAACAAAAACTATCATAAAAAAAACCTTGTAAAACATACAGTGTATTGGTCAGCATCTAGTTTCTGTTTTTCACTTAAAGGAAGACAATATCCCCAGCTAACGAAACTCAACTACAAATATCTATTTGATTTTGACTATTTAATTGTATGTAAATTTATTTTCAGTTTTTTACAGGCTTTTATTTTCATGTAAACATTACATTGAGATAAAAATATGAATGCAACTTGTTCTTAAGAGGAAACCTAAAGAGATATTTTTTGTGTGGTAATGAGTGAGAAATGAAAAGAGTGGTTATTCGCCTGAGAAAGGGCTATTATTTTTTATATTTTAGCTGGCTATTTGTCATATTTTATTAACATTATGCCTGGATCTAAACTAATATTATTAAAAGTATTTCTGAGACTTGCTTGAATATTGATACCTCACAAACATGGTTGGAGGCGAGAATGGGTTGTAAAGGGGGCAACTTTGTAGTCCATCTCACTAAATTTTAAAACCGCAAAAATTTAGGGCCTGAAATAATTCAGTTAACAAAAACCGAATATCTCATGTCATGGGCCCCAAAGATTGTGAAAAAAAGAGGAACTGTACATCTCTTGCATGCAGGTAAATGGTATATGGCCTATAGAAGTGTCAAGTTTGTTATTACTTTCTTTTGGTCATAATTTTTATTCAGATTTATAATATTTATTACAAATAAATTCTTTTTTAAAACTACGACATTGTTTCATATGCATTTTAAAAATAATAATTAAAGAACCAATTTTTTTTTTATTTGCTTTTTTTTAAATTTAATTTACAGGATTTCTTTTTAAATGTCCTACATTTTTTATATATTATAAAATCAGTAGCTTTGTGCTTAGATGGTCATTTATGTGTCTTGCATTCAAACAATATTTAGAGCTAGATGAGCAGTGTTTTCATTTAAGGCAAAGACCCTAAAAAACTAAAACTAAGCAGTAAACCAGAGCTTGCACCTTTGAGCTTAGAAATTGTTACCACTTTGCGGCCAGACAACAGACTACTATTTTCAGTATTTTGGAATAGTGAATATTCACAGAATATGAATAGGACAATATCAGATAATATAGAAATGTAGCCTTAAACTCAACAAATTATTTTCAAGTTCTCTGGATTGGCTGATTAAATTCACAAGTAAAATGTATTTCTAGTCTAGTAAGTACAAGTAAATCTAGAATCTAGTAGAATCTAAAGTCTAGTCTCCAACCTTAATTGAGTCAACAAGCCCGCGACTTCGAAGGCTGTGATATAACCTATTCCTTAATTCTTCTGCAGAAAGATACTCTGGTACTCGATCGCCCATTTTCTATTAGACTCTACTTAGAACATTTACTTATTAACACTTTTTTGGTTATAAAACTGAGCAATTATTTAAGAACTGTTTAGGCAACATGATTTTCATAAATAATCTGCTGCTACAAAAATTCATGTCTAGTCAAGCGTCCATGACAATGGTTAGTTTAAAAACCTTCCATATGTAATTAAAAAAGTAAGATTTAAATTTCGAAGAGAGAAAACAAATATTTTAATTTTTAAAATTTAAAATAAATCATTTTAAATATTTATAGTAAGTTGTTAGGCCTATATGTGCACTAAAAATGGAAGAAAAGTAATATGACTAAAAACCATTGCGCGCCCAGCTACCGAACGTGACGTCGCAGCCATTGAACGTGATGGCGCAGCTATTGAACGTGATGACGCGTGTGGTGTGGTTGCATAAAATGCCTACTAATTCGGTCCAAATTTTAATTAATTCAACATTTTTTTTGTGACCAAACGAAAGGATATTTTTGAAAACTTTCTTCGGCAATATTGTTCTAAATTATGGCAGAAATCGATTGGTACATGTTTTAAGTCGCTAAGTGGTCTGGTTGCCGAGATATGGGCCAAAAACTGCATTTTTTTCGAGTTTTTTTGGCTTTTTCGGGAAATCCATGAAAGAAACCCGGAATTTTTATGGCCTATGTTCATCCTCGTAACTTGCTTAACATAATTGCTTTTGGAACTAGTCCTCGATATTGCTTCGTTGAGGAGGAGATACGACTTAAAGCTGCGGACACACATCCATCCATCCATTCATCCATCCATTCATTCCCAGAAAAGACGAGTTAATAAACGCAATTCTCCAGAATGGAAATTGCGCTAAAAAGTAGACAATAAATTATAGACTACTATTAAAATAACTATAAAGAAAAGCGTGGGTCACTTTAGTATCTATTGGATACCTTTACTAATATTTAGGAAGCGACCCACTCTTTTCTTTATAGTTATTTAAATAGTAGTCTATAATTTATTTTCTACTTTTTAGTGCATTATTACATAAAAGCTTGATATTAAAACGTTTTTTTTTTTGTGAAATTTTTTTTAATACTTTACATGTTTTATTTACACTAGAGTTGCGTGACCAAAAACCATTGCGCAGCTATTGAACGTGATGACACGCTATTGAACGTGATGACGCGTGCAAAGAAGTTGGATAAGACTGCCTACTAATTTTGTCAAAATTTTAATTAATTAAAAAAATAATTAGGCAACCAATTAAGTCAAATTTATTGAATGTCATGTTGCGTTGTCTTCATGTCTTGACCCACGTACCAACACTTGCAGCGATTTGTTGTGCACTAGGTTGTGCAATTGCAGTAAATGTAGTCTTGGCCGCCGGTCAGTGATTGTGAAGATGCAATGGTTCGTAGTGATTTTCCTCAGGCGACAATGAGGGCCGTTTTTTGTGAAGAATTGAAAACTCGCGTCTAGCTTATAGTTCCTAGCTTGTAGAAAGCGCCCTCGACGCTCATGCCAACTGCAATGACGCTTCGGGGATCACCGCGACCTCTATCAACATCTGGTATACGAATGCGACCAGTATCTTTCACTTCAGCTTGTTTAAATTTTGTTAGCATCTTAGCACTTTGAGTTTGCAAGGTATTATGAGCTGCTGACCTGTTGTCCGTGGCTTCTTGTTTATTGTGACATATTCTGCGAGCACTGTTCCCTCCATACCATTCGTCTGCTTCATTTGCTATTCCGCATATTGCATGGACATCGTTGCCACAGGATCCACAAGAATGGGCTGCACTACCATATTTTTCACAAACTACACAGAGTCTGTTGGCCTTATTATTGTCACGCAACTGGTCTGGATGTTGTGCCACAGCAGCAGATGTGTTAGCTGAGGATGTCGTTGCATTTAAGGCAACCTCCATTTCTTGTTCAATGTTTTAAAGATCTTCCTCAGTAGCTAACTTATCGGGAGCCTCTCTTTGTAGATTTGAAGTGCTAAGTCCCACTTTTGCTTTGCATCCAAACAAGGCTTCGTATGGTGATTGTTGGATTCATTGATTCTTCTTCTTCTTCTTCGTTCTTAATTATTAGTGTTGAAGGGGATCGAGATTTATCTGCCAGTGGGTTTGAACTCGAGACTTTGTTCGAATTTATCAACCATGAGCTTTTTGCCGACTCGACCACGCCTCCAACACAATTAAGCGTTACGTGTCAACTGGTTATGAGCCATTGTGGCCATTGACTCCGATTTCAGCCTGCTTTTCTTTTTGGATTTGCTTCCATAGCTTTTGTCCAACCAAGAACAAACTACAAGGCAGCAGTTGTTTTAATTTTGGAGTTGTCTCTCCTAGAAGAGTGGCTGTCCCCAGCTAACGAGCCTCATCTGCCCGATAGTTTGAACTCGAGACTTTTCGGTTTAGCAACCATGAGCTTTACCGACTCGACAACGCCGAACCCCTGGATTCCTTGATGAAAATTACGGTTTTTCATAAGACTCTCAGGCCAATGAGCTGATTCATCTGTCTGCATCCATGCATGTCATCATCATGCTTTGAACATCTTAGTTGGCACGTTCTACTGAACATTGGCTTTGGCTTTGGCTATGCCTTGCTTCTCTGTGACCTAGTTTAAGTTCAGGCCACATGTTCTTTAGTTCAGAAATAACTTGATTCACAAATTCTCTTCCATTAGGATTTGGATTATTTATTTTGGCAGCCATCTGGTATGTCTATCGCTTGGTCTGACGGCCCTTTTGGTCCATGTCGCATTGCATAAAGAATGTTATACAAACAGAATAATGAAAACGAGATCACAACTTAGTCTAGATAGAACATTGGCCAGGACATCCCGGCCAGTGCGTGCATTGGCCGGCCAATGTACAAAATACGATGTCAAGTTTAAGCGCTTCGGACTTTGGCCAGTACATCCCGGCCAGTGCACGCATTGGCTGGCCAATGTACGACACACGTTCTCAGTGCTAAGTTGTGGTCAACGAAAGCTTCTATACAATTTTATTTTCGGTCGGATTTTGGCCCCTTATAGGGGTTATATATTATAATAGTTTATTGCGAAAGGATTACATTGTTTAAAAAATATGTGCTCGATTAATATATGTTTAAATGATGATATGTGTTTAAATAATATGTGCACTATTCCTTTTATCTCTCTTATGTTGGTTGTCGCATGCCAAGAATCAAGATACTGTTATGTTGGCTCACATAAACGATTTTATATGGGCCTACAATGAAACGTGTAGTTTTTTTCTATATCTTCCGCTCCTTGCTGTGGCTCTGATGGGACTTTGGTCGAGACGACGGGCCCCATTGAGTCAGTCTAGCTCTGATGGGCCTTGGCTTGTGACGAACACATTCAGAGGGCTAATGACAATGCCCTTTAAGATTGACAAGAGGGATTTCCGACTAACAGAAAACAGAAAAAAAAAAGGTTACGATAAACTGACCCCAGACAAACTGACAAACCGAAAATTTGACACTCGACATTTGGCTCCCGACAATATGGATCATAAAAAAGTAACTCGTAAATAAGACAAGTGATACGAGAGCAACAGGAGCCCTGGTACGGCGGGACATGGTTTCTTTCAGACTTTTTTCTCCGGGGGAACATTTAAAACTTCCGGGGGGTATAGGTATAGAGTTTTTTCCCCCTATAAATCCTGAGGAAGGGAGCGATCACGGTGGACCTGGGGAGGAGTTAATTTATCTCCCCTTTATCCAATTTGCACTTCCTTCCCCTTAAAATATAATGCTACACTCCTTTTTTTTTTCCATTTTTACCCCCATTTATTCGCAATTTCGGCTGTCAAATGAGACGGTTTCGTTTAATGGAGCAGTTTCGCGATCATTGTACTGAAGGTTGTCTCTACTAATGCCAATTAGTTTAGAATGTATTCAGTGGTTGTTTTTTTTTTTCAGATTTTATTCTCGGGAAAGGGGGGGGGGGGGGGGGGGGGAGGGCACTTGATACTTTTGGGGAGCGGACTAAATTTTCCTGACTGGCGGACATTGGTAAAAGTACATATTTTCCATATAAATTCCATTTCTTGTGGGATGGGGGGAGGCTGGATGAAAATCTGATGAATATATTAGGCTAGTCAGTGGCGTAGCGAGGTCGGGTGTCACCCGGTGCTGCACTTAATGGTGTCACCCCCCAGAGGCGTTGCGACCCTTCGCGGGGACAAACTTTTGCTACCCCCCCTCAAGTTTTTGATTTGCACCCCCCGCTCAAGTTTTTTATTTGACCCCCCCCCCCTCAAACTTTTGATTTGCACCCCCCCCCCCTCAAGTTTTTCTCTATATATTTTGCTATTTTTTGCCTTGGTGACATCCCCCTAAATGGTGTCACCCGGTGCGGTCCGCACCCCCCCCCCCCTCGCTACGCCCCTGAGGCTAGTTAGTCTATTACCCAAGTTACCCTCCCTTGCATCACTCTGCGCATTAGCATTAGAGGTTTAAGCCAACCGGAAATAAGTTAGCAATTCCCAAATTCTTGGAAAACCATTTTCCTGTAAGACTTATTTATAGATCTAGATCTAGATCTAGATTAGATTGTTCCTTGTTGCTATTTGGCGCTGTACTGTTAGCGATTTTGTGTGTGCCGTAGATCACAACTTCAGTAGGCTACAGGGTAACACTAACAGGATCTAGAATCTAGAGCAGTTGCTAAGTTCTAAAGAAGGCTAAGACTAAAAACTATACAAACAACTGAAAAGAGTTTTAGAAAATCTATTTTTTTAAAGCGTTTGATTGAGCCGCCTCTCTGCATTTTCCTAGATTAGTATACTAATAGTAATAGTAATAGTCTACTAAGTAATAGATATAGTTAAATATAGTAGAGAATCTACATTCAGTTTATTTGCAAAGAAGGTAAGCCTAGCCTATCTAATCTACTAACTATAGAATAGAATATAGATTGGTAATCTATCGTTTTAGGTACGTAAAAGCGTCCGCGACTAGTCATGTGAAAAACAGGTGATTCCTTATATTTTAATAATTATTTCACATTTTCAGGAGGAATTATGTTTTGAAAAATACAAAAATATTTCCTTGTTTCATTTATGTACCTGTTTTTAAACAATTGAATTAAAACTTTTCAGTAATAAATGAAGACTAGCGATGTTTCCAACAGATGCAACCATGCTCATTTACTATAGCAGCCATCTTATTTATTTTTTTTATATTGTAAACTTATAGCCCAAGATTCAGGGGAAGCCACTCTAACTTACACTTACAGATGGCCGCTTTTTATATAGCAAATCCTGCTCGCAAACACTGCTGTTTAAAGTTAATTTCTCGCCTATATTGTTATATTTTGCCATTGATTTAGGTTTATTATTCATTTATCTATAATATTTGACACAAATATATCACAATATACTTCTATTAAAGCCTTGAAAATGAGGTAACTTTTTCGTACATTACTAGCCGCGGGCGATTTTACGTACCTAACGCGATAGATTACCTATAGATTGATAGATCTAGTTTGTAAAAAATATAAAAGAGCACAGAAATTAAGACCAAAAATGTACAAAACAGTATTAGACTGTAATTACCCGCTTAGAGGTCAAATTAGTTATTTAAGCCTACCACTGGTGAGGCTAACAGTTTTTCTTTCAGACGCTTTTCATGGGGGGATGGGGCAGACACTGGTAAAAGTATATAATATAGATTCTATATATATTATATAATATATATATAAATTCTATTTCGTTCGGGGGGAGGGGGGGGGGGGCTGTAGACCTGGAAGAAACTCTGGAGACTAATACTAATACTGTAATACAGGCTCTTAACTTTTATGAAGGTACCAAATGCCCACCAGTTTCAAATGCACATTCACTGAACCCTACTTTATAGTTCTATCGTCTACACCAGGGGTCTCCAAACTTTTCAGTCAGAGGGCCGCATTAACTATCAAATTTCAGTTCGGGGGCCAGTTTCTTCCAGCCATGTCTTTGATTTTTCTGGGCAAACTTCCTCAGCCAACACCAACAAATGATTTTTCCTTGGACAAAAAGATCTCCGCGGGCCGGATGAGAGGACTTCGTGGGCCGCATCCGGCCCGCGGACCGTAGTTTGGAGACCCCTGATCTACACTGATAAAATTCGAACCCCTGAGACTGACTCACAGAACAACTGGGGTTCAATTAAACACAGGTTAAGAACTACTGGGCTAATAAGTACCAAAGTGTATACATGTAGGCCTTTTTATGTTTTAATACATTTTTGATTTCTCTATTTTCAGATTTATTTTTAAAGGATATACGGGAAACACCTCAAGTTCCTGGTCAACATATTGGACAGTTTCCACCTATACATAACTCTACTTATTTTAAAATTTATAAAAATTCACCATGGCCCTCTGGAGCATCTGGCTTAACTGGTCAATTATCAACATGAACGGATGTGAAAATATTGTGAACGGACAAGATTTTAATAATATGTGCTTACCTAATTCATCCTTTAAATCGATAAGACACTGTTATAAAAACAAACTAAAACTAGACTCTAACCGGCCTCAGAAAGATATTTAGTGTTCTCAATGGAGTACAACACTTATGAATTTGCGTGTGAAATACAGTGAATTTATAATGACAAGTAAAAGCTAAATAAATATTTCATAATCAATTTCTTTATTAATTAATACAATTAACTGTAGAAAAGTGTAAAGAGTTATTTTAATTTTAGATGTGTGATTTAATTCGTTATTGTAAAACTGTGATTTCATTAAAAGTGAATTTGATCATCCAATAATCATGGCAATAATGGATGTTATAGCAGAGAAAAGTGATAAACTCATGCCTGAGATATCGGCAGACATCATTATTGAAAAGCCAAAGGTTTTTTTGAAGAAGCGGATCAGCCTTTTCCAGTGTGTTAGTATAATAGTTGGGATCATTGTTGGTTCTGGGATTTTTGTCTCCCCTGTTGGGATAACAGCTCAAGTGCAGTCAGTGGGTGAGAAATTGTTTACAAATGTTCATCGCTTACCTCCCTTTACTCCCCCCTTGTCACACAGTGTCACTTGTCAGGTTTTCATCCACCTGCTCTGTTACCATCACTCTTATGACCCCACCATCCCCATAAAATATGACTGGGCAGTAGGACTTACATCTGCCAAACTGAGAGACTCAGGTTTTGATTCCTGGATTTAGATCTAGAATGTCTTTGAGCTAACCCAGCTCTGATGGGCTCATGTTAGAGAAAGTAACATGAATTTGGGCATAGAACTGAACATTCTTTCATATGCAGCGCCATAGATACAGGTGAACTCTACTTCATCTGCTCTGTCACACTCAAATCTGAAAGGTTGACTTAACTTTTACAAATAAGCTGCATTAAGTAGTAATGAAAATCAGTTATTAAATAATGAAGAGGAGAACAATACAAAATATTTTTTTAAATTCTCAATACAAATAAAATAACAAACATCACAGACATAAAGTTAACAAACATTAGAAATAAAATGTTAACAGACATTATAGACATAAAAATTAACAAATAAAATGTTAACAGACATTATAGACATAAAAATTAACAAATATCATAAATGTTAACAAACATTACAAATATGTAAAAAAAAAAGGTTACAAATAAAATGTTAAAAAACATTACAAATAAAATGTTAACAAACATTACAAATAAAATGTTAACAAACATTACATATAAAATTGTTGACTAACATTACAGACATAAAGTTAACAAACATTAGAAATAAAATGTTAACAGACATTATAGACATAAAAAATTAACAAACATTATAAAATGTTAACAAACATTACAGATGAAATGTTAACAAACATTATTTTAAAAAAATTAACCAGTAATTAGACTAAAAAGTTCTTCTCAATTTCATGTTCAGGTATGTCACTGGTGATGTGGGGCGTGGTTGGATTATACTCAACACTGTGCGCCCTCTGCTATGCGGAGCTGGGTGCCAGCCTGCCAGAGTCTGGGGGAGAGTACGTTTACATCAGACACGCCTGGGGGGACTTTGCTGCTTTCCTGTGTCTGTGGATGAACATGGTTATCATCAGCCCTGCCTGTGTCGCAGCAGCCAGCCTCATTTTTGCCTCGTATATTCTCAAGATGGTATTCATTAACTGTGAGCCCCCTGAACAGCCTGTTAAATTAATTGCGTTCTTAATCATTGGTGAGTAGGCAAGAAGATGTTTGCATATTTTAAAGGGACAGTTTATTACTTAATTGTAGTTTTAACAACCTGGAATTTGGTGAAATTAGATCTTTTATTTGTTTAAAATAATAATTTCTGAAGGTATTTAATTTACAATATTGAGATTTTTAAATGTCGAAATTAAGTATGAGCTAATTTCTATTAGCTATCAAAAATCATAATTTTTAAAAATGGTTAGGTATATTTCTAACATAAAATATAGCCAGTATAGTTAGAAAAAAAAGTATTCACTTAAAATCAGAAAGTTGTTATATTTCATTATCAAATTAGCAATTTTTTTTTAAAAACAAATGTGCAGTGTGGCAAACTATAATTTTATTCAGTTTTAAATTTTCTTTTTGTTTTGAAATGTTTAAAAACAACACTGCATTTTTTTTTCTTTATAAAAGTTACATGATTAACCTTAAAAACACAGTTAACTACATTTGAATTCTCTGTCTCTAGCTTTAGTAATTGTTGTCAACTGGTACAATGTAAACTGGGCCACCAAACTGCAAGTGGTCATCACTTCCTGCAAACTGCTGGCCCTACTTACAATAGTAATCATTGGGTTTTATACCCTGGGTCAAGGTCAGTAGTATTTTAAATTTAAAACTTAAAACCTAACCTGAAATCAACTCAGTATTATTGTTGTAAACTGTTACCAGTAAAAGGTTAATGTTGTTGTATTTATGGTGAACTTTTATATTTTACAGGCAACACTGAAAACTTTAAAGATGCTTTTGAAGGTAGCGACTACAGTGCTGGTGCCATTTCCATTGCATTTTATTGTGGTTTTTGGGCTTACGGTGGATGGTAAGAGCTGTCTCTCTTTTATTTCATCTATTTTTGATCTTGGACTTGGAATTAGTTAAATTGTTTTGTTTTGAAGACTATAAAAAATATCAGCTCATTAGAACTGGATAATTACAAAAGGAATTATATGCTGATATGTTTATGTTTAATGTCACCCTTGTTATTATCTTGTTTACAAAACTAGCCCATCTCCTAGTCACATCAACACAAAGATAAAAACTATATTATTAGTTATATTCATAATATCTATTTGTTTCCTTTTTTAAAAATATCATAAATGCAATGTGCCATTTTATCATTTACTTTATTTTCCTATTGGTTAATCATTTAACTCAGCTACTATCTATTTTAGTAAACAACAAAGTAATAAAATGATCTTGCTGACATTATTACATTTAAAAAAAAAATGAAAATGTTAATTGATATTTTTTTATTATTCAGGAACTACTTAAACTTTTTAACGGAAGAAGTTATCAAACCTCATCGGTGAGTTATTTTTTCAAAATTGAATTCGTAGGTTAAAAATTCTACCTGATTACCATTAGGTAGCACAGTGGATGAAAATCTAAAAAAAAATTTATTTTTAATTGGAAGAAATTAGTCATCGTTACAATTAAATGATATAGCCGTACTGTATTCAAATTATATTTGAAGATTACATTTGTGACAGATATTTGTTACAATTTTTTAAAATGTATCCTAACACACACTGTTTTGCTTCTATTTATTTTAAAGATCTTTGAAACTAAAAATTCCATTCAAGAAATTTTTTATTTTCAGCAATCTTCCTTTGGGCGTTATAATATCTATACCTATTGTAACTGTGATTTACATAACTGTGAACGTGGCTTATTTTTCTGTCCTTACACCTATGGAGATGCTGCAGTCCTCTGCAGTTGCTGTGGTCAGTGTTTTTTTTTTTTCACTTTTACAATAATGACAATGTTGCTAGATTATGGTATTTTTTTTACTTATCTTGCTATAAGAATGTTGCCAAATTTTAATATTCTTACTTACTGATTGTAATGTTGCCAGATTTTAGTATTCTTTACTTACTAAATGATTGTAATGTTGCCAGATTTTGGTGTTGTTTACTTATCTAACTTTAAGAGCATTGTCAAATTTTATTATTATTTTTACTTAATTAACTATAGCAATGTTTCCAGATATTTGTGTTTTTTTTTACTTATTTAACTATATGTGATATAACCATCTTTGTGTAATTTTCAGACTTTCCTTGAGAGAACTGTACGTTCTTTATCCTATGTGATTCCTGTCATGATTTCTATTTCTGTTGTTGGCAGCATTAATGGCGCTGTACTTGGTATGTCAAGGTCAGTCACTAATTCAGCTGTTTTTTTACTTTCTCGTATATACGAAGTATAGAGAAAGTATTGTAATCGTGCAAAAAAATCTCTTGAAATTTTAACAATTTTCACCGTATTACACCTCAGTCCTTCATCACATCCGAAGTATAGAGGACTTATTTTAATGGGGCAAAAATTATCAATCCAGATTTCTCAAAATTAAGAGGTTTTATGCGTAATCCATTCTGAAAAACTGGGCTTTGCAATCCTGTCCGTATGTCTGTGTGTCTGTGTGTGTGTAAACACGATTACTTGAGTACCGTTACAGCTAGGTTGATGAAATTTCATATATAAGTATTTTATCAAAATCGTAGATCCGTATCAACTTTTGAGCGATAACCGGAAGTGGTACTTTTTCAACTTTGAATTTTTCAAAAGCCTATAACTTGAGTACTATTTCAGATAGATAAATGAAATTTCACATGTGAGTAAAAGATCTAATTTTCTATCTTCTGTTAAATTTTGAGTAATTTCCGTTGACCGGAAGTAGTAATTTACGCTACTTCTGATTTCTCAAAAAACTAATGTAAATTTTTAAAGTACTAATATTATTGCGCACTATTATGCACTTTTTTATTTGGCGTTCACTTGGTGTGCAATTCTTTTGTCTACGAGATTTTATTCTATTTTTAAAACTAAGTATTTAAAATGGATTAAAAATCATGTCTATAGCCAGAGTTCCCATCCCCTGTTGTTTTATATAAGAATATTCGAGAAAGTTTAGGGGAGATCACTCCCGGTTTATTTTTAAGTTGTTCCGTGTTAATTTATTTAATTAGGCATGTATCATATTTACAGAAATAAGCAATATACCTGTTAAATGTAATTTAAAAATATTTGTTTTTAAAAAAAATGCAATGTATCTACTTTTTTTTTTCAGATTGTTTTGTGTGGCTGCAAGAAATAATCACTTGCCCCTCATTTTTTCAATGGTCCACATACACACCTCTATACCTAGACCTTCCTTTTTGATTATGGTGAGTAAAAAAAAAATATTTTACACCAAGTAAAGACTCAGATAGTTAACTTTGCCGATGTCATTTTATTTGTTTAAATGGCTTCAAAGCATATAAGTTTTATTATTTTATTACTAAAAAAAAACACTTGTTTCTTATGTTTCTCTTTATTCTTCAGTTCATCTTTGTGGTTCTGATGCAGATGTTTGGGGATATTTTTTTACTAATTGAAATGATGGGATTCTGCCTATCAATTGTTCTTACCTTGGTATTCAGTGGGCAGGTCTTGATGCGTAGGACAAAACCTAATCTCTCAAGGCCTATTAAGGTAAATGTTAACTTAGTTTATTTGTTGAGTTGTGTGAATAATTCTATCTGTAACGTGGAAATAATTTGGGAGGGAAGGTTAATATTTCATCTAAATTTAGTTTAAAACTGCACATTTTAAAAATAAATTTTATGTAATTATTAAAATATATTAAACGAGCCGACCCGCGGCATATCATACGCCGCTATTTACTTGTTTTATTTTCTACTTTTCAGTAATTCATAATTTGTGAATTCGACAGTACCAATGCTGCCACTGAAAATATTTGCTTTAAAACACTATCAGTAGGTCGTTGAGGACGATACTACCCCCACCCTCCTTTCCCCCAACCCCTACCCTACACCTCCCCCCTCCGTGAAAGCAGCCTCCTCTTAGTTACCTCCCCTAAGTTTAAAATCGTTTCAAACTAAATTATCTGCCCCTGTTAGCCGTCACTAAACCCAGCTCTACCATTAATGTAAACATTTAGCATGAACCACAGCTCACCAGACCATGTAGGGGTGGGGTGATAGGGAGTGCGCTTACAGCTTGTTTTCTAGCGTCTCCCAGAAGAGAATTATATATATAGATATATATAGGCCTATAATTATAATATATTAAAATAATTTTTTTTTATTCAGTGGTACAGTAAAATGGTTCATGTATTGTATTTAATATTAATACACAAGCTTGGAATTGCTTAAATATGGTTTTATTCACTTAACTAATGATTGTGTTGATTCAGTTTTTAACAAAACACAATATTACATTATTTTAGTTTTATTTTACTTTTATTTGAACTCAGCTACCATGGATACTGCCAGTAGTGTTGTGTTTATCAAGCCTGGCTATTCTAATAACAACAGTATATCAAAAGCCAAGTGAGAGTTGTCTGGCCCTGATGGTGGTAGCGTGTGGGTTACCAGCCTATCTGCTGGGTTCCAAATGTAGGAAGCCACAGTACATTCAGCGTGTCATAGGTGATTTACTGTTAATCTTATGTTGTCTACACTTTATCTATCTAGTACTTCTGTTAGCTTAACGATACCACATCACAGCATCTGGTTATAAAGATAGTAATAGAAGTAGCAAATATTAGTTATTATATAGCTAGTTGACTAATCCAGTCAATAATACCAGACTAGATAACTAAACATACATTTAAAATTTGTAAAAATTTTACCACCATGTTTTTAATGATGTTTATCAAATTTCTGTCAGACCAAGCTACAAGAATTCTGCAAATTCTGATGCAAGTTTACCCACCTGACAAACAAGGCTCTAAAGAAACCACAAGAAATTAGTAGGTCTTTACACTGGTTTCTTCACACCGAAGTCACAGCAGAGTTAACTGCACTATACATTTAACCTAAAACAGTTTGTAGTCCAGACATGGAACAAGTCTTTGAAAAATGTGGTGAAGCCGACCAAAGTCCTACATGGGCTGTTCAGCCAAAAGGATGGGTGGATGGATTTTACTTTTGTCATATTAAAAATACTTATCGAAATATGTATAACATTCATATTATTTGGAAAGAAATATACTTCATTTTTATTAAGATACTTAACATAGCATTGTTTTTTTAGCATATACTAATTGCACAGTTTCTCTATGAAAGCTTTTATTGTGTTTGTATGCTTACATATTATTTAATAAACTCTCAAAATATAAATACTGAAGTCCCTCTGTTCTATTATTAAAAAGGTTCTGTTCAGCATTGGATATTTACACAAAAAATTTTGTAAAGAAAAGAAAACTCCGAACAAAGTGTGACTTGATGTCAAAGTTTTAATGGTAAAATAGTATCACATAATTGTGAATGAATAGAAATATTGGTTTTTCTATAATGTAAAAAGCTTTTCAAATTTTAATGAATAGGGAAAAATAATTTATAATTAATTAACAACAATAAATAAACTGTAAATATTACCTTCTAGATGGGAGAAGGGAGACTATCCCATTAACTGTTCAATAGTCTGTAAATAAATGGGGCGAGAGGAGTGGCTACACTATGAGGTTAATTCACCAACTGGAAATGTTAACATCACCAACCAATAAAACTGAGTCATTAAGAAAAATAAAACATTTATTTGAAAACAATAGGCAATTGCATATAGTTTATCAAAGTATTTAGACAGGAAACAATTCTAGTTGATCAAATTATTTAGACAAGAAACAGTTCGAATTCATGTTTCAGCTTAACCACTATCGAGTCATTCCTACAGAACAATTTTTTTAATGTAGTTTTAAAAATGGTGATAAATCCATTTGAATGAATTATCATTTAAAGATGTCACAAGCTTGTTAACAATATTTATCTTTAAAATTAAAATACAACTTCTAAACTTAAATGATCTAAAAAGGTATAAGAAAAAAAGGGAATGTACTTATACAAGATTGTCTTTTCATGTTGACCATTATAATTTCCAGCAAAATAATTTCTTGTGTGCATTTTAAACTTACATTTAAATAAATCCACAGAAATGATCCCCACTCTGTCATAAAATAGTAGCCTGCCTTTAAACATTTGCTGAAAGCTAAACTAAGACCCTGTGTAAATCTCCATTCTCATGTAGCAGCCCTACATTCATGATTTATTCACAGACACAGCATTGACAAATAAACAGACCAGCCCAAAGATAAACTGATTCACAACTTCAGCCATCTTAGTGTTGTAAGATAATTAATCACAATCTCCAAGCTTTTTCTTATCATGATGCAGGACCCATATAGGAGAGAATTTTTAACAAGAGCCATTTGACAAAAGGTTCAACTTATTACAGTACCACACACAAAATTTAACAATTTTATAAGGGCAGTTATCATGACTAGCAATTTTATCAGTTGTGGGCAGTCATAAACTACTAACAGAAATTTTAATAGTAACAGATCATTTTCTGCACATATTAAAAAAGAATATCACACAAATGTTGACAAAAAATTCCTTGTTATGCGGCTACTTCAGTTATAAAATTATTTCTTCAATATGGAATGACAGCATTAATTTGTGAAGCAGCACTGTCTGAATAAAATATGGAATGTAGTATTTCTATGAGAACACAGTACAACATTGATTACAAAAAAATTATCGTGCATAATATTGTTTGATATATTAATATTCTTCATGTACAAGAACAGTGACATAGGTAACCATGTGAACCACTCTTAAGCTGAATTCACTTGCTGACAGTCCAAAAAGCTGATGTGAGGGCTAACTATTCACACAAATAAAGCTGTCTTTAAATAAAATAAATAAGTGTTATGAAAGCACAGTCACGACATTCAGTTTAGGTTAAAAGATATGGGCAACACAACCATCAGACATTCCTTGATTTAATAAACAAGCTCTCTTATTTTGTTCAGCCTCTCTAAATACTTACACCTCTATTTAGTGCTAATATTTTAAATCAATCTTGATTAGACAAATAGCATTCAATCTCAAAACATTTAATACACAATCAATGTGACATTGAAAAAAAATAATTCATTTTTAAATCTGATTATACCCTAAAAGTCAATTAATAGCAATTTAAAAAATTGTTTTGTAACATCAATGTTAGGGGCCTATCAAACAGTTTTTGTAAACAGCAATTACATGTAAAAATAATATATTAAAAAAATCACAAAGATAACTAACAAAGATGTAAACAAGGCAATGTTTATAAAATATAAATGGTATGATAAATATTTGTCCACTCAGGTGAAATCATGGTGATCACAACATCCAACTCTTTGACGAGATTCATTGAAACTTTATTGTAAACAGTAAACACAATCGTATTATCAAAACAAGTTCAAAATAAAATTATTTAATAATTCCTTCTTTAAATCAAGCACAACAATGACACCAGGATAGCAATCAACTTACTCTTTTATCTCTAGTTGACCACGGTTCTATGATATTAACTAATATTTATTGATTATCACTTTTGACTATTTTTTTCATGAAATAGTAAAGATACATCTTGGGTAAAAAGGACGCAACATTTTTTCATAAGATGGAACAATACTGAAAGCTTTAGGCAGGGATTAGGTGGCATCAATCATATTCATTTGAAATTTCTTTTTACCATAGCATTTAAAAATCGTTCATATTTCATTCAGTCATTTATTTTTCTGGCGTTAATTTACTTCTAGCCACAAGCTACATGAATGTCACAAACCAACAAGAAACCCACAATCACTGTATTAGTTCTATGTACAAGTGAGTCAACAACAGAAAGGAGAAACCTCAACCAGTGAATAAGTATAGAATAATCAAACATCAGCTAAATATGACATGTGATTACAAAGTTGGATAAACCTACGGTGTAGAACAATGCACAGACAAACACAAAAAGGCATTTGGACAGGTCAATTCAGTTCTATACAGTTCTGTTATATGTAACTAGTTAAACTGTTTCAACTATCATTAGCAGACTTCTAATATGCCAGATAAATTTCTAGATTTAAAACCAAACAGTTGATATTAAAAAAAACCTGTTGATGTCAAAAACTATAATTTATCATAACTTTAGTACACTCCTAAAGTCTGTTTCTTATATCAGTTGGTCTTTGATATGGTGCGTGTGTCGCTAGTCCTCTATACACCCAACTAAGCAAACAAAGCACTCATCCTTGCAGACAGCCAGACTTGATTATTTTATGTATATCTTTCTTGAAACTCATGGTGCCACTTGTTGAAATCAATGTTAAACACCAGTAAACAACCAGTTGCTAAACCAGCAATCAAGAACCTGTGGGTGAATAGGTTAACATTGTGGTGTTTTTTGGGAGAATACATTTTACATAGTAACTTGGATTCAATTTGAACATGGATTAAATTTCATTAAAGTATTATCTGTAGGCCTAAATGATGTGATTATTGCCAATCCTCCCTCTCCTATACATAATTCTAACACAAAATGTTTTACTTTAAAAAGTAAGAAATGTATACAAAGTAACTTTTCTAACCTGTGATCATGGGTCAAGGCCAGAGAGCGTATGGCACTATCACATACAGGGTAGGCGTAGAGATGACTGAAGTCATGTGCCCGCCACACCTCCACCACACCGCCATTACCACCCAGGATCATGTATTGACCATCACGACTCAATATGACAGACTGATAAGGAAAATTTTAAAAATTAACAAAAGCCAAAAAAAATTTTTCTCTACCAGATGTACTTTCTTCTGTTCAGAGAATATATTCACCAAATAAAAGTGAATTTTAAACAAACAATAAGAAAGAGTTTTCTTAATTGCGTAAATGAATAAACAATTCTTTTGTTTTTATAAGTAAAAGTTATGTTACCCTGTGATACTTGGCAATCATTATGGCAGATGAAATAGAATTTATCTTTTTCTAACGGACCACATAATGCATTCAAGGTACCGGAACAGGCGAAAGAGGTGACAAAAAACTTTTATAACTACCTTAAATCCACTGACCAATAAGAGGTTACAATGAACTGACCAATATGAGATTACAATGAACTGACCAACGCTCGTAGCACTGACCTGTAACATGTCCTTATGCTCCATGAAGTGCAGCAACTTTCCGTTGATGCTAAACATGCAGATGCTGCCCCGGTCGTAGGTCAGCAGGATGTAGGCCTCTCGTGAGATGGTGATCAGACGAGGTGACACGCAGGTCGAGGGGGGCTCCAAGGAGTGCAAGAGGTCACCAGTTAGGGAATGTACCAAGCTTGGACCATCTAACACAGAAGACAGAGAATAATGTATTAAAGCATTTAGTCTGGAAGTGACATATATATATATATATATATATATATACACACATACTTACATACATATAGGATTTTTCCCCCACCTAGAGGATATGTTTACATAAACACACACCTAAACCTAATTGAGGTAACTCAATTAGGGAGAAATGTGTACTCACCTTTAGAGCCACTGACAACAAGACCTAGCTCAGCAATGGTGGCAACACAGGTGATTTCAGACTGATGGCCTGTGAGGACTGTCCTAGGTGTGGGCATGTCTACACCTGCACAGGGTAAAATAAAGAATATAGTATCTCACTGATACAAGACAAACACACACCAACAAATAAAATGAGATTATTTAAAAAATTGTAGTTCTCCTTGTCATAATGTAACCAGAATAGCTGGTCTACACACAGAATTAACCCTCAGTCTACCACATTAGCTGATCCACACACAGCATTAACCTATGTCGATCCCATTAGCTGATTCAAACAAAACATTAACCCTATACCAGCTGATTCACAACAGTGAATTAACCCCATATCTGCAATATCAGCTGATATCCACACACCATTAACCCTATATTAGCCAGATGTCCACAGAATGAAAACAAAACCAACAATACCCTTACTGTTGTCCCCCAATGAAATCAAAACCAACAATACCCTTACTGTTGTTGTCCCCAATGAAAACAAAACCAACAATACCCTTACTGTTGTTGTCCCCAGAACAACAACAAAACCATCAATACCCTTACTGTTGTTATCCCCAATGAAAACAAAACCAACAATACCCTTACTGTTGTCCCCAATGAAAACAAAACCAACAATACCCTTACTGTTGTCCCCAATGAAAACAAAACCAACAATACCCTTACTGTTATCCCCAATGAAAACAAAACCAACAATACCCTTACTGTTATCCCCAATGAAAACAAAACCAACAATACCCTTACTGTTATCCCCAATGAAAACAAAACCAACAATACCCTTACTGTTATCCCCAATGAAAACAAAACCAACAATACCCTTACTGTTATCCCCAATGAAAACAAAACCAACAATACCCTTACTGTTGTTATCCCCAATGAAAACCAAACCAACAATACCCTTACTGTTGTCCCCAATAAAAACAAAACCAACAATACCCTTACTGTTGTTATCCCCAATGAAAACAAAACCAACAATACCCTTACTGTTGTCCCCAATAAAAACAAAACCAACAATACCCTTACTGTTGTTATCCCCAATGAAAACCAAACCAACAATACCCTTACTGTTGTCCCCAATAAAAACAAAACCAACAATACCCTTACTGTTGTCCCCAATAAAAACAAAACCAACAATACCCTTACTGTTGTTGTCCCCAATGAAAACAAAACCAACAATACCCTTACTGTTGTCCCCAATAAAAACAAAACCAACAATACCCTTACTGTTGTCCCCAATAAAAACAAAACCAACAATACCCTTACTGTTGTTGTCCCCAATGAAAACAAAACCAACAATACCCTTACTGTTGTACCCAATGAAAACAAAACCAACAATACCCTTACTGTTGTACCCAATGAAAACAAAACCAACAATACCCTTACTGTTGTCCCCAATGAAAACAAAACCAACAATACCCTTACTGTTGTTGTCCCCCAGGACGGCCTGAGACTTGGCACTGAACATCCAAACCATGACCGTACAATCCTTTGATCCAGTTATTACATAACAGTCCTGACTAACGTTACACTCTGACCGAGCTACACAAGTCACAACATCAAAGTGGCCAAAAATTACTTGGACAATGCGAGCTGAAATGGACATTGGCAAACAAGTTTTAGATGAGATTTTTGTACTAAACAAATTAGAATTATTTAAGTCTATACATAAACAAACAAATAGTATGTATTTATTTAGTCAAATACATTAATAAATGAAATTACTCTGTCATAAAATTTAAAAAATTATTTTAGATAAAACTTCATCAAATAGAAAAAAATAATTTTATCATACAAATGAATACTAGTTAAAAATACTATTGTAATGTTAAAATTAAAATACCGAGTCTTCATTCAATATACCTGTGTCAAGATGGTAGATTCTAAAACTCTTGTCCCAAAACCCACAGGCAAACAGGAAACGGTTGTCCGCGGTTGTCACAAAACTGTGGTGGTTGACAGGCAATCTTTGATCAAAGTTGTCACCCAAAGTTCTTTTCTGGAGACCAGTGTTCATAACTGGTGGAAAACAGAGAGAGATTGTAGGTTTTTCATGTACAGATCACATTCAGTGGTCTGTCACGTGCATCGACTAACCAGTCCTGCTGTATGTGATCTGTCACAAGCATCAACTGTCACAAGCATCAACTGTCACAAGCATCAACTGTCACAAGCATCAACTGTCAAAAGCATCAACTGTCACAATCATCAACTAACCAGTCCTGCTGTATGTGATCTGTCACAAGCATCAACTGTCACAATCATCAACTGACCAGTCCTGCTGCATGTAAACTGTCACAAGCATCAACTGTCACAAGCATCAACTCACCTAACAACTGGTCCATTGCTAGAGGCAGGTTAGGAGGGGCTGCTGGATCTGCCTTGTCTGAAGAAAAACTTGCGGCATTTCCTTGAGCTGAAGTAGTTGTAGGGCACAGTTAACAGTTGAGAATTAGATGAGAAATATAAATCTAATGTGACAAACTCAAGAAAATCAAAATTTGTATGTGTTACTACCTTCTCATTGATAAAAGCATTTCTCAAACCACCATGTAAAAACAACACAGATATTTCCCTTGAATGAAGTATATTGTATGTTGATGTCTTACGTGTGTAGTTGTTGTTCCATCTATTAATAGCATAGTTGTGATTGCAGGAGATGCTTGTCACGGCAGGTACTGGCACGGCAGGGTGTGTGTTGGCAGCCACATGAGTGACAGGTGAGTTGGACAGGAACTTCATGATCATACACACGTCCTCTTGGTTCTTGGAGAACATCATTGGACTCTGAGACAAACACAAGCACAACTTATTCAACAGCAAAACACAACGTATTCGTGTAGAACAGACCCATATAAAAAACAATAAACAAAGGGATTAAATTAAAAAAAAAAACATGTTTGTGTTCACAATGTATTTGGTTATACAAACCATTCACAATCTACATTTAAAAAATTAGTTTTAGAACTCCAGCAACTGACCAAAGATACCATCAGTATGATGTTTAGTCTTTCAATAAAATTTGTTTTACATTTGAGGTATGATGCATCAAAATATAAAACCAACATGCATCAAACAATTGATCCAAGCATCAATCAAAATTAAAAATGTTCATGAAAATGAAGGTAGGAATTGAGGTGAAAACCCATAACAAATGCCAGTTACTCATACAAAATTAGATTTTCACATAAAGAAAATTGTCTGTGTATATGATGCTAAATTTAATTAAAAAAGAAAATTCTTATGCTTAAAATTCAATTCTGAAACAAACTAAATATGAGTAATGAATTGTTTCCTTAAAATGAAGGTAAGCTTTAAAGAATAAAGGGTGATATTTTCATGTTAAATAAAGAATGTGTACAATTGCCAAATGTGTTCCTGCCCCAAACACAAACACTTCAAATTAAAAAGTTAACAAGACCATCTGTATTGAACTAAATATAATGCTTGAGAAAATATATTTTCATGCAGTTCTAATTTCCTATGTTAGGTTATCTTTTGTTGTTTAAAATGTTTCATTCTAAAAAGAAAGATGTCAATACAACAAACCAAAAAGTAGTAATCTGAATGTAAGAGTTTTTGCTTGGCCTTAACTAATAAATCTGTCAGGTGGTTGGTTAGTTGACAAGTGTAAGAATTTTTACTTGGTTGGTTAGCTTACAACTTCAAAATCACTAGACAAAAATGTCACGCCTAGCTAAATTTTAATGTATAGTAAGTAATGTATGCAATTAAATGCCAGACCAACACATTAAAAAAATTTTTTGTTGTTAAGTATGATGTGTCTTAAACAATAACTGATCTATGATAATTTGCTAGAATATAGTTATGATATGGTATTATATTCACTCTCATAATACATTGATTTAGGCTTATAGATCCTTGAAACTCCACAGAGACTTGCAGAAATATGTATGTGCTTATGTTGGTGCTAGCTGGATTCTTTACACAAACAGAGTTGGGTTAGTACAGGAGAGAAACACATTAGTATTGAAAACTATTTTAGTAATGGTATAGGAACACACTAGTAGTAAAAACTATCTTTCATGATGAGTTTGTATCAGAGAATCTATGATTGTAAAGGAACTTTGACGGCCAAATTTTCATAACAGTAGATCTGTAGAAGGCCATTTGTTTACAATATGAAGCAACAGGTTTCCCTGGCTCTAGCTGTCAAAGATAAATAATACTTTGACATTATTTACTAAAAAAATGGTTTGTGTGTGTAATTATAATTACAAGCTAGCTTATAATAATATTGCTGCCTATCATTGAACAGGTTTAAGTTTTTTTAAGTTTGAAATAATTCAGCAGGCTTATCTACATATTAGATTTTATCTTTTGATAGCCTGGAACGTAAAATATCTTGATTGAATATAACAGTTAATAAAAATAGACAGATCACTGTGATGAGCATATGGCCTTCAATACGGCAGCAACAAACCTAGCTATATACAGGATTTACATAATTTAAAAGTATGCAAGTCTGGATGTAACTTAATTACAAATTAATTCTTTTTTCAGACTATATTTAAAAAAAGAAAATCTTGTAAATTTGGTTTGTTGGAGAGTTTAAACAAAAAATTAAAAATAAAAAAGTAAACCTATATTTTATTCCAATCCAAAAATCATAAGGGAAAAAAAATGAAAAGAGCAAGAAATAATAATGTTTAAAATAGAAGCTGCCAAGCAGATAAAGCTAGGGTATGATGAAATAACCTTGTTGATGATGCTTCTACGGTCCTGATTTTTTTCTATTAACTGCAACAAAATAAAAATACTCATCAAATAAACATTAAAGGACACAAGTTTTTCCATTTCACAGGAATGTTAAGTAATGGACTGGTAACAACTGACTTCTATCACTGAAATATTAAACTAGCTGCCAAATATTTCCTCCAAGAGAATGGTTAGTAGAGGCCTATAAATGCAGTCATTTGTATTACACTTAAAAACAATTCTATGAACTAAAATACAGGACCATATAATTTTCCTTTCAAAATTCATGTTTCACAGTTTTTATAAAAATTAATCAAAATGATTTTTATCATTACTTTTGGATTAATTTGACTAGACAACAGATGAATTTCTTGAATGAGAAAAATAAATTAGAAATAATTAGCATTTCTTTAATTCTTAAGATTAGAGAATGAATCATTAAAGCTTTAGACTTATAAACAGATCTACTCAAATTAATTCTTTGAAAAAATCTAAGATCGTCAAGTTGGATAGTTAGTGCATATGATGAATGAGGACATGACGGTTATTACAAGAAGACATTGATGAGATGATTAGAGAAGGTTTCCTCTGGAGCTCAGGACACTTACCAACCATTGATTCCACACACAGAATCACACTTTCATTGTTAAACATTTTTCTTATAACAAAATTGTTGTGTAGAAAAAATAAATCTAAGTTATGTATAACGAATTGTATAATTTTAATTTAAAAAAAAACTATTGTTACATTATAAGAATAAAAAAATTTTGTATAGAAAATGAAGCTAATTTATAAATTACAAATAAGAATTTCTAAAAAAAAATAGTTTAAATTTTTTTTTCTCTACTGCATAAAAGAAAATAATAAAGATTTAAAAATCCATAAAAAATTCCTATAGTTCAAGACTTGAGTATCTATCTTGGTTATAACAGCATAGTAGGTTAACAAGCAAGTTATCTTTGTATACCAGAAGAATAGTTCTACAAACACAAAAGAAAACTCATTTCTAAGATGAAAAAAAAAAAAGATTCACCAGGTTTACAGACTCAGGGGGATAGCACACCTGTAGTAGAAAGGTAGCAACTACATGGCATTGTGACTAGGTTATGGGGCTTTTGTACTGCTTCAATAGGTTAAAGGTCAATAGCCACAGCACATAACAATCATTCAATAATTATATAAGCTGTGTACATGTATGGGTGCACATGCATGTGTGTATTATATATGTTGTCTTGATCCTGTCAAACACAAGGCCTATACAATACTGGTCACTTAAATAAAAATATGAACATGAACCTGTGGCTAATTCTATTTTATGAAGATTAATTCTAATTCTATTATTTTCACAAATTCCACCAAGAATTCACTAACTACACTTATAAAACCTAAGATAGCATACAATAAAGCATATTAAGTGGTTATGTTAAGATGTAACAAGAATCTACATTAGGGCTACCTTCCATGCTGTAAGCCTCTAACCAAACCATCAGCTATTTTTGTTTAGGAACAACTACTTTGATGAGAAACTTTGTTCTTTTGCTTGAAACAAATACTTTGGTAAAAAAAAAATTTCTTTTGTTTTATTTACATCCACTGGAGTGATGTAAAAGAATTTCTCTCTTCAAAAGAAAATGTATTTCAGGTTGTTTTTTTTGCTAGACTTAAATGAAAAAAATAATTCACCCTTCCTTCTCTGAATTAGTATAAACAAAACAAAATAAACTAAATTCTAACCAAAACCATTTAGCTGCAGGAGAAACTAATGGATTATTTTTTTAATGAAGTAATGAATAATACTGTTGAAAAAAAAAGACAAATGAAACTGTAACATAGTGGACCATAAAATTTTGGCCTGTGTACTTACAAGGTGCATCACAGAGCTTCTAGGTGGGTGTGGCTCTGTCAACAGCTGGGTGGGTGTCTGACCAAAACTGCGGATCTGGTTCTCAATGGCCTGGTGAAGAGTGAGGCAAACAATGGAAATTAATTAGAGTTACATACAGGAATCTTTTTGTTAATCTACAAATAGACACACTGGTAGACTGATGGTGACACAGGGAGGAGGCTGAATGTATAGGACAGAAATGGGAAAAGCTGAAGAGTGATAGGAGACAGTGGAGAGCTTTAACAGAGACCTTATGTTCATTAGGTACCAAAAGTGAATAAAGATGTAGAATGCAACTAAAATGTAAGGAAGTGTGTACATACCTCTTTCATGACAGGGTCAGTCATAGTCTCTAGGTTGACACTGCCCTCATAGGTCAGGTAGTAGAAGACATTGGTGGCTCGCACTGCTTCAGGTCCTGTGGTGTCAGGTAGTTTTAGTGGTCATTTACAGTAGTGGTGAGACATACATAGACATACAGTGCAAACTAATTAAAGCATACATAGACATACAGCACAAACTAATTACAGAATACATAGACATACAGCACAAACTAATTACAGAATACATAGACATACAGCACAAACTAGTTACAGCATACATAGACATACAGTACAAACTAATTACAGCTGTGTTGTCACTTTGGTTAAAAAATGGAATGGTTAAACCATCACAAGACTATATCTCAAGCATGATTATACTAGATTCTACCGGAGAACCTCACCTACTTTAGAACATTAAACTTGTTTCTTAAAATAGTTATATAGTATTTAAAGGTATTCAAATTGAAATATGTAGTCAAATATGCATAATGTCAAGATTTATACTTGTAAAAGCAAGATGGTGTGTAAGAAGAAACCAACCTCTCTGTTTGTACCCAAATATCAGGTCGATCCAGTTGTGTATTTGGCAGGACACAAATTCAGACTCCAGAGCCTTGGTTGATAAAGAAATATACACATGTAAACACTACTACATGTAAAAAATAAACATTGAAACATAATAATGGTGAGAAAACTAATTTCAGCTACATCAGGATGGATAGTTTCTCTTTTGGTATTGTTCTACATTGTATTCTCTTGTAAGTATATATATATATATATATATATATATGTGACGAGCGAACATTTATCCTGCCGACAACGCCAATTGTAACGAGCCAACAGTTACCATGCTCGCAACGCCACATGTAATGAGACCTAATTGCCTGTAGTGCCACGTGTTAACGAGTTTAACCACTCATTCTAGACAACATTGACCACAGTATAGATACTCAAGATGCAGGTTCGCTATTGATCCTTTATTACATGAATCAAGAAATGCTTCATAATAACACAATAAATCAACAGGAATGCTTCTCAATAATAGTCTGAATCAACTGACCCCTAACAGTCCTTCACTAGGCTTTATATAACTGAATCCACATGTCTATAATCCTCCTTAGCACAATACGGCTAACCCGTTCTATAACCGACTTGACATAGTCACACAGACTGACTGATCTAAGCGAGCGATGAAGATGGAAGAGAGCTCGCTGAAACGGGAAGAGAGAGAACGAGTCCTGCCGTGCCCTCCTATTTATGCCTTGTATCCGTACTCGTCCCCGTACTTGTATTCCTCCGTAATCGATACTTGTACTCGATCTCCGACCACCAGTTGCGTAGTTCAAACGTACAGACCGTAAAATAACATCTGCGTCCTATCCATCAAAGCCGACAGGCCGTCTGAATACCGTTTCCCAAAATAGCACGCGCCGGCTTTGAGGTTGTTATCAGCCCGACCCAATAAGCCACCTGTTATCGGTTGCATCAGACCAACACTGTGTCTCGGCTTCTCGTTCGTTATCATTTGTAACTGGTAGTTAGGCCTACCCCAGTTACATCCACCCCTGCTTTTTTTGTGTGTTTTCAACCACAAACAACGCCTGGCAGGTGCACTCCTCCAAAGTCAATCGCACAGTCGTAAAAAAAAAATCTATTGTTCCACTCACTGTCCACGACGTTCCATTCGTATACGATTGACAGTTCTACCTATTTCACATATCAACTGTGTCTACATCATCTTTCTGAGACACAAAACAGTTCTAGAATTCACATCCACCCTTTCCATTTGGTGCCTTCACCAGTTCACTTCTATAGCTCTTTGAACAGTCTGTTTTCATACCAGCGCGACCATGAAAGAATTGATGGTTGCTGACAAAAAATTTCGTATTCCTTCTGTTCCTTAAACTTCTCCGCGGACCACTTATCTGATGGTCTACTGTCTCTCTGCTTCTGGAGGGACCGGGATCCTCATTGTTGCCGGTATCCTCCCCTTGCGTATCGCTGTTGTTCTGTTGATGGTGATATGGTTCCGGAATGGGTATGTGAATTTCCGTTATAACTTCCGGTTCCCTAATTGTCTTGGGTTTCTCTGTGTGTAACTGCTCTTTTTGCCTATTCCAATATTTCTTTAATTGAGCAATATTCGCCCACCGATCCGGTTTGGCGTGATCGATGGGTCTTATCTTAAAGGGGCCACCTGCTACTTTAGGCATCTCCACGACTTGCCATATCTCCTGTCCCCAGAGATCGTGGATTTTGTTTCTGCCTAACGGGTGGCTACGCAGTAATACCCTGTCATTCAGTTTGAGTGGCGGGTCCTTCGTCTGTATCGGCGGTTCCCTTCGCCGAGATTCATGTTCTAGTCTTTCCTGTACTACCCTGTACATTTCTCTAATTCTTCTCATATGTTCATTCACATATTCCAGTGCGGTGTATGAGCCAGTCATACTCTCCCTTTTTCCTAGGAACAAATCAAGAGGGAGTCGAGCCTCTCGTCCGAACAGCAACATGTATGGCGAAAAGCCGGTTGTGGCATGTGGTGTGCAGTTGTATAGATATACCAACTCTGGGAGAAAATCAGGCCAACGTTTTTTCTGTTCAGGTTCTAGCGTACGCAGCAAATCATGCATGCTGCGGTTGAACCGTTCGCACTGTCCGTTTCCTTTCGGATTAAATGTGGTTGTTCTAGATTTGTTGATCCCGTAGTGGTTGCACAGTTGGTTAATTACTTCTGACTCGAAAGCCCTTCCTTGGTCAGAGTGTAATTGTCTTGGTATGCCATATTTGATGAACCAATGTTGTAATAAGACCTTTGCCACTGTTTTGGCGGTCTGATCTCGTGTGGGCACCGCCACAGTCCATTTGGTGAATACATCAGTCATTACCAACACATGTTCCGTCCCATCCGATGATTGCTCCAACGACGTAAAGTCCATAGCCACAATCTCTAGTGGTTTTGTCGCTAGTAGGTGTCCTGATGGCTGTCTCATTTTGACAACTGGCATTTTCGCATGCTGACACCTCACACAAGCCTCACAATGGCGTTTGACCTCCATTTCCATATTGGGCCAGTAACACCTCCGTCGTAATATTTTGTGGGTTCTGTCCTGACCCTGGTGTCCTGCCCTGTCATGTGCCAACCTTAGCACTTCTCCTCGTAATTGTCCCGGCACCACCACCTGGTGTATTGTGCCATCAATTTGGTCATGAATTCTCCGCATGAGAACACCATCCTTTATACTGAGACGGTTCCACTGACTCAGTATTTTCTTTGTTTCTCGACCAAATTGTTCTCTTTCCCTTCTTCCTGGGAATTTTTGTTCCTGGACGTGTTTCAATAGCGGTTGTAAGCCACTATCCGTTCTCTGGGCATCTCTTATCTTTTGGTGATTAAGGTAATTAAAATCACTACTGTCCATATGTTCGGGTTCCGTGGATATGTGCTCCACCCCGGTCTGCCCGTTTTGCATCACTTGTACCCCATGAGGGATATCTGTTGACGCTCTGACCTCACATATTCCTGTCAGTGTTTCTTCCTCATCACCCGGTCTCTCGTAAGGATTCCTTGATAAGGCGTCCGCATTGCCATTGGACCGCCCCGGGCGATGTTTTCTCTCTAGGTCAACGAGTGCCAATTCTGCTGCCCATCGCTGTTCGATGGATCCCAGCCTTGCTGTAATTTGAAGTTCTTTTTCAATATCTGATAATTTTTCTTCAAGTCTTGTTTGAGACTCTTTCATTCCTTCTAGTTTGCCAACACTGTTCTGTTGTCTAATATTTTTATTTACTTCTTCCGATAACAGACACTTTAAAGATGAACATTTCTCCTGTGCTTTTGATTTGCATGAACTTTTCCTATCCAGTTTCCTGGTTAGACTTTGAATTCCTTTATTAAGTCTACCAATTTTCTTCTTATCATCATTTTTCTCTACCAACAAATTTTTCACTTGACACTTTTCAACATTCAAGTTCATTTCACAGTTCATTTTTTCCATTAGTTGTGTTTTGCCTTTCTTTTTCTCCTTACTGTGTTTCTTTGTCATTTTGTTTACTAAGTCATTACCTCGCCGCTCTGTAGCCTTGACCTGCCGTACAGAGGGCGATCGTTTCACCGGACAGTACCGTGCCATATGTCCGGGTTGTGAACAAGACAAACAAATTGGTCGACCGTCTGCCGTCCATTGGAGTGATGGCTTGGCAGGACACGGCCGTCCAACCCGTCCCTGTTTTGTACCGTTCTTTTCCTGATTCTCAGCTGTTGACCTGCTTTCCAACCACTTCAAGCGTTGGTCAACCTTCTCTAGGTGGGCCAACAGTTGAGCCATCATGGTCTCCATCGTGTCGGCCCCTGTGGGTGGGGATTGTCTCTGTTCAGGCACAGAGACTTTGTCCACCGAACAGTTCGATTGGTCCTCATCCTCGGACCTGCGGATCGCTGAGTTCCTGACCTGAAGGAAGGTCAACTGCTGGTCTCTGTGGACCTCCTCTTTCAACTCTCTCCTTAAGATCGGGGTTGCTAGCCCCTCGATGAAATGGTCCCTCAGTAGGCGTACATCAATGTCCGGTGATTTGCCCTTTACCAAATCAAAGGCCCTGTTCATCCTGTGTGAGTACTCCATCACACTCTCCGCCATTCTCTGCTTTAAGCCCACGAATCCCGATAGCAGTTGCACTCCCGACCGTCTCTCCCCAAAGGTCTCCATAATCAGATCCAGCACCTTATCTGGATCTGATTGGACGGTCCTATCGTGGCACTTAACCTCTGCCCTAACCGTTTCACCTATACTGCCCATCAGCAGTCTTAATCTTTCCTCTGGTGACATATGTCTCGAGGCCCAGGCCGCTTTGACCTCTTCACTGAACCTGTTGGTTAAAGTTGGGTCTCCGTCCCCGTAAAATTTGTTAATATGGGACTCTCTGGGTAGGACCACTATATGGGTCTGCTTCTCGTCCAGAGTAGACATTTTCTTCCTTAAGTACTAAAAAAAAGAGTTCTTTCTTACCGTGTGTGTATGAAAAATTTTTCCTCGTTCCTCAATTTTCACAGTTCCTGAATGTCCGAATTCACACACACACTAAACACAGTTATGCACAAGGTTGACTATAGGTGCCTTAAACGGCAAGTCTAGTTGAATTCATCCTGCTCGCAGCGCCAATTGTGACGAGCGAACATTTATCCTGCCGACAACGCCAATTGTAACGAGCCAACAGTTACCATGCTCGCAACGCCACATGTAATGAGACCTAATTGCCTGTAGTGCCACGTGTTAACGAGTTTAACCACTCATTCTAGACAACATTGACCACAGTATAGATACTCAAGATGCAGGTTCGCTATTGATCCTTTATTACATGAATCAAGAAATGCTTCATAATAACACAATAAATCAACAGGAATGCTTCTCAATAATAGTCTGAATCAACTGACCCCTAACAGTCCTTCACTAGGCTTTATATAACTGAATCCACATGTCTATAATCCTCCTTAGCACAATACGGCTAACCCGTTCTATAACCGACTTGACATAGTCACACAGACTGACTGATCTAAGCGAGCGATGAAGATGGAAGAGAGCTCGCTGAAACGGGAAGAGAGAGAACGAGTCCTGCCGTGCCCTCCTATTTATGCCTTGTATCCGTACTCGTCCCCGTACTTGTATTCCTCCGTAATCGATACTTGTACTCGATCTCCGACCACCAGTTGCGTAGTTCAAACGTACAGACCGTAAAATAACATCTGCGTCCTATCCATCAAAGCCGACAGGCCGTCTGAATACCGTTTCCCAAAATAGCACGCGCCGGCTTTGAGGTTGTTATCAGCCCGACCCAATAAGCCACCTGTTATCGGTTGCATCAGACCAACACTGTGTCTCGGCTTCTCGTTCGTTATCATTTGTAACTGGTAGTTAGGCCTACCCCAGTTACATATATATATATATATATATATATATATATATATATATATATATATATAAAAACTTTAACAATAACACTATCCATCATAACCCAAAGGTATAGCATAGGCCAACAGAACTATTCTTAATACAAAAAGATTAATTAATTTAATTTAATTAAATTTCATGTTAGCTATGAGAAATAGTTCACTTTAAAAGCCTATTTTAGCCAAGTTCAACCAAAGCAAAAACAAAAGTATTGGTGGTATTGTTGAAACTGTGACCAACCATTTTGTTGATCCGAACAAACTCCTCAGCTGTTTTAGCCCAGGGTGGAAGTTCCACATCCCCGACCACAGAGCCGTCCTCTTGCTTGCCCAGGCTGTACTTGTTGCTGTTAGAGAACATCTCAGGCAGGCAGAAAAACTCTGGGATCAGTTCCTGTGTGGACCACATATGGGTTAGTTACAATACAGATACAACTTTTAACAGACACAGAAACACTCTGGGATCAGTTCCTGTGTGGACCACATATGGGTTAGTTACAATACAGATAAAACTTTTAACAGACACAGAAACACTCTGGGATCAGTTCCTGTGTGGACCACATATGGGTTAGTTACAATACAGATACAACTTTTAACAGACATAGAAACACTCTGGGATCAGTTCCTGTGTGGACCAGTTATAGCTTAGTTACAATAAAATTAGATACAACTTTTATTGCACCAACAACCAAAGAAACTGAAATAATTTGTGTTGGGTTAAGATTAAGCTTGATTACCATCAATGTTAAGATGTCTAAATTAACTATGTAACTTTATTTCTTTCAACAGATAATATATGATAGCCCATACCTTAACATCTGATGTATCCCTCTGACAATTTTTCCAAGCTTGGCTGATAGAGTTAAAGATTCTGTTAGGATGATCAAATTTACCACCTTGCAGGTTCAAGAACATGGTGGTAAATGGTTCCTATAAAGTGAGGTACAGTCATATAAAAACATGAAATAATAAATTATCATTAATATTCATCTCCATAAAAATACATTAGGTTGATGCAGAAGTTATGATAAATTTAAATAAACCGGGAGTGATCTCCCCTAAACTTTCTCGAATATTTTTATATAAAATAACAAGGGATGGGAACTCAGGCTATAGACATGATTTTTAATCCATTTTAAATACTTAAAGTTTTAAAAATAGAATAAAATCTCGTAGACAAATTAATTGCACACCAAGTGAACGCGAAATAAAAAAGCGCATAATAGTGCGCAATATTATTAGTACTTTTAAAATTTACATTAGTTTTTTGAGAAATCGGAAGTAGCGTAAATTACTACTTCCGGTCAACGGAAATTACTCAAAATTTAACAGAAGGTAGAGAATTAGATCTTTTACTTACATGTGAAATTTCATTTATCTATCTGAAATAGTACTCAAGTTATAGGCTTTTGAAAAATTCAAAGTAGAAAAAGTACCACTTCCGGTTATCGGAAATTGCTCAAAAGTTGATACGGATCTACGATTTTGATAAAATACTTATATATGAAATTTCATCAACCTAGCAGTAACGGTACTCAAGTTATCGTGTTTACACACGGACACACAGACAGACACACACACAGACATACGGACAAGATTGCAAAATTATGTTTTTCCGTATCAGTGAGGTGTAAAACGTCGAGATTTGTAAAAATCTCGATTTTTTTTTTTTGCACGATTACAATACTTTCTCTATACTACGTATATACGAGAAAGTAAAAAAGGATAGCATTGTTTAAATGTAAGAATTTTTTTGCTCGGGTTATTCAGGACTATTTTCAATGCATTTATTGCCAATAAAGTAAAGAAGAAGTTAAGGATGTTTACCACACGGATGAGCCAGTTGAGTGTGAAGGCAGATGTTGAGTAGTGGGTACCATAGTGGAATGGAGGGATCTGGTCATGTTCCCAGGATGAGAACCTCTCTTCAAAGTAAGCTTTTCTTGTTTCATTCAAGGCTCCAATAGGCTGAGGAGGAATTTGAGAGTTATCTCATTTAATACTTCAGCCATACATACAATTCATTAAAAAAATTAAATTAAATATAATAATTTTTTTTGTTTTCATGGATCCATATTTTTTTAAAGAACAGCAATAAGAGTTAGTTAACAATTTATTCAAAATTATTTGAAATTGCAATTTGGTAAACTATTTATAAAAGTTTACATAATTTTCAACTGTTTAATTGAACTAAATAAACTAGCTTTAAATGTGTTGCTTCAACAGTTACCTTAGATAAATCTCTGTAAGAGTTGGCACTGCTCAAGTCTAGCTGCTCACTGTCATAGTTGACCAGCACCCAAGGAAACACTGGATATTGGTTCAGGTCATTGTATGTCCGGCCTAGAGATTTACATGCAAAAAAGATAAATATATATTGCTTAACAGTAATTATATATATAAAATATTTTATTAAATTAATAAAGAATAATAACTTGTAATCTTGAGGTTTTCCCCCAAAGTTTCTATTTATAAGCTCCTTTCAGCAGTTTTAATAACCCAGTTGTCTCCCATGTCTAACAAGTAAACACAAGTAGTCCCCCTTTCAACAGTAATATCTCTCAAACTGATGTCACTCTCAATTCAACCATCTTGAAATCTAGTAAAGCATAGACTGAACCCATCAGATGATATCTAAAACAATTTTTTTTTTTTTACAATCATGTTTAATCTGCCCTGCTCAGTTAAACCTGCCAGTGGTATTGTATCAGAGTGGTGAAGGTCCCAGCGGTATCAGGCAGTTAGATCTCTCATCCCATGTGTTGATTTACCAAACTGATCCAGCTCTGATACAGAGTCTTCCCCCTGTCAGCCACTATAAAGATTGTGTTACTTATTAAACTGAGGCAACAATGTCTGGCCTTTATCTGCCTTCAGAGTGTGAGCTGAAACTGCTCCCTTCACACAACCAGATATTTTATCATATTTTCTAGAACATTTTGACGTTATCAGTCTACAACTGACAAGGGTGGCTGTTAGGAAAGTCAGGATTCCAATTTTTTTGAATGAAATTTAAATGTCAGGAGTAAACTAAAGTGTCACTTCAATTTTCTTTCACTGACATCTCTGTGACATTTTATGACAAAATAAAATTTCTACATCATTGTAAACATTCCAATAGCAGAAAACATTTAATAGCCTGTTGTGAAACCATATCATATATTTTGTTGATAGTGGTTTAAATAATTTATTTCATATTCCACTCCAACTTTAACTTAAACATGTTAAAAATCAAAATATGGGAATGCCAATAGAAAATAAAATCCCAAATTATTATTAATAATATTAATTAAACATATTAAATATGTGTGAACTAAGGACAATGCTAGTATTTGGTAGCTTGAAATAAATGTAAACTGCTATTACAGTGCTCTTTTGTTTTACTCCATACAAAGAATACCTTGGGTGGGACTAGCCATGGAATTCAACATGGGAGGTAACTGCCTATATAATTTTATCTTTCATCTGATGGCTAAACAAGACTTACCCAGATCTGAATTGTAGTAGTGTGTGGCATTTCTAGGACCATTCAGGTTAACAAGTGATAAAAAAATAAAAATGTTCTCAAGATATTATATAAAAAATATTTTCCAGGAGAGATTTTTTTTTAAATAACAATATTAAGATTAGATTACTTTTAGTTATAACAAAGAAGAAAGAATTTATCATTGCAGTTTCTTGTTTTAGATGACTTAAAGCAGTGGAATATATAAATTTTAATATCATGGACTACCAATTTTATTACAGCATTAAAAAAAAAATGGACTACCAAAGTAGCATTGAAACTAGTTGATACAAGGTATGTAAAAAACAGAAAACACACATGCCTGTAACCATCCTCATCCCACCATGATACCCCCCCTCTTCTTCACACAAGCACACCTCACATCTCTTGCCATCTACTCCACACCTTCCTCCCACAATCTATTCCTCTACACCTAATCACCCAGCTTACCCCACAATCTCCACCTCCCACCCTATCCTCTTACCCCACCTACCACCAATTTTTCCTCTACTGGCACCACCCCTACTCCTATCACCCACCTGCAATAGTGTTGAGGTACATGATGTAATCAAAATTGGATATTTCCCTCTTCTGCCACTTCTGTGTCATGTTGGATAGTTTAAACAGTTGTTTGCCTGATGCCATTGATACACGCCTGACAATAGAATGTTGGACAGTTTAATCATTTGATACACGCCTGACAATAGAATGTTGGACCATTTAAACATTTGATACACGCCTGACAATAGAATGTTGGACCATTTAAACATTTGATACACGCCTGACAATAGAATGTTGGACCTTTTAAACATTTGATAGAATGTTGGATAGTTTAAACAGTTGTTTGCCTGACGCCATTGATACACGCCTGACAAAAGAATTTTGGGCAGTTTATAATATATTGATACATTCTTGTCAAAAATATACATTGTACCAAAGACAAAGAATTAATTTTTATTCATGCAAAAAACACATGTAAAAGTAACTTTCATAGTGAACTTATTAATTAATTAAAATGAATTTAATTAAACTGAAAGACAGAAGCTTCCCTCTCTAATTAATGTTAAACAAAATAAACTAAAAGTACCAAGTACCGTACATATAACTTTCATTTTTATTAAATTGTTCATATAAAATAAACACATAACTTGCAACATTCTTTTTCGCATAAAAAAAGGCACAAAAACCCCACCAACTTTAGTGTATTGTAGAAACTAATTATTCAATCTTTTTAAAACCAAGCACCAGTCAGAAACCTACCTGGCTTGCTGTAGACCATACTTGATTCCCACACCAACCCTGGGTAGGGCATTGATCACTTTCTTTACAGTCACGTGGTCAGGGAAGGCAAACATAACAGCCGCTGGGGTTAATACAAGACAATAACATTAGCATAGGGTTAAGCCTATTTACAACACTATATAAAGTACAAAATGTAAAAATAAAACAACATTACAAAATATATCTGTGTAAACAGATTAATAAAAGCATTAGAAAAGCAATTAAACCAGATTTTGTAATTAATTTTTGTTTCCCTCTTTATTAGCTAATGTCTCATCAGTGTTTCAAAAGAGGACCTGATAGTTATATATTTAAACTCTATAAAATGTAATTCAAAACGCCATGAATTCCCCTTACACATCTAACAAAAAAAAGTTGAGCCATCTGTAACCTTAACCTCCACCTTACAATATCTAATCGTAGATCTCGCCACTAAACATCAACTGGCCTTCCGTCTTAGATTGGAAACTATAAGTTGATACTTATTATACATTGGCATTATCTCCCCTTACACTAGACAGTTAAGACATTATTTAAACTTAGCATACACCCAACACAACCTAAAACACAACTCTTGAACTCAGTGCAACTTATTTGTTATACCAGCACCTCATTTGTTCAAATAGACTTTCATTTTTAGACGGCCTAAAGCAGGTAAATTAAAGCTAGCAAAAAGTACTGCTGCATCACACTCAAGGAGACAACCGCGTTTAATGATGTTCCGCATCAAAGTTATCTTCCCCTTCCATGTACATTTATCTCTCCCGGCACATCAATGCCCAAACCAGTTTCAGCTTCACGTAAAAACAACCGGATGTGACGAGATTTTTTTTTACGCGTTCAGGCATTTTTTTTAACCGCTCGAGTCGTTTATTTTTGTAATTAAAAAAAATAATTTTAAATGATCAATCTATGTCCACGGGAGAAGAGTGGGAGAGTAGTGCTGCGTACATTAATATAAAATAATTTGTAATCACTGAACAAGTGCAGAAGTCCTTTTTTAATACCCTTGGCACTATCCCTAACACTAGCACTAACATCAATATTGACTTTGATTCATGGCCCTAACCATAAACCTGACTAGCAACTAAGGCAGGAAAAAAAAGCTAAGTAGGAAACATTCCATTGTCATGAACTCTTAAGCAATAAGAAATATCAATTATACATATAGATTATACATGATTAAACAGTGACAGAAATGAAAACGATGCATGAAATAAAACGTTAGTTTTAACGTTTTAAAAAGGGGTGGAAAACACTATGCTTTAAAAATACAAATTAAAAAAAAAGGTGAAAAAATATGGCTAAGATATAGGCCTATATAAACACACGTGTGGTTACATCCGTCGTTTAATTCAACCGTATCTAAAGAGCAACATTTAAAAAGCCTCACTTTCTATCTGGAAACGTTTGATAAACGAAATAAATGTGCTGATGCTTAAGTTTCATGGCCAGAGAAGAGAGAAATTCACAGGAAGATGGTTGGCCCTCTTTGTGAAATCTGGATAAAACCTTAGAGGAGTGGGGTGGGGGAGGGGGGGGGGGCAATACCTCGCCTTATATAAGAAATAAAGTTTACTCCTCACTTAATAACCATTAAACGTGTAGAGAAAAGCTTCAACATCTAAACAATAACATCGATGTTGAGCAACATTAACATGTAGCTTTTATACCATGGGAAAATGGGGAATCTTGCAACCAACAAAGTACTTAGTACTAGTCCCAGTGTGCAACTTACCAAAAAAATGTAATTACAACCCACTACCAATAGCAAAGGGCTGGCATTAACAGACGAAGTGGCACTTACTTCTGTTGGCCATAAAGATCTCGATGGCCACATTCTGTAGAAGGTAGCGCCGGGAAAATATTGCTCGGATCTCAGAAAAGTTCCATTTTCCATGCAGAAAATCGATGTAGGCCAAAACCTGAAAACAATAGAGATGGAACAAAACTTAAGAACATTTATAATAGATCATAGGCATAAATAGAGGTCTACCTTACAGCAACCCCCCCCCCTACTCCGAAGACTACATATTCTACATCCGCATTAAATTTATCCCTGTGTCACCTCACACCGACAGCTCGTGAATTTCACCTCAATGATAGGAATAAATCTAATTTCTCTCTCGCACAATTAAAACAAAAAATTGATAAATGGATGACCACACAGCTTTGTCATATTACGGCCGTTAACCCGCTTAGCCGCTCGTGCGTCTGGCCGTGATCTATTCCCCGTGTCCAGCGCGCGACGTGGCACATATTTTACAGCGTGACAACACGATGGCTCTGCAGCCATTCATATCCGCATGCCCATCCATTGCGGCCAGTCGCTCAAGTTGACTCCATCAAAACGCTGCCCACACGGGCAACTTTTACTTACAACTACCTTACAAGCTTGGTGCCTAATGTAATGGCAATAGGGATATTACGATGGTACAAAAAATAATATAAATGAAAATGACGCAAAAAAACAACAAGAAAACAGAATCTTGAAAGGGAGGGGGGGATATGGTAGACCGAGTATATATTTTAATCAATTTAAATCTATTTCACTTTCATCAAATGTAGCCCTATGTCATTAAGGTCTATTACAAACCAGACTAAATTGTGTTTTCTCACCAATGGCATATTTTTATCTTAGCATGATTCATTCAAATGAGCAATGATTGATTTAAGTGTGACAGTTCAGTCTATCGATCACTGTAGATAATCGTGTTTAACGGATGATAAAATCGAAAAGGTATGTATAAATTCCGACCAGTTCTTACTGTTGTGTCAGCTTCTTTTGATTCGATTCCTTCACACAAGGAAATAACACCAGAATCATCTCACATCAAATATCACTATCTCTCCCAGCAAATATCACTTAGGCCATCTCTAACAGCAAATACAACCATCGCCATCCCGGCTATCAAATACCACCAAGCCATATCTCCCATCAAATACCACCAAGCCGTATCTCCCATCAAATACCACCAAGCCGTATCTCCCATCAAATACCACCAAGCCATATTTCCCATCAAATACCACCAAGCCATATCTCCCATCAAATACCACCAAGCCATATCTCCCATCAAATACCACCAAGCCATGTCTCCCATCAAATACCACCAACATCACCACACCCCCTCCCCTCCTATCAAAGACCACCAGCCCCACCCCTCCCCAGAACCCAGTAGCGCCGTCCCCATCCAGTAATCGAATCAAACGGCCATAACCCGATTGCCTTACGATCGCCTTCCGGGTAAATTTTTAATGGACGGGACGGCGGCGGGGACAAATCTCGTCTTTTCCCCATTAGTCCAGCCCCGGTCCATTTTGTTAATCAAATATTTACACACGGGTGTGGCTGGGTGCCCTCCCATTTCGGGCCGGTTCTCCAGGCCCCAGCCCAGCTGTCGGGGTGTGACTGCTGACATGGGATGACCTAAACATCCCCCACGGACTGGGGATCTGCCGTCAGCCCTATCATTTTTACAGTTATTTCATACGGTAATCCAATTACCCGGGCCCCGGTATTGTGGCGAGTTAGTTGCTTGAAAAAAAGAGGGGGCGGGAGTGTAGAACCATCGAGTAAATACCATACAAAGCAGGGGTTACTAACTTGTTTCAAGCTAATGAAATATATCACAGTCATAGACCCATGAGTTAAAATTAAAAAAGTTTAAACTGAGACAATAAAAAGGAACATTTTCTAAATAAAATTTGGGAGACCCTCTATGACCCCCAACATGAGAACCCCTGAGCCCTAGTTATGTAAATTTAGGCGAGGGTCCTAGTTATGGGTCACACCAGGAGACCCATAGGCATGTTACCCTGGGGGAGACCCCTGGTTATAGACCTCTTGGTGGGTGATTTGGTTGTAAAACTACTTTAAACAACTGTTTTGAGATAAAAACAAGTACAACTCCGTAGTCAATACACTGTTTAGTTGTTTTTTAATTACTATACTATTAAACAGATGTAGGGGGTGTGATAGTGAAGGAGGCATGTGTAATAAATTAACCAGAATCATAAAGTAAAGCCTAATTTAATGAGAAAAATTAATCAGAAAACTGATTCCGATAATTGATCAATTTTTCATATTAATTTTCCAGACAAACCAACGCACACCCTCCCCAAAAAAAAAAAAAAAGAATAGGATCGGTTCTGTTCTGCTAAAGTTTCTTTGAGGGCAAAAGTTCCCTGCAGGGCTAAACGCCGGCCAAATTGGTCCCAGCGCGGACCAGACTCACACCTGTCCTGGTCCCACACTGCTCGTCCTCAGTGACCAGTCGGGTGACTTTGATGGAATCATTTTATTCACACTAGCTTCAAACGACAAAATACATCGTTTCACTCAACTTTTTTTAAATGAACTAAAAACAGAGGCATCAAATAAGTAAAATTATTGAAGATGTGTTCAATTATATTTAATGAACTAGTATAAACAAAATTATAAAATTATATTTTATTGTCAGTGTTGTTAAATTCATCATTTAAAATCTCACAGTATACCCAAATATACATATGTCGGCATCGCACAAACATAAAGAAAACATACATGTATCCACGCATATAATGACAACGTCGGTAGCCTACATGCTTAAGCCCCCTATGTGCCACTAACAACTACACTCGTTAGTTAAGATTTATCCCTTAAAGCCGCCGACCATTATATCTGAATAAATTAGGATGACACAAAAAAAAAAAACTGCACAAAAGGGAGTTGGGTGTTGACACCCCAAGTGAAAAGATGAAGCAAATCACGGCAAATGATGGAACGAATTCGCTCTAGATAGCCAGAGATGGGAGATAACCTACAGAGACAATGACTTGTATGGCACTAATCTTCTTCTCCGTCCACCGATGAGACACTGCGAGCAGAGATACCGATCGAAAGCCCTCTAACACCGCCGCCATGCCAAATACCAAACCCCCCGGGCGACAACCCCCCCCCCCCCCTCCCACCGCCCTGATGGACAGGCGACAACCCCCCGCCCTGACGGGCAGGCGACAGGTCTAGAAATGATGACTACATTAGCTTCAGACGAAATGGGACACCTTCAAATTACTCCAGTAAAAATAGCAGTCATTCACAGTGGCAGGGAATTATTGTTAAAAAAGTGGGGACCGGTGAAAGGGTTGGTTTTAGATGGATGCTCTCTTAGATAATGTCCCCTTAGAGCAAACAACAATACGGTAATTACAGACCGATTACACAGTTTCAGGTGAAAATATAGCCACACAGAATGCGGCGCTCATCTTAACTCAAATCAGGAGCAAGCAATATTCTTCTATTTGTATTACTCAAGTAACCAGTCTATGTAATATGTGATATTGTCCTAATTCGTGAGCTTTAACAATTTTAAAATTAAATTCTAAAAAAAAAAATGTTTAAAAAAAAACGCAATAATGCCTAAGTATTAGAACTAAGGCTAGCAATGCCTTATAAAAATCGGGAATTCCCTGCTTATTATTCCTCACGCTCTTCTGGGCTGTCAACAGTTATAAAGTAACGCTTGTCTGCCCACCATGCCCCTTCCCCAGGTCTGTATATCCCAAATTCACCTGCAGATATGCCCCCCCCCCCTCCCCTCCCAGCCCAAACTCACATGCCCACTGGCGGGGGTGCTGGAGGGTTGTCTGTCACGTGGCAATTTATTCCTTTCTCTCATTCCTTCCACTCCACAATTTATTTCTCATTACTTCCACCACAATTTATTCCCCCCCCCCTCCACTAGACTAAGTTTGTCTTTCTCTCCAGTAATGACCATAGATGTCGGAGTCTTCCACCCTAGCTAGTAAGTTCCCGCCTGTACAGGCTGCCTACTCCTGTGGACATAGAGGGAGTGTCAACCAAGATTATGGTATCCATTCAAGATGCCCCCACTTTACCTAAAGATCCACTGGGCAGATGGGAGGCGTTCATGTTTCTTGACCTTAACATATGAAGGGATGGTGTGGTCACTTAGTAATATTGCCCAGCCGCCTTTACTTTCATCAGCGTGAGTTATGTAACCAAGGGAGAAATCAGAGACATTCTAAAGTCCTAAGACCGGACCGAGATCCGAACTCCAGACCTTCAGGCTAGTAACCAAACGCTCTACCATTCGAGCACTTCACACACAATATAACACTATTTTATTAAAAGAAAATACTGAAATTTTGTTATGAGTTCTAAAAGACGGGAGAGAATGTAAAACTGGCGTGGTTTTTACCAGAAGGCGATTGGCTAGACATGGCTGTCACGTGACCGAACCCAGCAGCGACTCTATAAATTGTTGCCGACGTCACGAGCGATTGGTTCTACTCTCCATCAAAGTGGCAAAACTTGGGCCAGATACATATCACGGAGAGGGGGAAGAAAACAGAAAGGGGGAAGTGATGCATAGGGGTGAGTGAGCAGAATAAATCGTGAAATAAATTAACATGAGAGTAGGTATCAGTTCGCCGCCATGGCGGAATATCGAATTAGTAGACAACCTCTCCCACCCCCGCATACGCCGCCACAGCCCAAATGAATCCATAGCATCAGGTCGTATAACTAGTAAAGCTCAAGCATGTTTAAAGGGAGATATCGCCGCTCTTAAAACTTAGATTTATTGTTTCAAGGAAATTGGTGTAATCAAACCATGCAACCAATCAAGTTAATAAACAACAGCTACTTCATTGTTTACTCATGTTTGTTGCTTCCATTAGCTCCCTATACGGCTGTAGACCAGAGTGTAAATGTAAAGACCTCCAGCTATCAGCCCATCTAATAGACCACTGCATAGAAAACCTGGCACGTAGGTAGCAGATAGTGGCTCACGGCTAACGACGTGTTGTACGGGACCGCACGGACTGTCTCAGCATTAAATGATTGGCTTGCACCCGTGGTTTAGCCCTCCTTATCACCGGCCCTGCTCAATGTTTTAACACACGGGGACAAAAGCTGATCCTA